GTGGAATAATTTGATTAGATGTAATGAAGTTCGAGTGATAAGTTATGAAGGAAAGCGTTTTAGCGGTCATTCATACAGCTTTTGAAGTCATTCAACTCTAGTGACTGTAAAAGCACATAACTACAAAAATGAAAAGCTCATAAATGACGACGCGGAACTAATATTGGCTTGTAGTACATGTAGCCCCCAGAATTCTTCTTACTTTGGGTTTTTGGTAAATCTTCAAGATAAAGTACGGACGCCCATGGCCACCGAATGATTATTTCGCTTCTCAATAGTCCTTCTCTTTATGATTGCTCTTCTAATATATATAGCCTCCTCTCACTGATGTTGATCTCATATAAGATGTTTTTATTCATTTGTTTCCTCATTGATCGTATCCATGAAGCTGGCAATATGTTTATCCCAACCGTTGCCCTGTTAAGTACACCGTCCTCAAGATTCCTCTTTATATCTGTTAGGTTTTCTCGATGAAAGCCTCAATTCTGCGGACTCAGTCCTACTCTGTTCTCTCCTGTTAGCGTGTTTCAAACTTGCTCATGATACCGGCTTCTATGTGCACTTTTACTACATAATTAATTCATTATCCGCATGATATTGTTCTTGCTTAATCCCAAACGAAACTTCAGGTGAAATGAACGAGTTAGCCTTTAACAGCACACATAGCGGGTTGAATAATGGTACCTACCCTATCGGAGGTAACATTTCCACAGGTGATGTTCATGTAACAGGCAGCAACCGCGTTGATCTGTGGACGTCAGTATTTCTTCCATGCTTTCTAACCAGTCTCAGAACTACAGAATAATAGACAATACCATCTTCATCGTAGCTGTCCGCCTTCTCAAAACAAGAACTAACACATAAAAATATGAGGAGATTATGCCGTTAATGGCTATGTTTACTTCGGTGATCGTGCAAAATTGTTAAGCCGTAGAGTTCGGGAAGCTTGAACCTCAAACTACGAATTCCCCTTGTTCTTGAAACCTCGAGACTTCCATGATTCATAAAAGACCTCCGAGGACTTCCCTATGAAGGGAAAAAACCTGGCGACTCCCTTGTGAAAAGGTGACTGATTGAATTCCCGAATGGATCGTTGATGAACCGGTGCGGAAAAGACCTTCGGGACTCTCTTATAAATAGGAAAAACCCTGGAATCCCTTGTGAATAACAGGGATCCTAACAATTCTCATGAATAATGCAACATTTAGACCTGGGGAAAATGGGGTTATACCTTGGTGGTGGCTATGTTTTGCTCGATACCGATATAAGATTGGGTATCTTTCAGGGCTTCGGGGGACGTGTCGGTATGTGAAAATCGAAGCTCATCGCGAGCTCGGGAATAAGAGAAAATTGCGAGGGCAGCGGTTGAGGAAGGATAAGAAGGGCGCTCTCGTAAAGATCCCGCTCTTCGATACCAGTAGAAGCTATGGTCAAACTTGAGTTTGTTCCTTTACGTAAACAAATTAGTTAAGTCCACAAATCATAGACCAAAATTTTCCTACAAACTGTCGCGGGGATCGTATTTTTTCCTCGACTATCTGTGCTAATGCTGGGGGGGGGGGGGGGGGGTTTGATATTCACCTGTAATTACAGACAAGTTCTTAACCGTGAAGCTTTGTCTACTACTTAAGCCCAGCTGGTATCCCAACAGGCCGACGCCCAGAACCTAGATGGAGCTGGGGGCCTGACGATATCTTTAGGGAGAAGATGACTGTGACTGTCTTCAACCTTTGGCCTAGTGATTATCGAGCAGGAATTTGCTGGTCCCGAATTTTGCCTTTATACGCTGTCTTTTCTAAGACATTTGCAGTACAATCGCCCTAAAAGAGATTGGCCAGTCTCAGACCCCAAGAAAGAGGGGTTGGAGATGTGATGATTAGATGGAAAGGATTGGGTTGAAGATGAACCTATGATCCGAGTAAATGAAGAGAAGAATTGGAATATGCAGAGAATGAATGAGCAAACCCAGAGCTAGTGACTAAGATTGCTTACTTGGCATATTCCATGACAAAATGCACTAATCCGAAAGTTGTGTACTCTTATTATTGATGTTACATACGCTAAGTATACAAGCGATACGTTGCTGCTACTTTCATTCTGAGCTGAGCAGATTTTATTCATGCGTTGGTACAGGCAGCGAGGTTTCCTGGCAGTACGTGGTAAAAACCACAGCCCTATGCTACCTCAATCAATCAATCATTAATCATCAATCAATAACCATCAATCAATAATCATCAATCAATAACCATCAATCAATAATCATCAATCAATAACCATCAATCAATAATCATCAACCAGCCCTATGCTACCTTGACTGTCTGACAGGCTTAGCTCCTTTGATGCCTTGTACACGAGCAATAGCAAGTTAAAGTGCATGTATCTTATTTTCATATTACTTCCAAGTAACGAGTATCCCCATCTAATTTGCATATGTGTGAACGCTAAAAGCAAATACTACATTCATTTGGGAGTTTGATTCACGAGGTATCACTCGACCCATGAAGAGCAGTCCGTATCAATTCTAGCGGCATTCTATTTAATAATTGTATGCAACCCGGATAGCGGCGTTCTATCGTCTGCCATGGTACTAGGAGTTTGCAGATGGGGAACCTGTGGCTAAGCTACATATCAAATCCATTCCAAACAACAACAGGTTTGGCGGCTATAGATGCCGATTCGACAAAAACCAATGACAAACTCTATTCAGCCCAGCCTCTTTCAGCCTAAGATACGCGGTCTTTAGGGCTGTGGGGTAGAAACACATTTCTAGAGCACATATATACAGGTAGATTGCAGGTTTTTGGTCCAATAGTGCGCTGCGGCTGAATTTATCGGATACATGTTTCTTATAGACCGATCATTGATTATGCGAGAGGTAAGACTCATATCAATCCTTTTCGGTTCATCTGGAGTAATTGAGTCCTATCACTTGGGAGTGATTAGAATATACGCATTAGATTAATTGTGTTATTGCAATCAACTTCTTATTGCACGCGTACGGGCAGCCATGATTCGATGTGCGAGGGCTTGGCGAGCCAGGCCCTAATGCATGGCATGATCCGTCGTCTCCTTTCATCCAATGGCCAAAGATCTAGATAGGTGGAATCGTTCATGGCCATGCATACATGTAAGTTTTAGGGACGCTGGGGGGATTTTATCAGTATCTAGCAGTCAGTATAAGCTGCTGGTAGAGTTGTCCGTAGCACTAGTACTTAGCTAGTTTGTGCATGTCTCCAAACTTATTGTTAATCCTTGTGTTAATGTTCGTCTATGAACAATGAACAGCCGTATCCATAGATCGCACGTCCTGTTATATCCTGTTTCCTGGAACACCCTATTAACTATATGTAGCCCAAGATGTGTAAAATCCGGTACAACGAGTCCGGAATGTAGGATGAAAACGTGCGCGGTGCAACACCAGCCAGATCATCCACCGGCCCCCACGTAACCGCCGAATTGGTGGGCGCAATAATAATGATCACTCTCTCATTTCCCAGGTAGGAGGGAGTCGCCCAAAGTTAAGCTCAATAAGGCGCCAACGGCTATGTCGGCAGCTTTGTTCCTTGTACTCGCCGAAAAAGCACATTTTCGGGCTCGGTTGACATGGCAGGAGACGAACGAAGCCTTTGCTTGCATGTAAGAACTCAAATCATGACGACAATGGTGAAATTAATCCATCCGAGTTTGGTGAGATGTTACTTAATTACCGCACCACCACCACCACCACCACAGAGAGCAGAGCCTCAACTGCTAATCTCCTTCAATCCTTTGTCGGCCAACTCTACTCCACTGTAACCGAACGCGTTATGTGTTTGTGAGAGCTACCAACATCTTCCATATTTATGTAGAGTAGAGTACTCTACTCTAATTGGCGAATTATGCACGTATGGACTCCAAGGGCCGCCCTCACCGCCGAAGCACAGCCCGTTTGAAGCGAAGGTTTATTTTAATCCGCGAACCCCAAACTGGTTAAACCCTGTCGGATTGAAACACCAATAGCGTAAAGACACCGAAAACAATAAGGCTAACCTCTATCTGACATCTTGGGATGCGATAAGTGTCTTATGGGGAAAAGCTTAAGTGAGGACTTAGAGCCTGAGGGCTGGGCTGCAGAGTTCAAGCGCTACATACATCTCGTCTACATATACATCCCAGGTATCAAACATCAATCCGTTCTAGCAGAAGACGATATGCGCGAGATACCTACCTACTCCAGTTGGTTGGGAGTATGATTCTTCTGTAATGCATAAACCTGAAGCAAGACTAATACTACTCTGGCGTAGTAAGTAAAACGCACGTCTTCATGGGTTATAAATCAGGAATCTCATGTTTCATGCCTGATATAACTTACTAATAAACTGTTAAGACGTATTTGATCATGAAGAAAACCCCACAAATCTGCTGTACCGGTTGATCTTGAGGTGGCTGGGGTCTGAAGGATATTTTTATCGACATTTAGCAGAGTATATCTACGTACAGCACCAAAGAACCTGCTTCTGAAAAGAGATTTTATTGGACATGGACATGCATACGTTATAAGGGAGGGGTGGACTCAAGGCTCCCGGTGTCTAGTTACACCAAATACATCACGTATTAATATCGTATCGATCCTCAAACAAACCTGCTGATCGTTACCCACCTCATCATAGGATAGCTTCCATGCAGGAGCAGCGGTGTGCCTTGATGGCAAGGATACAGCAATATAGGGGCCCCAAGTAGCGGTATATCATCACAGCCCCTCGCTCGCTCGCTCGCACCATGTTTTTCCTCTGAGGATTTCCCCTACAGCCTTGGATACCACTATCCTATCCGGCCAGCTTGTTAGTCCCCGGTAAAATTTGCCATATAATAATAAATAATCGGCCTACGCGTACACCACCGCTTTATATTCTTCAATCTAACTGGTTGCAACACCCACAACCAGCTGCCCATCAAGCAATAATAAGCCCGTCTCTCCCAGGCGCTTTTATTCACGGTTCACCTACCCCACAACAGCGTCGATGTCGCACTACGTCCAGACCGGAGAGGGAATGGAGGTCGATCCAACAAAGACCAGTCTTGTTGGTCGATCGCCAAGTGTCAACCAGAAGATTCACTATGTTGGCGGCGAAAATGCACCAGAGGTGGTGCCTCAGCATGAAATGTACCAGGAGGGTATGATTTATGAGAACCCAGCGCCGACATATGGGCAAGAACAGGTGGCGGAGAAGAGTGGGAAGGGGGACACAATTTGTGGAATGCGGAAGAAATTGTTTTGGATACTACTAGGAGTACTGGCATTGGTGGTTATAGTGGTGGTGGTGGTGGTCGCGGTAGTGGTGACGAAGAATAACTCGAACTCGAATGACGGATCAACCTCGTCAGGGTAGGCATATATACTATGAATCCGTAATTAATGTGATCTATTGTATATACTGACAGAAATACTTAACTTATAGATCTGGCACATCAACAGCGCCAACCGCAACATCTAGTGGAAGCTCACCTTCAGCAACAGCAGCAGGCGACATTATATCCAATGGGTCCGAATTCGCCGCAATAAAATCCGGAAACTCAATGCAATTTTTCTACCAAACTAACAACGGAAGTGTCTTCTATGAGGTCCAGACGGGAGAAAAGATCACTAGTGGGCCTAGTATCGTGCCTGGACTTACGGGGGCCAAGAGCGGGACACCGTTGGCGACTGTCAGCTGGGATGATGGAGCTGCGGTATGTGAATTTTAAATCTATATATAGATTACACAAGTACGGTTTTGCTTATTCTCAAGAATACGCACAGATCCGACTGTACTATCTCAACAGCGACAATGAAATTCAGGAATATGTATACGACAATAGCACTGGCTGGTATAGTGGTTCCCTGTCAGGAGAGGGTATCCGTGCTGTCGACACTAGTCGGCTCGCAGCGATAAAGTACGGCGACAACCTTGAGATTAGACTTTATTTCCAGGTCTCTGGAGGAGTAATCCAAGAGTACACATGGAAGGACGGAAACTGGTCAATATCACAATCTCTACAAGTCGGGATCACTGGAACGGGCCTGGCAGCACTGTATTATCCGGACAATAATATCAGAGTTTACTACCAAACGAACGAGACGAGTAAGGTAATTCACGAAATATCATACGGATGGCCGGATAGAACGGGATGGGATGAAAGTAGGGCTCCCCCCAAAAAAATTGAAGAATGAGATATTGCACGCGTACTGATATCTCCGCCTTTTAGCTGGTTTTGGACCTGATAGAAACGCGGTTGCGACGGTAGGGAGCATAGCGGCTGTTTCATGGGGCGACACGTCCGATTGGCAGATGCGCGTGTTTTACCACCCTCTCGATTCACCAAGCTCGATAGCGACTTGGGCATGGAAGAATACGACGTGGGTAGGCCCCAAAACTCTGGTCTCAGATACGACAATCGACAATGGGTCAATAAGCGCAATGAGCCCAGCGGTCGACCAGTACAGGATTGTGTACCAGGATTCATCCAACTCATCCACGGATTTGCTGGTTCAAGAGTGATTTTATATGTTTGGAGTTGGGGTGAAGGGCCCCCCTCGCGGGCCAATTTTCAGTAAATACATTCCTTCGCCATAGACGTTTTCTTTTGGCGCTGGGTTTTTTATACGATTATTATTTTTTCTTTCTTTTACTTCTTAATTTATGAGGACGAGAGCGGACACCCTGGGGGTTGTGAACTATGTATACCATGCCTATTTGTTTAAAGGGGATCCATGTGAAAAATGTACGTAGGGGCTCTGTTTGTATATGTGGCTGTGAGCTCGATATGTACTACATAGATGGCCTTCGCTTTATTTAGAAATCCCGCATAAACTTTGGAACCTTCTCAGTTTCATAAATGCGCGCATATTTCGAATTTTATTGTGTGTACCACCTTACTCTAGGTATAGGAGAATTTAAAACTCCGAGCTTCCCCGAGTCCCCCGTCCCCCGTCCCCGTCCCCGTCCCCGTCCCCGTCCCCGTCCCCCGTGAAGTGGGAAGAACGAGAAAGATGAAGCTGAAAGTCTCTACAGAGAAACCTCCATGTTTTCCCCTGCACTCTGCAACCGCACCCTCGCGAAAGGTATCCACGTATGCAGCAAATAAAACTAGGCCTCTGTCATCAACGGGCTCAAAAGATTCGACAGTCTGCATCGATACAGCAAGAATGCATCGGTGCTGGTGCGATAACCACGGGGTTCGGGGGTGGGGGTGGCGGTGGGGGTAGCAATGGGCTTGTGAGCCTGGAGCATCAAGAAACGTGAAGAGTATCAAGCTACCAACTTTATGTTGTGAGTACAGGGTTTTCATGACCTGAGGGCTTGGCCGACACGCCGTTCGAGAAGGTTGGTTGAAGGTTGTAGCGGCCAAAAAATAAGGTTTAATTGGTGCCTGAACTAAACTGCTTTCTGTTCGTAGTGCCGTGCCCTGTTTGCCAACGTTTTCATAGCGGTTGACAAATATTTGGTAAACAATAGTTACATGCGCACGCCACAATTCAAAAAAATTATATGTGCTAGCTGTCTCGGATCGACGTTTGGGCAGAGGATGGAAACGTCAACGTCAGAGTAGGTTGTAGGCCGTTCCGCCAGCAATTAACCTGGCCTTCAGTGATTATATTAATACCTCTAATTAGAGCGTATTTGCCAACCGTCAATTTCAACTATTGACACTTCAAACTTGACAGTTTCGGGAGGCAAAATTGACAGTTCCCCGCAGTGGCCAAAATCGATCTGGTTAACGGTATGACAGAATAAACCCCGAAAACCAGACAACCCATCACGCTACCTGTGAAGTACGCTGTTGGAACTGAAAATTCATACCCATGATACTAGCTTCGGTAGTAACAAAACTGGATACTTGTGATCCTCCTGGTATATTTCACAGCACGCCGCCCCACCGAAATTCAAAATTAACAGCCCCGGTTGCCATTGCGGAGCCCCACAATTTGTAAATTCTTGAAATTGACGGTTGGCAAATACGCTCTATTGCATAATTTGTTAGGTACACGGTGCAAAAGCCAAGAAGGTCCATGAGGCTGTGAAGAAACTGGATCAATGGGTTGACAATACGACTTGGGAACAACACAGAACCAGTTTTAAAAACAATACAATTCACTTAAAAGGAACTTGCTCGAACTTGCAACACAGGAAATACACATGGACCTAGACACAAATAACTTTTATTTCCTCATCCCTTCGCTAGCAGCCAGGAGACAATGAAAAAAAGATATTCGCGTCAACTGGAGGCAGTGTAATACCAGTGACACAGTGGGACCATAGATGTGCAAGCACAGAGCTGTGGTCCCGAGGCAAACAAAAATAAGTATAATCAATAAATGGTTCCATAGAACCGTTTCAGAGATTAAACTGAAAAGAACAGATACTACACTTGATCTAAGCCACTGTGAGGGGGTTAGCAAGCATTCTCGAGACATGATGTATGGTGTTGAAAAGCCAAATGTTGGGGGTAGACTTACAAAGGCAAAGAGAGCTGGGGATCGAAGAGGGTGCGGGGACGAGGGGTATATATACTCCCATAGGACTTGGCGCCCAGCGAAAATTTGGTCGATGATTATGAATCGTGTTCCCTGTCATGCATGGGAGCCAAGCGATTAGATGACATAAATGCGCGTGCTGAGACACAAGCATTGGCAGCATTCAGAAACGATGGTCGTTTAGAGCTAACAGCTGTCGATAGACTTGATCCAGTGTGAATATGATTGTTATTGCTTATAGTGCAGATACATACAGTAATTGGATATCTTTGCTCTACCCGGTGCCAAGGTACATCATAAGCTCTTTATTATCTTGCCGGCATCATCAGCCGTTTCTCCAGACTGGCATGTGGGGAAATCAACACCACTTCCCCGCAATCCTGAACTTCTTCCTTCCTAGATGGCTTCGGCTGGCAGTTTTATGAAGGGACGGCATGCACGCTGGACGTTCCGAGACAATAGCCACTGCAATCATAGCCTAAGCAGTTGCTTAGGACGCCGCTCCCGTACTTGGCTTCGAAATGATCGGCCGTGGAGTATGGGAACTTTGAAGAGGTCAGGGTGAAAATACAGCCATTGAAAGGCAAGGGGATGTTATGATGCCTGACCTTGCACGGTGTTCAACCTGGAGTTTGTCTGGTGGTACATCCTGAGTGCAATTCGCAGTTGTTAACATCAGAGCAAGGAGAATTAGGTTGGCTAACATCTGGTGGCTTCGTTTTCGGGAACAGAGTAATTTAACTCCAAAACCGGCCCTTTTTGAATCGTAGGAAGGAACGGGGATCGAGTCTATTCATCCTCTGGGTCCGTATACTACAACTATCCCCGGTTCAACGGGGAGCATTGACAGCGAACATCGTACAACCTGATACTATAAAACCGGGGAAATCCTGTATTGGGATATAGCCTGTGGAATAATATCCATTTCACACTGGATTTCCCGTAGATCCCTTTTGCCAAACCGGGATCTGACATTCGGCTAAACAGTGTAACGTGCTACGGTACCCCCCAAGCCTGGGAATGACATCTTTTTTCCGGGCTTGGTAAAGAGATTGATCGATCACCTCGGTGGAATGTTGTGGGGGATAGCGAACGATTTGAATGGCGATGCGGGGTTTTCTGTATTGATTTTCGGGCTCGCCATTGTCCGAGTGGAAATATTGGAAATTATTCAAATTGCCCTCAAGGTGGTAGTATAAAGTCTGTTGTTGGCTCCATCACTTTAAGGTTTTTCAATCCTCGCGAGCACGGTACTGTCGGTGCTGTCTTTATTGGTGAAAATGAAACTCTCAATGCGGAGTCTGTACACCGCGGGATGCCTTTTGGCTCTCACTTTGGCCACGGTTGTGACTGCTTCTCCCACTGGTCAGCCAAAGAGTCTTTTTGGAAGGAAGCCGAGTGATTATATCATTCAGAGAGATGACAATAACCTACAAACCATGGTAGGTGTCGATCAATGTTTCGAAATTGATCGAATTGTCCGCTGATAATTGGCTTGCTACAAAAAGGTTACATGGGACGAGCATTCGCTTCTCTTGAACGGCGAAAGAATCATGATCTTCTCCGGCGAGGTTCATCCTTGGAGGTAATTAAGAAGGGCTACCTGTGTCTTGCAAGATTCGATATTGATCAATTCCGCAGATTACCCGTTGCTTCGCTCTGGCTCGACGTCTTCGAAAAGATCAAAGCCCTCGGCTTCAACGCCGTATCCTTTTATGTGCACTGGGGTCTTGTTGAATACAAGAAAGGCGATTTCAACTTCGACGGCATCCGTTCATACACCCCATTCTTCGAAGTTGCTCGCAAAGCTGGTATCTACCTTATAGCTCGCCCAGGACCATACATCAATGCCGAGACCTCCGGCGGTGGTTTTCCCGGATGGGGAACCCGAGTTGAAGGTGCTTGGAGGTCTGAGAACGCAACGTACATGGCAGCCATGGAAGACTATGTGCGCGTGATTAGTGAAATTATCGCACCGGAACAAATTACGAACGGTGGACCTGTTATTCTGTTGCAGCCAGAAAACGAGTTTTCAATCGGGACTCCGTGGATCCCATGGCCCCAGTCGCACTATATGCAGGTTCTGCAAGATTGGTTCAGGGATTCCGGAATTGTGGTACCAATGATCTCCAACGATGTATGGGGTGGGTTCGCGAATTATGTTCCTGGCTCTGGAGAGGGTCAGGTTGATATTTATGGTTACGATGGGTACCCCCAAGGTGTGTCATCTGTCCTTAATCTCGAATGCGCATGTAGAAGCTGACCCTGTTAAGGTTTCGATTGCGCAAACCCCTACGCGTGGATCGATGGCAAGCTTCCAACGGACTTCTATGAAACACACATGAGTGTTTCTCCGAACACGCCAAACTCGATCCTGGAATTCCAGGGTGGTGCTTTCGACCCATGGGGAGGCTCTGGTTACGACGCGTGTGCAATCCTTCTGAACCACGAATTTGAAAGAGTGTTCTATAAGAATAAGATCTCATTTTCAACCACTATCTTCAACATCTACATGGTGTGTTCTAGTAACCCTAACCCTATGGCATCGAATAATCTCTAATCTCATTTCTTTAGACTTTTGGAGGTACCAACTGGGGAGGAATTGCATTCCCTGGAGTATACACCAGTTACGACTACGGAAGTGCCATTTCCGAGAACCGTCGCATCAATCGTGAGAAATACAGCGAATTGAAGCTTCAGGCCAACTTCCTCAAAGTCTCGCCAGCTTACCTCACCACTGTCCCCCAGAACTTGATCCCAAACACCATTAACGGGTCCTTTACCAACAACCCCGCACTTGCTGTTACGGAGACCAAGGACGTCGTCGGAAACAAGACCGTTTTCTGGATTGTGCGACATGGGGCGTACAACTCACTCGAGAAATCAACCTACAAGCTCACTGTACCGACGAGTCTTGGAAACCTCTCCATCCCGCAGCTGGGCGGAAGCCTCACTCTTGATGGACGTGATTCTAAGATCCACGTTACCGACTATGCGTTTGGTGATAAGACGATCCTTTACTCATCTGGCGAGATTTTCACCTGGTAAGTCTTTTATTAACCCCGACTTTACTAATAATTGAAAGAGCGCGACTGACCATTAATCATATCACAGGAAAAAATTCGGCTCCAAGCATGTCCTCGTCCTATACGGCGCTTCGGGAGAAACCCATGAAACAGCTATCGCATACAAAGGAACAGCACCCACGATCAAGGTTGCCGATAAGAAGTCCCTCAACAAGACTCAAGCCAAGGATGGTGTACTCATCTTAAACTATGTGACCACCGATCAAACTGTTGTGGAGATTGGAGACGATTTGCTTGTATACTTGGTTGATCGGAATGTGGCTTATAGACTGTGGGTTCCGGATCTCCCATCAGACAAGGGTGTTCCGGGCCCGGCGTTCAGCACGGATGATGCAGTTATTATCAAAGGGACCTACTTGATCCGTTCAGCGGACATTGCTGGTAGCACTTTGCAGGTTAGAGGAGACATCAATGCTACTGAGACTATCGAGGTAGTAGCTGGGTCAGATGTAAAGAAGGTCAAGTTCAATGGTGAGGATGTGAAGGTTGAAAAAAGTTCATACGGAACTTTGTTAGGCAGATTGGTTTACAAAGAGCCTAAAGCAACATTACCAGCTTTGAGCAAACTTACCTGGGTACGAGTTTTGCTTTTCTTTTCTTCTGGATTCTTGTGCTAATATCATGGGCTTGCAGAGATATGCGGACAGTTTACCAGAGATTGGCGATAAATACGATGACAGCAAATGGACAAACGCGGATAAGAAGAACACTACCAATCCTAGAGCGTTGACTACACCCGAGAACTTGTATTCGAGCGAGTATGGTTACCATACCGGAAATATCCTCTGGAGAGGACACTTTACCGCAACCGGAAAGGAAAACAGCTTTAATGCTTCTCTCATTGGTAGTTCACCAGCCACGCAATTTTATTTATTAAGCAAATATTAATTGGTTCAATTTATAGGTGGCAATGCATTCGGATTCAGTGTCTGGTTGAACTCTGACCTTCTTGGATCGTGGTATGGATACGACTCTGGAGCCTTTGGAAATAAGACCTTCACTTTCCCCACACTGAAGAAAGGAAGCAAGTGCATCATCACTATCTTGCAAGATCATCAAGGGTTGAACGAGGACTGGACTGCCGGATCAGATGATTTTAAGACCCCAAGAGGAATCTTGTACTATGACTTCAAAGGAAGCCCAGATACCACTGTCTCCTGGAAATTGACCGGAAATTTAGGAGGTGAAACTGTAAGCATTGATCACAAATATCTATGATTGAGCTACACAAGCTAACAGACTTCAGTATATCGATCGCACCAGAGGACCTTTGAACGAAGGTGGTCTTTATGCGGAACGTCAAGGATGGCATTACCCAGGATTCAGCACCGATAAGTGGACCAAGAAGTCTCCGTTTGAGGGCATTGACAAGGCTGGTGTTGGGTTTTTCAAGTAAGCTCCTAATAGACTTTCTGAGTGTGTACAAGTACTGACATCCATCCCAGGACCGAATTTGATCTCAACCTGCCTAAGGACTATGATATCCCGCTTTCGTTTAAGTTCTCCAATTCAACCTCGACCCCTAATTTCAGAGCCCAAATCTACGTTAACGGGTATCAATTCGGTAAATACGCCAATAACGTTGGTCCACAACTTGAGTTCCCCGTTCCAGAGGGAATCATTAATCATCAAGGAAAAAACACTCTTGGTGTTTCACTCTGGGCGATGGACAAGGAGGGTGCGAAGATTGATGGTTTGGAGCTTGTGGCAAATGCACTTATCCAAAGTGGGTTCGGAGAGGTTGAAGCGAGTGAGCAGCCGAGGTGGAAGGAGAGAAAGGGGGCATATTAGACCTAAAAGTCTCTTTATGAGCTAGTCTGTATATACTTTGAAAATACTTGTTTTATGGTTGTGAAACGGACGCCAAGACCTCTTTGTACTCGGTACTAATCCCAAACGTAGGTCACGATAATCATCTTGAAAGTTAGGAAGTTTCTTAAAGTAAAATCCTTCGTAATATAAAACGACTATGGCCAGATGTCAATATTGCAAAATTCAAATATATCGGTTTATACTGGCAAAACTTTGAGATCTGTATCAAACCCGAAACAATCTAATAACTACTAGTTCGCCATATCACTTCTTACTGAATTACGATGGGCTGCCGCCAGAGCAAAGCTACCCCCTTCTCCCCTCTACTACCAAATATTACAAGCACTGCCAGACCACGATTTAATGGATCCACAGCCGCGAGCCAAAATAGACGAGTCAGCGAATATACTTTTGCCGGGGAAGAGTGGAGGGAGTACTATAATAAGCAGGCTTTAAAAGAGGGATATAGGTCACGCAAAACCACAAGTTTATATAATAATTATAGCTGAGTTTTTCAAGGGGATCTTTACATATAACACATACGAATGAGTTACATGTACTGCTGGACATGCTGCCGGTGGGTTTGACTATATATCTCACTAGCTTCGATCGGCTGTGTTTCTTTTATTGTTTCTTCCTTTGGTTGGGTATGTTGATAGGTGATTTGGTGAATGAATTGTGAATTTATTTCTGATACGGGTATTTCCCGATCATTTCGGCTTGACTCGATGATTCGAGATAGAGCAATATATACATACATGTACATACATGTACATGCATGTATATATCCACTACAAATATATACTCATGCGTTTATTAAATGGTCGGAATTCTTAGTAGGGATTTGGTTGCAACGATATCCGACCATTTAATGAACGCCCGAGTATATAGCTCCCATAAATAGAAATCTAAGCGCTTGTCAAGTATTCAAATTCACTGGTGGCTGCATTTAGTACATATATACTTGTAACTACATGTAACCCATTTTACCCCTCTTCAGCTATACCTACATACATAGAGAACCCGCCTGAGTCCTAGCACGGTCATGGGTGTCATTTGGTTTCTTAGCACCGAGCCTGCCATTTCAAGGGGAATTCGAAGGGAGTCATTAGTGCCGTTACACGCATGTCTAATATCTTATCAGATTTTCGGTACATCTTGCTACACACTGACATACCTACGACTCACGAGTGATGCCGATTCGGTCGGTATGGTACAACATTGTCTCGCTCCGAACAAAAACTTTTGGCGCCATGGTTCGTACCTCACGTAGCTTAAATATGGCACAAGATAATTACTTCATCGATCTCTATCTCTCAAGATTCAAGAAGTCTCAGTTATGTACTCTACCTTTCTACTCTATCTATACTTATTCTGAGGTTCTGATCCCATAGAAAAACGCGCCAAGTCCACGATTTCATTCTACATAGTCTCATGCTCAGCGGCTAGTGATCACACAAGAGGTTGAAATTTGCCTATTTAGTTTTTGTCTTAGATTATACATACGCCCCCTAATCTTCAAGGCCGGACCCCATTGGACACTAACCCTGCATAGCGTCAATGGATGATTGGTACCTCGCACTCCACTCCAACAACACAAGGCTAACAATTGCGATGAATATATGTGGTGACCTTGCGCGGCGCTCGGAAACTCCCCGAAGACGAAGTCTATATCATTAAACAACCACCGGAGAAATATATATCCTGCTACCCCCCTTTTTCATGCAAAACCTTCAGTATCAGAATCAGAGTCTAGCGACATATACCTGCCGCTTCTCGAAGGATGACGAGTTGGTCGACGACCTAGAAAAATCTAACAATGGCAACACTCCAGTATGGAATGCGCAGAGCGTACGGGGTAAAGAAGCCGGCAACAACGAACCTGCTTTCATCCCAGGCCAACCCCTGTATCCGCTTGAGCATCAGCCGGAGGAAGTCACGAGATTCCTTGACAAGGACCTCAAAACAGAGCTACTAGACAGCATGAGCCATATCCTCTGGCTGCTATCTAGTAAGAACAACATCAACCCGTTACACCGGCAAGCGATTAGGAACCGACAGATCCTGATAACTGAAGACCCTACACTCCATCTTGTCTGGTATTATGACCAGATATTCATCAAACCGATTCCTCGTTATCTCCTCAATCATGCCTTTTTCGAGACATATATATCCGGGTGCACTTCTTCAGAAATCCACAAGGCTGCGAACGGGTTCCTTCGTACCTACTCGCGCCTAATAGTCTACGAGTCTGATTTCGAAATAGCAAGGGAAAAAGGACTATTACCGAAGGACGAGCGTATAACTTGGCTAAAGTGGTGCAAGTATATCCGAGAATTCCGAAACTTAGACACCGACAGTGTTACTGGTAGATATGTGTACGGCGAGTTGCGACTTAGCAGGCTCAATTTTTATACCAAAGCTTTCGGTTATGGATGGAACTATTTCGATACCTACACGCAGTATTTGCAGTACTTTAGCCGGTTTCTGGCGCCGTATTTGTTTTTCTTTGGAAGCGTTTCTGTGATCTTGACGGCGATGCAAACATCTCTAGCGGCGGAGTCGTCACCTGAGGATATGAGGTATCATGTATCAGCAACCACTTTTATAAGTTTTACTATATGGGCTACGGGCATTGGCTTGTTGTTTTTTCCGGCGCTTTATCTGTTCTTCCAGTTACGAGAGTTAGTTTTTGCAATTACCACTGGCAATAATAAGAAGGAGTGATCGGTTAGGTATTTATTTCTTGTTTTCTTTTTCCGTTTCTCTCCTGTCTCTCTTTTTAGAGAAGTCGTTTGCTTTTCAGTTTTGACAAGTTTCTTTTAGAACTGTAGTCATATATATACTTGTTTAGAAATCTCAAAGGTTCTCGAATTATACGTTTTTATTTAGGGAAGACATTAGAGAAAGCCAGGTTATCCACCTGTATTCTCACGTTTGTAAGGGCAAGAGACGGGATGACGGTAAGTAGGCTATACGGCCATTTATTTGCGCACTCGAATTAATTAAGGGCTCCATGAGACGAGAAGCAAAGACTTTGTTGTGTGGGGCTTTTATCTGGGGCTTGGCTCATAACTACTCACTCGATGTCTCGAGATGAGTGAGATTAGATAGGATTGGGCCTATAGCTCGCAATGTCATGAGGGCGGAACTTAACTTACCTAATCGTTCCTCGAACAGTTCCGAAGACCGATATGTCAGGTCGCCGCCACCACTGAACATGGCTACTTGAGAATTGGGAACAATTGAATAATTATATTAAGTTTGAACCACATTCCACAGCTTCTTAAGAAGCCCTAACCCTGTAAGCTTTAATCGTACATTGTCAAATTTCGAGATGCTAGGGGATTACCACCCGGGCGCCGGGGTCTTTTCCAAAAACCACTTCTACTTTTAGAACATACATGTATGTCCTCCGATATTGGCTCATTTAGCTTAACCTTGTATTCTCTTGAAGCCTTTTTTCCAATTTGTAATAGACTACACCTAGATTACATAGCTCCTTTCAATGATGAGGGCGCCAGGTCTGGGGTTAGAGTTTTAATACCGAAACACTTCACTTTTCCTGACATATATACATCATATTCTTTTATATCTATAAATACATCGAGACACGTACACGTATTATATACAGCCTCTCAGCCGCTCTTGTTTGTGAGCAAGACCAGTAAAAGGACATGCTAATATCTTTGTAGGGAGTATCGAATTGATGATGTCATGTCTTTAGAGAGTCTAGAATAGGGTTGAGTAATTTTCTTTTATCTTTATCATGAATCTTCTAGTTCAGACTAGGGGATGATGGGGAGAGGTTTTGTTTGGGTACTGCCCTATTGTAATATGTGCATATGGAAAGGTCAAGGGCCGAAATTTCGAAAATTAGTCAAACATAGATACACCTGCGGCTGGTCCGGAGCATCAAGCCATTCGCTGTAGGTTTTATCTGGGGGCAAGTGAATAACGCCATATTTAACGACGGGTGGTCGTACTATGTGTGTATGAGCGTTTTAACGAAAAGAACACATGTTCTCTACAGGGTATCGTAATTTATCTATTTATTAGGCGGCGTTAATTTGTGTCTTTGTCTTGACGCTACTTGTCCATCTCGCAGGTTCGGTGATTACGTCATCACACATGCACCCCAGACTTTGAATTTAGGTGGCCTCATCCTGAAGGGTCCTCTCTGCTCAGCTTAAGCTCAACACCCGCATTCGACATATAACACCCCCCGCGGCCCCCCCCCCGATCAATTCGTTCGTCCATCATAATCGCATCATGGTTCTCCTCAGAGACGTTACCAGTGTTGTAGCCTTTTTGGCAATGGCACAAAGTGCCAGTGCCTTTTATTCAAAGACAAGTGGAGTCTTGAGTCTTGACCAAAAGGGCTTCAAAAACGAGATCCTGCAGTCTGGACATGCTGCTGTAAGTCTTCGCGGAAAACGCAAACTTGGGACTAGAAACTGATCTGTTTTGGCACGCAGGTCGTAGAGTAATTCTCACCCCACGTTGCCACCTTATGCAAACCCAGATACAGAGAACTGACTTGTTTGCGATCTGGCAAAGGTTCTATGCGCCATGGTGTTAGTGCCCCTCTATTAACTCTACCCCACCAAGCTCCTGCAACTACTGACAACTCTCTTTTCTTCAAAAAAACAGGCGGACATTGCAAAAATCTCAAGCCTGACTATGAGAAGGTTGCAAAATCACTGAAAGGCCTTGCCAAGGTTGCTGCAGTCAATTGTGACGAGGAAAAGAATAAGAATTTGTGCGCGGAACAGGGAGTTCAGGGTTTCCCTACGCTTAAGATATTTCAGCCTTCGGGGAAGAAGGGGAGTCCGTCTATTATAGGTTTGTTGATCAGCTCTTTCGCCTTCAAAGTTCTGCTACTAACTAAATGTAGATTACAACGGCCCTCGAACGGCAAAGGCCATTTCCGATGCTGTCGCTGAACGTATACCTAATCATGTTACCCGTGTCACCTCCAGTAAACTTGACGATTTTCTCGCCAACAAGAATGAGACGGTAAAGGCGATCCTATTCACGAACAAGGGCGTTACCAGCCCGCTCTGGAAAGCTCTAGCTATCGACTTCTTGGGTTCTATCACCTTCGCTCAAATTCGCGATAAGGAGGCAGAGGCTATTGTGGCTTTTGGAATCGATAATTATCCGACTGTAGTGGTTCTCCCCGGAGGAGACAAGGAGGGAATTGTTTATCAAGGGAAGATTGCGAAGGATGATTTGTTCGAGTTTTTTAAGCAAATCGCACCTCCTGTGCAGGAGCCTGAAGCTTCTGCCAAACCGAAAAAGGAAAAGAGCAAGAAGACCGAGGAGCAACAGCCGATTGTCGTAGAGGTTAATGATGAAGATGCTCCAGTTGAAAACAAAGTTCCCAAGCCGGAAAAGCGTATGAATAACTCTAACTCTTGATTACTCACGTATATTAAGGCTGACAACGTTGAGTAGCCAAAGCAGAAGTTCCTGTTCTTGCCGATCAAGCTGCCCTGACTGAGGCCTGCTTCTCTCCGAAGTCAAAGACTTGCGTTTTGGCTATTACTCCTTCCGAGTCCGAGTCCGAGTCCGAGACTTTTACTAGCGTCTACAATACGCTTTTACACAGGACTGTCAATCCGTTCAACCTTTATAAGCTCGAATCTTCTTCGGAACACGCCCAGAAGCTTTCGGAAAAGCTGAACTTGGACACGTCGTCCGGCGCTGTAGTAGCCGTGAATGCACGAAGGAATTGGGTGAGAAAATTCGAGGGCGACATTACGAATGAGGTTGAGATCTTGGCGTGGCTAGATGCTGTTAGGCTTGGCGAGGTGAAGAAGGAAAAGTTGCCGGCAGGCTTGGTTGCGGAAGATAAGGAGGAGGAGAAGCACGATGAGTTGTAAAACATGATTTCTTCTTTTCCTTCTTTTGCGTTTTTGAGTCAAACGTGATGAGAGCAACAAACTTTCTGTGGTCGTGATGCAATTTCCTTATAGGATTTCTGCATGTTTCAATTGTGGTGAAAAGATTGAACTTCATTAAGGATTGCGGCAAGACCTCATAAGTGGGATGACAAAATTTCCAAATCACTCTAGTTCCAGTCGTACAATTTATTTACGTTTACCTTTTAAATATCAAAAATTGTATCTTTGAAGTGACCAAGCTTTTTTCATCCTATGGTAGTTACAGATACATATGTAGGCGGATCTTGGCACCGTTTCATCCTCTACGGCACAGGTACTCGCTCTGGTACCCAGGGCCCCTGGAGATATGCAAGTACGGTACATGTATGTACCTACATATGTGTACTGTACCTACAAATCGTCTCCTTAAGACCACGTTCGGAATCGGAACCCCGCGACTGTCTGCGTGCGTGGTCGTGGAAAGCCAAATTTATGTATGTACTTTAGCTATAGCTGGCTCAAGGAAATTAATGAGGTGGTATTCAAAACTACATGTATAATATCTAACTGCATCTCAACCAGCTTTATAAATTTCAAGACTTATTTCTTCGGAGTTAGAAGGGTCTGGCTGTATTTACCGACAGTTTTGGGGGGGTAATCACCCCCTTCACGAAAAATTGTCTAAGGTACATGTAAGCATGCTACTACTCTAAATAAACACCTCTAAAGTTGCAGGGCTGAAACGACCAGGAGGTGCAGCGCCCCAATCCCAATCGAGATCTACCCCGCCTAGCATTCCGAAGCACTTCGTATATAATCTACTCTACTCTAGCATCTACTTAGACTATCACGGCCATGGTCTCAGGCACGGGCCGTATCCTAAATCTGTACTCTAATCTACTCTAGTGCACTTCCGCAAACACCCTTAACCAATAAACCCGAGTCCCCTAGCGTGTTATGCGTGTATTTAGAGCAGTTTTTTACAGTGAGCAAGTCGATCCCTTCCTTTCTCCTCCTGCTGACGAGAGCGTGATTCGCTGCCATCCCATATGTAGGTCCAGTACACTACTCTACATTCCAGTTACCTACTCTAGCGCATGTAGATGATTTTAAATACGCCGCCGGTAGGGAGTCGGACCAGGGTTCCTTGTTGACTCGTACAGTATCAGAAATGGGGGGTAAAACTGATACCGCATCAATACAACATTGTAAGAATATGCCGCTTTATCTCCGTATTTTGACGAAGTAAACGGTGTTACCACAGTGGTACAGCATTGCCAAAGACTGCGGTAGTCGTTTTATTAGTTTATAGAGTACTCGCCCCACATTCCTTGCTCTCTGACCGTCTTCCTCTAAAACATCAAGCAAATCTGTACTCCGAACCTATTTCCACAGCAGAGAGCGGTCACTAGCCAGGTACCCAAAGAATTAACCCCACCTCCCCAAGCTGATCTTTTATTACTATTAAATATTCAGGATAGAACTAAACTAACCGGATGATGATTGGCAGAGGAACGATGGCCAGACATAATCACACTCCAGTCTCTACAGTCGATACAGATCTACCATTACCGCCCCCAAAAGACAATGTTGGCAAAACCAAACTTGCAATGCCGGTGGTTAGAGAACCGCGGGTAGCGACCTGGTTGAGGAGGACCGTAAACAAACTCGGCTACTGGCAACTGTCTGTTCTTGTTCTCGGAAACATTGCTATCCTCTTTGCAGTCGCTATTCTTTGCTATCTATGGAGTTCGGTCAGCAGAAAGAGCGCGGAGGGGACCTCTGTCTGGGAAATGATTGTGTTCTCAGGCTGGATTCTGCGGGTCATAACTCTTACTTCCATTATCATCCGAACGGCAATGACGATGCAGGCGACGGTCTTTTGCATGGTTCTGGCCTCAATAACACTACAGCGCGGCGGTGTTCTTATGCAGAATGCCGCAGCTGTGTCGATATACAGATTCACAAACTCGGGCCCACATAACATGATACTCCCACTGTTTTTTGCCCAGAGAGGATGGAAGTCGGATGTTGCAATGACTATGACCGCGCTGCTGTCATTAACAACAGTATGCAGTCAATTCACATCGACGATTCTCCTTATGGATCTTGGTCAAGCACGGATTCAGACACCAACAAGGAAGTTCGATGTAGCTTACGGCGCCAACGAAAACCAGAGTATGAGTACGGGAGAATTCTACGTCAGCTCTTATACTAGCACCTGGACCGAGAGACCGTCAAATCTACCGGTTTTTGCAGAGAAGACTAGTGAAAATATCGTTCTTCATAACCGGGACAACGACGGTGCTCTATATGCAACGGGCTCCACCATTCGTGCATTCTTACCGCTCGAAAAGAAAGACCGCGACGCACTCGCCGAATATAAAGGGCCAGCGGCGATTATGGATTCAAGAGTTTTCTGCATGTCTCCTTACGTTCGGGAGCTGAAATATAATGAAGCGGGGTATAGTATGGTAAACGAACGTGGCGATAATTATAGTTATCCCTTTATTGAAGCAACGGTTGGCATAGATACTTTTCTCGAGCACCAAGATGAACTGTTGTCCAAAGGTTTTCTGACGAGCGGGGTCGATAATCCGGCACGAGATATCAAATTTTACTGCAAAACCCCTCTCCTCTTGTCCTATCCTCCACCGTTCTATGAATGGCCACTCTCGCTCTGTTCTCCAGTTTACCCCGGGCTTCAAAGTCTCAATAGCTCGGGCGAACGCACCTTCAACGATACGTTCCAATATACCTGGGTAGTATTGAACATGACAGGCTACGACTGGCTCTGGGCAAATTCTACCGTTAACGTTGAGAATTCTACAATTGATCTTAAATCTGGTTACGGCGACAGCGTCGACGGCGAATGGACGAAGTTCTCGTTTCCCAGCCCAGACGTTGAGACGGCCGAGTCACTAGACATGAGTTTAAGTCTTTGCTTCAGCGCTGTCACTTCTAGAAACGCCCTCGTCACAGCAAGGGCTAGCTGGAACCTTACCGAGCCGACGCTAATCAAAGATGCCGACAAGGTCCGCTACAACTCAACTTTAATACGAAAGTTCCTCGGCGTCGAAACCGGAACCAAGGATGACCTTGATCACGAGAGCCGTCAAATCGCTGATCTTGTCAACATAGATGATGATGACAGTTCACTATTGGTGACCGATAATTGGATTACGCCTTCCCTGGTTGACGCGTCATTAAGTCAGTACAATTTTGCTGCCGCGGCGGCTATAATGTGTATCTGGTGTCAACTCGATGTGAGTGTTCACGAAGGCTATATCAATATTTTCGAAAACACCTTAAGAGAAACATCACATCCAGCACTAGCCATCCAAGCACTTTTGACCAGCCGCGCCCTGCAAATCTACGAAGGCCGCCGAACAGATCTTACGACCCCCGGTACTGCTCTGTTGAATGTCATTGAACCGTTTCAGATCCCAATCAGGATATCTGGGCTCTCGGCTATCCTGGCGCTGATTGCTTTTCATATGTTGCTCATGATATATGTTATAGTACTGTTCTTCAAAATAGAGGGACCTACGTCTTTGGGGCAGTCCTGGCAGGCAGTGGCGCAGTTAGAGGGAGAGGAGACAATAGAGACAATGGCATTTGCCAAGAAGGCGACAGATGTAGAGGTTGAAAGCTGGTTGACGGAAAAGGGTACCCATAGGGAGAGGATGGTCATCAAAAAGGGGACAGTTATGAGGAAAAGCCTAGGGTCAACAGGAAGCTACGAATACAGTCGCGCACCGCATTCTGATAGCATGACGTGATTGCCTGTGGGGGCGCATATCTTGATGACTGACGAGCTATATAGAGTTTTTTCTTTCTTTCTTCTTTTTATTTTTCTATGTTTATTATATACGTACCCGTGTAGTATACTATTTGTTTATGTTTTATATTATAGTAATCCCCTATCCGATCAGATATATATACTCACTGGGCCTTTCAATTTTAGGGGTTCGGAACATATGACATAGCTGATCATGGGGACAATCCAATGATACCTCATGAATTTATGGGTTAAGCCAGTCAAGTTCCTATGGGGTTGATTGGTACTTTAGTAGGCGATCAACTAGAGCCCTGGGGGCCAAGACACATAGAATGAGCCCAACAAGCTTTCTGCTACATAATACCCCGGGCCCAACTGCTAAAATCAAACTAAACTTTACCGCAACTCACGACGTCCCACACGATTTACAGGTCAGAAGAACACACACACACAAGTGAATACTACCATCCTCCAACTACACACCCGTCCTCACTATCACAAGCACCCCCACAAACTCTCCAGATATCACACCAAAACACACCACCAAGACCGAAACCAAAGCACAAATCACCTCCTCCCTCCCACCCTACCTACCACCATTGCACCCACAACACACTCAATGGAGACAGTCTACACCATCGACGAGCTCGACCGGTTCCGGCTCAGCAACCCCGACTACATCTACTCCCTCCGGAAGCGCTACACCACGCAGCAGGACCTGCTTCTGCGCCTCCGCTTACAGTTAATCAGCAAGAGTCCATTCTACGGCTCAGGGAACACGAAAGAGCTAAAGGATCTGCTGAAGGGAGCGAAGGGTCGAGAGGCGTTGGCGCTACCGCGGAAGGATGATGTGAGGTGGCATACATTTACGACCGAACAGCATAAAGAGGCGAAGGCGTTGGTGGGGGGCCTGAAGGAGGGGGAGGGCGATATAGAGAAGATTGTGGAGGAATTGGAAAGGTTTGTGCTGGATTGTGGGTGGGGGGAATGAGATGGAGGGGGGAGGATGTTGTGAAGAGTTGAGATTCTTTCTTGTTTTTGGTTGGGTTTTGTGATTCGGGTTTGGGTGGTTGGTTGGTGCTAATTTTTCTGCTGGCTTTGTTAACTTGAGCTCGTTGGGTATATTTATTCAATGATTAATGTTCTCATAGAATTCCATTATAATTCCTGTGAAGCAGTGTGTACGTTTTAGTAATGAAGCTTTAGGTGAGCTATCTGAAATATACGCGGATACCATCATTGTTGATTCCACTCGTAGACTCCAAATATCAAATTCATTTTCGTACCTCAAGCTGTTGGTCCTGCTACACCCCCGTAATGGATTGGGCTTAGATCTCATCACCATTGCTTGTTGAGGTATGGCTTCCTAGACTAGGATCAATTATGTAGCCAGTGTCACTATGCATATGGTGTCAATAGTAGATGACGTCAACAGCTGGATAGTCCGGTATACCACGAGTAAAATGGGTATATAAGGACACTTATATTTTCACCGCAACTCTGCATGCCTCTCTCCATACCTTTCTAGTCAATGAAGCAGTCAAGAAAACCTATGCCCCCCACTCCGGTACCTATTTCCATCAATTGCTCTAGGAGCCTTCATCGAGTGATAATCCATGACCCAAGTTTCTGGAAGCAGAGGGCTGCTGGAACCTCCTCTGAGTGTAGGAATAACCTTTGTGGTCAAACTAAACGAGTTGTGTGAGCTATGGAGGGTTCATCATTTAAAAGTACATTGTCTACGCTGGATTCTGAAGTCAGAAACCTTCCGGATGCGAATGAAGCTGCCGAAAATTTCGAGGAGAGAATCATTATATACACCCTCTCACTCAAATCGAAATAGTATGTCTTCTTCGTCTTACATGAAGGGCTCTCGGAAAAGGGGTGCCAAACCCCAACTCAACCCCCCTAAACCCAAGCTAGGTTGAGGTAGCTAAACCTGGGTTATGGAATCAGGAGGCTTTTGGCGCTTATGACACATGTTAGTAAGATTTATCCGAAGATTTAAGCTAAGTTGGCTCCTTGGCCGGGTCAAGACTCCAACCCTTTGTCATTATCATTATCATCTTCGTATCTTTCCTTACTAACATCTCGAATATAAAGTAGTAATCAATGTTTGGTCAACAAATTTGTTTTATCATTTCTTTTTACATAACAGACTATTTAACAAAACCCTCCCCAAAGATTATAGACAACGCAGCTAACTTAGCCAGAGAACACAGCAGGTCCTGGGAAAGTGTAGCTGGTGAAGGCATTATAGATGTTAACTGTGATACCAGGGTCAGTCGCAGTGATGTGTCCTGGAATCGAGAAGTAGCTCGGGCTCGCGCTTCCGCCTCCAGTAACCGCAATCTGGGCACAGGAGATGTAAAACTGAGGAGCACCGCCGGGGTTGTGGAGCGCAATCTGCTCAATACGGAGGAGGTAGTTTCCACTAGGGACGGAAGAGGGAATAGAGGCAGAGTATGTCTCTGTATAACACACATTAGCATCTAGCTGTTATGAAAGCGAATATGGTTTAGGTAAAGGAGAACGTACGGTACATGGGCCATGTAGCAGAACCACTGCTGAAGGTGGGACCTTCCTGCTTGATCTTGATCCAGTTTGCACCTGAACCGTCCCAGGTGGCGGCAGTCTGGCCTGAGGGGACCTTTCCAAGATACCAGAGGATGGGTCCCTGGTGGTAAACTGCTACATCAAGGTCAAAAGTAACCTGGAAATAACGACATTAGTAAAGATCTGGATAGCAGAGGGAAGGTGGTGGACATACAGTTGATCCAGCAGCGACTGTCTTGATGGTGGTTGCAGACCCAGTGGCGCCAACATTACAGCGGATATCAGTCGAGGTAGTATCGGTAACTGGAGAGTTGTAGTTGGTGTTCGGACGGATGTTTTCATATTCAGCACCCTTGGTTCCTCCGGCAGTCAGCCAAGCAAAACGGTCTAGATGTCATTAATGTTAGCATACAGTCCTCATCTTGGTATCAGGCAGAGAGAGGTATACAATGAGCGGAAGCGACGTCGCTGAAGGCAGCAACGAGCACGGCGAGAGTAAGGGCAGAGAATTTCATTTTGAAGGAATGTAAGAGGCGTCTGATACAAGCTGTAGAATGGCGACTTGAGATTCAGAAAATAGACAGAGGGAATGCCACCGTTTTATACCGAGGATATCTCCATCTTTCTATCTTTCTGGTGCCAATATATATTCCCACACACCTCATAAGTTTATTCTTCTCGGCGAAGCCCTTTAGAGTGTGTCCAAACAAGGTTTTAGGTTTATAATATGAACTAAAGGGTGATCCTTATGAAGTAGTTCCTGCATCATTTATTCTCCGGGATGCCTAGTCTGCACAGGGTACCAAAGCCGACGGGTGGGGATCCGATATGACATTAAATGTTCCCCACAGTTAGGAATGCTGGTGCGGGGGACCGGGAGAGAATCCAGTCGGGAAGGATTCTCCAAGGGATTGATAGATCTTCTCAATGTGCTAACTAGGTGCGTTGGGTCTTTTCGCCTTATGACTGAATATAGACCCCGTGATTATAAGACCGTATTCTCTTTTCGGAAATTTAATATGTTCTAGCTAGATAGATTATTCCAGGGTCGAGAATCCTGATGCCTACGAGGCAATATTACTGTTATAAACTGTACATTCCAGCGTAACTTAATCTACCACTCTACAAAGTATACTGCTTATTCCGACAAATATCGTCAGATGCTATTAGCGATAAATCAAAGGTATTATGCTTAAAACCTACTAGTTGTCATGTCTTAATGAGTTTAATCAACGGGGGTAGCGCATTCCCTGTCGTTCTCCCCTGATATGGATGAATTTCCGGATATTGGTAGGGTATGGTCTATATACCGGCACCACGGGCCGGATGTCATACTACCACAACACCCGTTGACAGCCAATAGTTTCAGTTAAGCTTGTTATACTCAGGAACAAGTGTAGTCGTGGGGCCGGATTGTGGGAATATCCTAGTTCGGATCCTTCATTCCTTTGGAGTGTATCGGGAGCAGATCCGAGCGGGGGTATTACAGCGTCCTTTTGTCCGCTGGTATCTTATGATGAAATTTTGGAGATTTCAAGCGCGATTCTTCATAAATTTCGACCTATGTCTCCAGTCTAGGCTTTCGTTATTACAAATGATGGATTATCTTCTGTCGAGAGGCCGGGAAAGCCGTAGAATATCAGAGATATATACATAAAGTTCTTTCTGGTGAGGATGACTTGCGCACTTTGTTGCCGTCAGAAAGACATCCGTTGAAGCTCAGGCTAACTATGCGAATGAAGGGTAAAGATGCATAGATGTGCTGACCCAAACGGTGATTAGATATTAGCGAAGATGTTTTTCCTTCAGTGAGAAATTCATATGGAGGTGAAAGGCGTTCTCACGCAGTACCTTGGAAAATGTGGAAACAAAATTTTACAAACACGTTTCTAGAGTCACGTCACGTTTCAGCATTGCACGCCAAGACTTCAAGGAACCGTCTCCAGCTTTCGGCATCAAAACCCTATATGATCCGCCGCTCTCTAGAAGCGCAGACCAGATGTTGCCATGTAATAGTGTAAACTACGTATATGTAGACGTAAGCATGGAAGCTTCAAAGCCAAGAACTGGAGTACTAAACCTTTTCTCACGACCTGTTGGCAGCTTCAAAGATCTACCGAAAAAAAGAAAAGAAATTAACATCGTGATATTATGTAGTATCACCTTCCTCTCACTATTTATATAGGTTAATTGGGGAAATATTATTATTGGTATCCTGACATCCGGTTGCAGAGGAAAACGCCTAGCCCATTGAGCTACAAGATGATCGGTTGAAGTATCTCAAACTCCGAGTGATAATTCATGAATACCACCACCACATCTATGACTCCATGGCCATAAACACTATGTTTAGCCGCGAATAGTTTGATAATTATATGGGGTTTGACACCAAATTACTTTAGTAGAGGGGATAAAGCCGTAAAATTCGATAGAACCCACTGCAGGATATGATCGAATCCTCGCTACCAATAGGCTACGAAGAGATTATTAAATGTGTATCGTGTTGAATTTTAAGAATTATTGTACTCACAGCTTCGAGTCGCAAAATGGCCGCTGGGATCGTATTTCTATTTGAGCCAATAGGGGCGGCGGTCGTCGGTTAGTTCTCTAAATGCCTCTTGGTGCCAGTTTTGCTCGCTGATATCCGCCTAGTGAAGGAATAAGGGGGGCGATACTGGTGGGTGTGGCTTTGCTTCTCTCTATTTTGCGTTTTGTTATCGATTAAAATAACCCTGGCCCGATTGATATAACCTAGATTAATTCTCTTATGGAGTCATTGTTGGCATGAAAACTATGTAGCTTTCCTCCCTAGAGTTCTTGACTCCCATCTGACACATTCTTCAAGATTTTCACGTAGGTATGAGATCATACTTATATCATACAACTGTTTTCAATTGATTGTAAATTGAGCTTCTCAGACTCTATTGATACAGTACGAAAAAATGAGAACCAAGGGAAGGGTGCCGTCCTAATACACTGTTGATCCATAAAACAGGATTACATATAGCATCAAACCCACGCTAGAGACTTCCTACTCTTCAGTCCAAGTAACAACCATAGCTGAACAACATCCATCTCCTGATTCACAATCACCCGCAATCGCCCTACCACTCTAGAACAATGGTATCTCGCACTCAATATTGCGAAGACATGAAGCTTTAAACGCCGTAACCCAACTACCCACGGTACCAGGCTCGTAGTTTCCAGGGATTTTCAACACCTCTGCCTGAAAAGGATGCCCGTCATAGTTCATGAGCGCATACCGAAAACCCTGTGGAGCACGCCAGTGGACACCACACATATTTCCGCGGTGACCACAAAACATAACACCGTCGCCCAAACTTTCTTGAGGATTACAAGGAGAGACACCTTTGGTGATTCGGTAGGTTTGCGAGAGACGCAAGTCCGGGTTGTTAGCTAAAACTCCGTAAGACGCGATGGAAAATGTCAATGGAAGCGCCTTGAAGGAAATGAGCATTAAGCACATGCCAATCTCCAAGTGAGTGATCTGAGATCTTGACCCCTCAGATTCCTCTTCAGGATCCCCGTCGACCGTTTCGGTTTGTATTAACCATGAAGGGCAAAGAGGGGTGATGTCATCCGCATAACCAGGCTCTGAAAACCAGTTCCGATTATCGATTCCAAATAGCTCCACGTAAAGATGTTTGAGGTGTTGGAGCTCACGAAACTTTGAGGGTGTGTTGGTCTGTGTAATAATATCCGTTAGAATCCAGTTTGGTCAGCGGGGGAGGAAAGGAGGGTGAAGGGGTGAAGGGTCGAGTAAATAATTATACAAGGAGGTGAGGACAGTCACAACATACGTATTCTTCCATTCTCACACCAATTCTAAGCTCCTCTAATTCTGGACACACTTGAGTGAGTTTCACAATATCGCGACAGTGCATAGTCAGTGCCGATGCCCTATTTCTATAGCCCTCGCATAGACACAATACCTTCAACGTATCTCCATGCTTTCCTACTACCTCGACAATATCTACCGCATTGATCACGTCCGCATTCGGGTCGATCTCTCTGTGATATAATACGTACAATTTTCTCAATCTATCACATGCATTTATAATCTCTAGCACTTGACTCGGGCACAGGGTAGCACTCAGAGTTGTCAGAGTTGAAAGGCGGCCAGTTCTTAGTAGGCCAGCTGGAAGACCAGGGCAAACAGTTTCATGTACCAGTTGCAGTGACTCCAGGGCACTAAACCTTACGACCTTTGCTAGAGCTATTATAGTGGTCAACTTGAAAAAGCCAAGGCGAAGATGCTTCAGCATATCAATCGATACAGTACCCCTAAGCATTTTCACGATGTGTTCCTCGGCGTTAATAACACCAACCCTACGGAACGTCAGGTGCAAGGTTTCAAGGCTTCCAGCAGATGGGCGTATGAGATTCCTTTGGCCACCAACATTTGCCGTTTCGCCGTCGTCGGTGCCATCACAGTACACAGTAAGTGATTTGAGTCTAACGTCTTGAAAGCTTGACTCCAAATGTGGGGCACACATGGGGCCGTTTGCGGAGCAGGCGATATGAATGAGGTTCGGGAGTCCGCCGATTATATTCGCTAAATAAGTGCTCCCATCTGACGGCTCCCAAATAACTTTCTCTATATTTACCATCTCTCGTGTAGCTTCATTGAGAAGCGGCCATAATACGGCTGCCTCTGGTGTTATGTTATAGCCACCGAATATTTTAAGCTTTTGCACCCATCCTGGATTCACCATTCGATTCGCCGGTGCACGGAGGAGCTCATCGAGTTGTCGGGTTATTGGGATATCATTCTCAGCTACCAGTATGCGCACCGAGTGACGTTGTACGCGGGAAAGGAAGGGGAAAATTTGGAGGAGAAAGTTTCTATTGCCGCAAACGATGATCTCCCGATAGAGAACTGGAGCTGATAGTTCATAAAACAAACGATTGACACGGCAGAATACGGCGATATTACTAGCCATTGAAGGTCCAACGCTTATATTTCTGTTTGTTAGAGCCGTGGGCTCCTGGATTATATAGAGGAGAGAGTTAGACGGCTCTAAAAGTGTGTTCCACATGCCGGTGAGGCGGGGGAGAAGAAAAAGGGGAAGGGGGGGGGGATGTGCATACGATTGCGTGTTCAATGCATCTAGCAATTATCTCTACTGGTAAGTAAGGTATCATTCTTTACTTCTCCGTACTCGAATCGAGGGTATATGGGTGTATGATAATTATCTATTGGGATGTTGGTAAGATGTGAAGAGAGGATGTTCATGGGGCCGGCATGGGTACGCTGGGTGTTTAGATTTGCATGTGAGTAACTGGACAAGTAGTGTGTCTACTTATACGTACCATACTCCGATCAGCAACAAGAGATCAGGTAACATGCGGCTCGGCTTTGCGGATCTGTGTACAGCGGCCCTACATGTATCTAAGCGGGCCCAGGAGTAAGGTTCTTTATTGCATGCCATACAAAATCGAACTCTTCCGCAATACAGCGTAAAAGTACATGTACGTAGACTACACGTAGAGCTGAGTATCAGTCCTTCCCTGGATTTTCTGTTGCAGCTTCTGTAGGCAAAACCCACAACAGACATGGTGTACCAGAGAACTGCATGCATGCACCACTGGGTATACATGACGTATTGAAAAGCTTTCAGTTAGGTATGTGTGCACGCCTGGCTCGAAAGGGATATTCCGGCCAGAGTCTCAGATATATATACATGTGTGCTATAATACACTTCTCTGTCACATATGTGTCTCGTTACAATTGTCTCTTGGTTTTAATGCCAGCAGGGAACGCGCGCTAGTGTGCAGTATTTTCTCGAGCTTATGTATCCCGATAATCGACCCCAGAATCCCACAACACCTCCATGGCTACACGAGAAGCTTGATCTAAGCACTGCGTAACCGACCTAGTTAACACAAATACAGTCCAGTTTTATCGCTGGTAGCCCTTACTGGTACTTTAGACTTAGAAAGGATTTACCCCGGCCGGCTGTGACTCTGAGTCGTTGAGGAGGGAATATCCTCGCGGACTACGTATGCACTTTTCTTATGCTGCGAGTTTACGTGTCTTTTATCTTAGACCAGAGAGATGGATACTGGAATGGTTAGTTTTTGTTTCACAATCCAACGGCAAAACCCCCATAGTACACCGAGTGATAAACGCCGACCAGACGCACAACCATACATGTATGGAATCGCATACCAAATTGACTGCAGGAATTGAATTTCTGCTACTTGCTCTAAAACTTGAGCCAAAAAGTAACGGCCGCTAGAAGATTTATGACAGTATATGGCTCATCCCCACAAATTACAGACATTAATGCCAGCCCTGTTAGAGATGACAGCTCTCCGGGTGATGGTGAAGCAACCGACTTAAACATAAGATTCTAACCCGTATGTTAAACTATCTCATGTATTCAATCTCTTTTGTTCATTTCGGACACTCTCCTGTCTTGGCGCCAATCACGGTATATCACTCGATCCAAGCAGATTTCCAGCACACATCCAACTCTTGTGTCCTACTTGACAAACCAAACCTTAGGTTCTTACCAAAAGCATATGTAATATTCCAAGAGGAATTTCCTGGACTTAGAAGCCACAATTCAATAAATACCGCCAGAAAAATCAATCATAAACGACAAAGATCACCGCTGTCTGATTCTTCGGTCAATCTCTAACTACGTACCAAATCTGCGCCCAGGGCTCTTAGGCGCCATACCCAGTCACTCTGTCATTCAGTACATACCCCTTCACCACTCCAGACCCCGAAGTCATAATCCCGACATACTATAACCTCGCCGAGTGACCGCCCATGACCATCATTACCTCGCCCCACTGTGTAACACCACGACCCCGCTGGACCGCCACCAATATAGCCACCCATATACACGAAATGGGTAGTTCTACCTAGTATACGGTCGAAATAGGTACTGAGATCTTCAGTAGAAAAGACATCTGCCGTACTAGAAGCAAGGCAAGTGGATAAGGAGTAGTAGATACCGGATGTCCCAATCCAAGCTCGACGCCTAGAATCTATAGCACTCCCTCTACATCCTCACAGGGATGTGAATCTCGACATCAAATGACCGCTTGGACGTACGGTGTTAAGTATAGTCGTGGGTCATGGGGTGTCACTCGGCTGTGAGTTCTGGCTGGAGTGGGCTGTTTGGTATCTTTTGCGTGGGAATAGGGCTCTGGTATGAGAGATATAGAGGAGAGTTGCTTTGATTTGCTTAGGGAGGGGGGTTTTAGAGGTCTAGGAAGAAACTTTTGGACTAACTAGAGGGTGATGGATATGCGAAGTGCTTTTGAGGCCGTGGTTGATATTGAGTCTACCTGTATGGCTACCGTAACTACATGTAGTGATGACATAAAGAACACAAGAACGAAGAATGATCGAAATTAAGAAAGATTACAAAAGAAATGTACAACGTAAATAAACCATTGCCGCTTCTACAACTCAATAGGTATCCCATCCCAACCAACATGAGCTTTTTTTTTTTATTATTCAATTCATTAATCAACCAACATGAGCCATTAATACATATACAGAAAAACGACCCCCCGGGACCCCCAACAGAACCAACCCACTAATTCTTATGCCCCATCTTCCCCATATCTCCCGGCACCTCCACCGGCCGCTGCACATCCGCCATCAACTCCGCCACGGGCTCCCGCACCACCCCACCCTCAACCCCCATCTCCACAATCGGCTTCCCATCGGGCCCCATCATTGCATAATTCGACGGCGCCGCCCTTGTCTTATCCTTCTCGGGCTTTTTCCCACGACACAGGAAAAACAGCAGCGCGCCGATCGCCAGCGTCCCCGCAAGGCCACCGACCACAGCACCAACAATAGCACCCGTGCTCACACCCCCGCCGGAGGAAGTCGTAGGCGCAGTTGTACTTGTCGAAGTAGTCGTACTCGTATCTGCGCTTGTCGCACTCGAACCCGTACTCGTCGGCCGCGCCGTCGTGCTCGTCGTCGCCGTGCTCGTCAGGTTATATAAACACTCTCCCGACCACCAAGTGTCATAGGCCTGCGAATCAGTCGTCGTACAGTTTCCTCCGCATGACGGCTGGCCGTACGAGCAGATACAGTTCTTTGTGAGGTCGTTGACGCAGTGCGTGTTTGCGTCGGCGAAGCAGGTCTGCGCGCAGGTGGGGATTGCGGCCGTGTTGACGGCGGGGACGGACGGGCATTGAGAGGCGTACCAGGTCTCGGCGAGAGTCCAGCAGGCGGCGGGGACGACGGTGTCGGCGTCTGTGGCGCAGGAGAGGGGGTTGGGCTTGCCGCAGAAGCAGTCGGTGGAGGGGGGGTTGGTGGAGCAGCCGAGGGCGCGCCAGCGGCTGGGGATGGGTGTTAGTGGGGTTGTTCATTGTGGGGATGGTGGATGGAGAGGGTGTATTGAGGGATTGCATAGGAAGTATGTAGAGAATAGATATATAGGATGTGTGGGGGAGATTGGATGGGGGGGTTGGTTAGGAAGTATTGATTGATTGATGTAAAACGGCACCGGATATATCAACATACGTTAGACAATGGTTTGCACATATAGGGAAATTTGTAAAGTCCACTGTCGTCGCTGCAGTGGAGCTCTGCCTGGGGAGCAGAATGGCATGGCCGTGATCACCGCTGTTCGCAGCTTCTGCTAGGCCGGAAACCAGAGCGAGTAGCAGCACAAGACTAGGCTTCATGGCTGATACCTATACGCTGATGATGCCGGTAATGCTGATAACGATGATGATGATTGGGGGGGGGGATAACGGTGGTGGCGTTGGTGATGATAAGGTTAATGTGGACGTGGTTAATTTAGTAGGGAAGAAGAAGGAGACGATGATGATGATGATGATGATGGTGATTCTAGAGCCCCTACATTCCTCTTCCTCCCTCCTTCCTTCGCCTTCCCTCCCGCTGACACTTTTGACGGCCTGGGTGAGTGGCTGCGCTAGTCCCTTCTCGGACAGAATATTAGTCGGTGTAACAGCGAGAATACAGCTTGCCAAGACCTGTTAAGGCAGGTCCCGGGGTGGCGGTTATAACTGGATTTGCACTTCGAGTGTTGTTGCACTTGCTTGTCCAACATGGTCTACTCCATTAGAGCAGGTACATCACTGTGGGTATAACATGTAGGGAGGGTACTCTACTCTACTCTGCAGTTGCCCGCCGCTATAACAACGTGCATATTGAGCGCCTTTCCGCTCGCAGATTGTTCGGTATAGCAGCCTAAAGTCACCAAACCTCTTGGCTGGGGTGGGGGAAAAAGCCAACCCAAGTGGTTCGATACAGCAAATATTCGGTATGGGAACGTTCGTTACAACAGCGGGCGACGGTATGTATGCAAACTTCAATCTATCGCCCATCCTCGTTCTCGGCCACTCCGTGGACAGGGCCCCCTCGCTCTCTCCCCTCAATTGGTCACCAGGCCTGCATACGTGCAAAGAACACTGCCATGATAAATACCTGGTTTCCACAACATCCAAGTGTTTCGTCTCTAATTCCTACCCTGCCCATTCAACATGATCTTCGGATGTGCCCGCACCCGACCAAGACGTCTGACAGCCTTGTCTCGTCAAACAATTCCCGATCCGACCGTTGCTGTGCGCCTGTCGCACCGTCGTACGAGAAAATGTCTGTACTACCGCGGCCATACTCTGCTTTACCCTACATGTACTTATGACTTGTGACGCTCGCAACACCAATCGGGTGAGGGTCGTGTGTGATTCCGCCTAGTGATTGTATCGGTGCATAGTTTTACCTAGATGGGCTAGCTGGGAAATCTTGCTGGGGAGCAAGGCTGTCTCGAAGAGCAGAGAGTAGGTACTCTACTTTGCCAGTGAGTGGGGAGAATAGTAATCTTTAATGCGCTGTGGTTGTTCTTTACAATCTTGATTATGATGGGTCCTCCTCCTCGAGTCTAACACGCACAGAGAGGGCACAGTGGAATTCAAGAACCTCGATTGGGATTCAGGGGTATGGATGAAGTAACAGAATTAACACTCGCGGGATCCCACTGCCTCTCTTTCTTTTTTTTGTTCTTTCTTTCACCAACGTGTCCGAGGATAGGTGACGGGAGAGCGCCTGCATCTTGGCGTCGACAAAACGTGGTCATGTAAAATCGAAAGGTTGCATTACATACAGCACAGTGAGCACACAGCAGACGGAATAGGCCAGTGTATTACATACTGAGAAACACACACGCATCGCGAGATGAGGTTTGTGGCTGCTCTAAATAGCTCCATCCAGCTGTCTACAAATTACCATTACCATGAACATGCATTATTAACTGCTCTATGCCCACCACAAAGCCCAGATCCGAGTTCGTTACACAGCGAGGTGGGTATGTATAACATGGGGGAATATAGCCAACGAGAGAAACCCTGCAAGTTTGTGAGATCCCATCCCGGAGTGGATCCCTGTCGCGTCTTATCTTGACTTCAGCCCTTGCCAAGCTTAAATTCACTCCATGTCACTTAGACACTGAAATGGCGCCCACCGCTCTCTCTTTTCCCCCAGAAAATACTAGATTCCATTTCCATGGGGCATGCCCCCCCCCCCCAACTAAATGAAATAGCGTAAAACATGAAAGAAAAAACAAAATAAGTATGTCAGAAAAGAAAAGTGCACTAATAAATATATATACGCCCCAAATCAGGTGTTGCCAAGACTATCGAGTTGGCGCATCATTGCCCGGCAGCTCATGGGCAATGCTTGTCGGTGACGTGCTATCCCCGTGCACTTCCTGCGCTTCCTGTAGGTCAGGGAATCCGGGTGTTGTGTAAGTGGGATCTGGCGACTTTGATCCATAATTCGGGGGAGCTGTCGAGTAGACAGAGTCCCTGTGGTTGTATACTCCGGCATAGCCAGGATCGTATGGCCCCGCATCACGAACTACGTTGTCCATGGGTGGCTGTGGGGGTGATGCCGCCGCCGCGGCCGCGGCGGCCTTCTGCTTGTTGCGCCTTCTCATGAATAGGAAGCCGCCGAGGAGAAGAACACCTGCTGCAACGCCTCCTACTGTTCCGCCGACAATGGCGGCGATGGGGGTTTTCTTGTCATCTGCAGGGGGAGCATTATCATCTGCGGCGGGGGTGGTATTGTTCGTGTCATAAACATAGATCTGGTTCCATGCGGCCTCGAGCCCGTTCACAAAGGTAGGTTTAACTGTTGATCCTCCAGTAGGGCTATAAAGAATTCAGAGGTTAGCAAGAGCGCAGCTCGAGAAACGAAATATCGGGGGCAATTACTCTCCGCCAATATCCTTCAGGACAAACTCTGGAACCTGGTACGGAGAAGTATCATCCACACCAAACTCTTCCGTGACATTTCCAGTATTCAGATCGACAACTTGAAGCAGCTGCACACAGGTAGTGGTGGCGTATCCTGCGCTGATCAGCATCCGATGGTTCCCGAGCAGATCGCAGCTTGCACTGCTGCGCGGGTCTGGGATGAGTGGGCCTTTAGTCCACACGAATTGCGGGACGCTCAGGACCCAGTAGTTGTCGATGAGAGGGTCGAAATCCTTGTCCAGTGGTCGTGAACCGCCGTATACATGGATCTGATGGTTTCGTCACGATAAGTATTACTACTTAAGAGGGCGGCTCTGGGGGGGACATACCTGGTGACTGGAGCCATCACTTGCGGACGTGACTACTGCGCAGCTCCCCCTTCGGTCTGGAGGGGTTCTTCCTGTGGTGGGCTGGAGATACCATTTATCTTCTGCAATGTCGTACACATGGATCTCGTCCAGCGGAATCTGTTGAGATTAATAAGTGATTTGCGTTATCAGGCACTTGGCTGTATGTAACTTACGGGTGTGGACAGGTCAGATCGCTCCACTCCTGCAATCATGACCACCATTCCCTTTTTCCCTGCTGGAACGAAGTTTGCAGACGACCAAATTTTGGCCGGCGCCTCATGCCTCGTGACATCTCCGCTGGTAAAGTTATACGCAAAGAGTTCATTAGGATGATCTATATCTGTTGTGGGCATTGGACCAGAAATATATGTCATCCCCAACTGAGGGACATTTACAACTGCTGGCGCACCGCCGGGAATTGCCTGTTCGGGGAGCGTAGACGGCCAATCGATGACGCTCATTTCCCATGTATCGGGATCAAAGGTCACCAGGTTAGAGCCAATGCCGGGGACATTGAATTTCTCACGGTATTGACCTTGGAAGACGCTGTACTCCCGGAGCGGTATCAGTATACCATGGGTCTGGAGGATTTGTTCTTGTGCCCTGGAACTTGAACTTACATTTTTGAGCCATCCCCGCCCAAGAAATAATCCTCAAAGGAGAAATTTGGAGATACTTTCCACTCAATCTCATACTGATCGGTCTTGAACGCAGTCTTCAGAGGTACCGTACCGATGAGAATCTCGATATCGAACATGAGATTGGTGTTATTCGAGAGATCATTGATGTTGGTGAAGAGGTGGATATTTGTGTCGGTGATGATAGCTACATACACTTCTCGTTAGTATGCGTCCTCGGGATATTTCTTTCCCTCGTTCCTCCCTTCTTTTCTTTCTTCTCTTTTTTTTTCACTTTCTTTCTTGGTGTCAAGAGACTTACTTGATGCAGAGATATTCAACTGTAGATCCAAACAGCCACGCTCGTCCCTCCACTGGCCTTTGAGGTAGCTTTCGGCGATAGCAGATTGACTGACGGCGGTCCGAACAAGTGCAAAGAGGGCCAAGGCCGTCGTGAATGATGAAGCCATCATGGTGTTGGAATTTGGATGGACAATCCCTCACTCAGGTCCGGAGTGTGTGATGATGCTGAAGGAGTTTTTACAGACCAGGTGAAGATAAAGGCGGTGAGTGGCAGACAACCTTAGAGGACCAGCACGGCTCGTAGCGTGCAGTTGAGGGGGCAGTGTTATGCCTGCCTACAAAGGTGCGGCTGACAGTTTAAAAAATTACTAACAGCCTTTGTCCCGTAGAGTACGATGCATTTATGTTAATGAGCTGGTAACCGTTAAACCTGTTTTTCTTTTCTTTTTCACCTGTACGGGGACATTCTATCCGTATGGCGGCAGTGAGATTATGTATGCAACTCTACTTGATTGCCAACGTGATTCTTTTGAATACTGGCCTAACTTTGGTGGGTTTGAAGCAGTGCGCCAATGCCCAAAGTTTAAGATCTCGAGCAGGCACATGTAATCAAGGGGGCTGGTCACCCTTTTAAATAATGAGTCTTGGGAGTCTTGGGGGGATGTGGGGAAAGTGATTGCATACACGCTATTTAGTTTCACCCGTACATGATCTCTTCTCGAGTTCATGCTCGTCATATTGGACTCTCAAACACTATCAAATACATATTCCAGAAGACTCGGACTTCTACAGCCCAAGATTCTGCCCAGACCTCCCTATATACCTTTGTATGAATGAAAACTAGCCGCACGTAAGTACAGTAGGTATGTGAATAAACTGCTGATAGGCTCCAATTGACACCTAAAGAAATACTAGGTGCTACTACTATTAGGGACTGTCTGCGACAGGGTTCATGTGCATGTGTAACTCTATTCTATTAATCAACTCCCGTCCGGTTTCAAATGTGGTGTTACACAAGGGCTTGTGGGATTGGTTGCATGTCTTGCATGGGTGTTAGCGTACTTGCATCCTCCACGCATCGGGTCTTTGGTGAGTCCTTTTACCCTCAAAACCTACTTTAATTGAATAACCGAAAGCTTACACAGTTAATGAACTGTTCAGCAAAAACCGTTTTCCTGGATTGTCACTGCCAAGGAGGCCGCTAGGCTCTTTCCCATAGTCGCATTATCCTTATATTCTTTCTCTTCCGCATTCTTTGCTGCTGCATTCTCTCACCATTAACGCATCCCCTATCACAGAGAGGATCGATCTTCTCCAGAGCCAACGGCGTAATTGTTGACTGGCACTGATCTTACAATGTTGACGACAATGATGAAGACTGCCCCGCTGCTTGGGAGCTTGATACTTTCGACGCTCTCATCCACTTCCTTGGCCCATGGCCTGATTAGCAGACGTCAGGAGCCGACGGGAGATATCTGTCGCATGTGGGATCATCGAAGTAAGTACACACTGGCTCAATTAAATCCCCATATTTCCTGCTAACGGTCGTCAGCTGCGATGATTGATGATTGGATTTATGTTGATATTAGTGTCACAACGTGGACCGGCGATAGACAGAATGGTTATATGCATTTGAGTAAGTGTATCTCCTCTAGAAACACTTCTGGATGTCTTTGGTCGAGCCCGCAGACCAACTTTCGGGTGAAAAACCTGTTATTGTTTAGCGGAATATGGGATCGGGTTTGGACTAAGAGTTTGGGGTCATTCTGAAGCCATTGCTAATCATGCGCAGTAAGTCCCTTTGGTATCAATCTCAAGGAAAAATTCAATACCAAGGACCTTGGCGGGGAACACGACGCATATACCGAGATCGCGACAAACCTAGACTTACCCCTCACAACTAAAAGCGTGATCTGGGTGGATAAGGATCAGAACATCTACAAGTAAGTAATGGTACGCGCCACAAGGTATTCCACTTCCCCTACTGACACAAAAATACAGGTATGGAGGCTTCTATCCATTGAAGGCGTTCTGGGGCAATTCTTCGCTATATGATCCGCGCGGCTCGGAGGTCTGGAAGCTTGATAAGAAAATTGCGAACTGGACTCAGCAACCCACACCGGGGGGTGCTGAAGTTTCTGGGACCAGGAATGCGGCCGCCGCCTACCTCCCTGAATTGGGCCTAGGATTTGCCGCCGGCGGACATATAAGCAATGGGACAGATAAAAAGTTTGCCTCCTGGAGTGACGGGCATTCGTTGATGTTGGACTCAATGGTGACATACAACATGGCAAACAACTCTTGGACAAATCAGACTACGGGGATGACTCCCTTTACTTTGAGCTCTCTTGTACATGTGCCCATTGGTGAAAAGGGAATATTAATTTCTATGGGTGGTATTGATAACCCCGGTGGATATTACAATCCGGCTACCACTGAAATACAGGCGGTAAGCTGAGTAGTTTTCTTTGCCAGAATAAGGGACATTGACTGATTTTCTTTTTTCCGTATAGAGAGATTTTGACAGCGTCAGCCTTTACGATGTCGAAAGAGGGGATTGGTCAACGCAAAGAACAACTGGAGATACACCACGAAACAGACTTTCGTTTTGTGCCGTGGTGGCAGTTGCTGCAGACAAATCGTCCTACAACGTCATCGTTCATGGTGGATCTTCCAATGATGATTACCTTAACTTCTCAGACACATATATCCTCTCTTTGCCATCTTTCCAATGGGTCAAAATAGATGACGGCGAAACGAATATGGAACGCGCAGACCATACCTGCCATTTGTCGAAAAACAAAATGATAGTAATAGGAGGGAGGAATGCAGATCAAAGTAACCCATCGGTCAACCCCCCCGCGAAGAACGGAGACTGCGAACCCACTAGCTTTATCAACATTTTTGACGTAAATACTTTAAAGTGGGAGACGGATTGGGATCTGGACGCAAGAGACGACTTCAAGGTTCCAGCTCCTGTCGTCGAGATAATTGGCGGAGAGTAAGTTACATTCATGCATTCCGGGTAGGGCGAATTGCTGCTAAGATATTTGGCTTCTATAGCGAAAATGGATGTGCTACTGTACAAGAGCCAGAGGCTGGCTGGACAAATGCGCGTATTCGGTCATTATTCAGTAATTACACAGCCGCGTCTGATTGTCCTACATCCTCGCCAAGTAGTACAAGGACTGCCACCGGCAGCGGGGCATCAGCTAGCAGTACACAGGAGGGCTCAAGCAGCATGACCAGTCCAAAAGATTCGTTGATCTATCTTGGGCTCCTTTCCCTGGTTGCATTTCTACCGCTTATTTGATATCCATATAAATGCCTTTCTCTCTCTCTCGTGTTTCCTTCTACGAACACATAATGCACCTGTATATACAAGGCTTCTTATATTAGCATTCTTGTCTTTCTTTGTTCGCGATAAACTAACCATAATTCATATTGGACCAATAAATAAGTATTATCTGCTGCGTCTGCCAAGTTTTATTTCGGCCTCGCTTGAGTTTTAGAATCAATCGGTAGTTAAGAGTGGGGTGGTGAGGAGGGACCCGACCACCCCAGAACTCAAAAATCACCTTGTCGAGACTACATATAAGTTGAAGTTCTAGGAAACGGCATATTTCAAGGAAAACTCGTGCAACGCTAAAAGCGTATATAGAGGGCAGACTAGATATGACGTTGCCTGAGACACTGCATAAGATAATGTGGCCTGGGGAATCAATCTGGGTATCGACTTATCCCATTGTCCGTCAGTGGGATGCTGACCCCCCACAGCAGATTTTGTGTGGCTTTACTAACAGATCTTGTTATCTCTCTTATCAAATAATCGATCTCCCATACAAATTTCATTCCTCTATTATAGGGGTCAGCTTTACCGGACCATGGGATAGTAGCGGGTACACGAGCACGGCTATTAAGACTTTTATTAGTCTTGACCGAGCTAGACTGCAGATCTCCATGGTCAGATACGTACATAGGTGTCGATTCCGGTGGGACTTCACAGATTTGATTAACAGTTCATCTGATAAGTATAAGACCGGCCAGATCCCAGCAGTGCTCTCACGGGAACATCTGGCTCAATGACCAGGCAGATAGGTTGCCCTCCTCCCCTCTCTTATCTGCATACTCGATATGTTACCCGAGCCCCCTGAACGGAAAGCAAAAAAAGAAGATGCGTGATCGACCGTACATATATGTGTAACATACTGACGTGACAGATAACCCGAATGTCTCGGATACTCGGCAGGAAACAACAAGGTCTATTAATGCAATAAGATCACCGCCCTAGTGATTTAGTGTCAACCTTATTTCAACATCATGATCATGTGATCGAATATGTTTCTGGAAGTCGAGTGTGACGTTTCAACGGTCATCTGCATTCCGTTGGTGGAAGAGCGTTAGAAGGGATGTGATGCGTGTTTTGGTATCATCTACTTCCCTTATAACCTTGTGCAACCATGTAAGATGTCGAGTGTTTACTTCCATCTTTCGTACTTCGAGCCGTATTACGTGCATAGGGCGGAATACAGAAGTAAGTGAAATTTACTTCTTATGCATAGGGTATCACTCGGCCATTAACCCTAACCCATATCGAGCTCTCGGTCCTGGACTTGGCACTGGATTCGAATATGCACATATTTAGACAGCTGTAATGCCGTTCGCCCGGGATTCTGGCTATCAACTCTGGGTAAGTTTGAAATTTAAGGATATTCAAGGGTGGGGAATTGACAACTAATTCACTAGCACTAGGATTATTTTGGGAGAAAGCGGTCTTCGTGGAAATTGCGCTATCCAACCAACACACGTGCATGCAACTATTATTGTTGAATTTTGAATCGTTACCTCCCGTATCCCATCTCGAAAAAACTTCCAGCCATAAGAACAGAAAAAGAAAAAGACAGGTATGAAACCAAGACAGGTATGAAACCCAGATAAACCCCCCCCCCCCCCCTTCTCTTCCTTTTTTTTCCTTTTTCCCCTTCTTGCCTTTATACCCCTTCCATATCTCTAAAGCAACCTGTAGGCAGTTCCATTCCTGTTGATCACCGTTCTCCGCTGTTCGTGGGTGTTCATGTGCAAATCTTTCCACGCTGCGTGGGTTGTGATACCACACAGGTGGCATTTCCACGCCTCACTCTTATGGGACTCCGTAGTTCGCAAAACCTCCTCCTGACAGATCCCGCACCACCCCGTCCTAGGCGGCTCCATCTTCAGCACCTCCACAACCAAATCGCCATCGACCTTCGTCACTACCATTTCGGTGGCTATGTTTTTTGCGGAAGGCTGACCGGCCTCTCCTGACTTGGGGATTGACGGTCGAGATGAGGGAGGTGCCGGCACAACAGGAGCGGCGTTGGCATTCTGCTTTGACGCATGGGCAAGCTCGTTATTCTTGTGTCTCTTGCCGTATTTATGGTTCTGATAATCAAGCAGGGGCATAGTCATGTTGCAGAGCGTGCAGCGATAATCAGACTTTGGCGGCGGTGGTGGGGAAGATACGACCAGAGGAGCCCTGGGACCGCTGCTACTCGCACTGGAGTTCTGGGAGACAGGTGCTCCTCGGGACATGGCGACGGCTTCGCTGTGCCTGTTTCCACCGAGATGGGTCTCCTTATCATTGATATGCATGCTGGTCCCGCATGGCTTGCAATGCCACTTCTCTACCCTGTACTGCATGGTTTGGGGAGAACCCGCAGCTCCACCCGGGCGTCCAGCTCCTGGAGTCGGGTCCCAGCGCCGTGGGGCGGGGCTCGAGTCCTGGCTGCTTGTCGACCTGGCTACGCCCGAGGTGCTAGAAGCCTTCCGGCGAGTTTCCCCCGCTGCCTTTGCCTCTTTCTCTTTATGCGTACGACCAGCCGTGTGGTACTGCCAAGCTTTCGCGCTGATCGTTCTCTGGCACGTCTCACAGTGTATTCTATCGGCATCAAGCCCCGAGGCCAATCCCCCCTGAGCGGCCGGCGCTTGGGCAGACTGCGGCGGAGCGAACTGTTCTCTTGCTTTGGCGGCCTCGCGCTCTTGATGCTTGGCGGTCGCAAGATGGGCGTCTTGAGTGCTCAAAGTCACCATCGTCTGGCACAGGTCACAGTAGAACATCTTCGCGGGGCCAAAAGAACCCAGGGAACTAACTGGGGGCTCCCTCTTTGCCTGGGGCGCGATCGGGGGGTTGGTGGAGCTCCGTTGAGCGTTGGCCTTCCTTGCTGCGTGGGCGGCTGCGAATTCTTGCTGTTTGGCCTTGTGTTTGCTACCGGCGAGATGGCTTGCCCGAGAATCCGCGCCCATCGTCTTGCCGCAAAGCTCGCAATGGAAGCGAGGAGGAGGGGGAGGAGGAGGAGGAAGAGACTCCACTTTGGGCATTGCAGGTATAGGCGCATGGCCCTTCTCTCTCGCATTTTCCATGTGGGCCTTGCTAGCCAGGTGGGCGGCATGTTCATTGGCATGGTATTCCTCGTCACAGATTATGCACTCCAGGGTGGCCTCTGAGTGCTGGCCCTGCTCGCTGATGGGGTACTCGGTGTCGCATAGGTCACAGTAGAATGTCGGCACCTGAATGTGAATGGCGGCGCGGGAGCTGGACGGTTCTTGCGCTTGCTTGCCGGCCGTGCTCGAGGGGGACGTCTGGTAGCGTGGCTGAGACGGTGGTGGTTGCCCTTTGTGCTGCTTGTCCGCCGGTGGCTGCCCTGGATACTGTGTGCCCGCCGGTGGTTGCATTGGGTACTGCATGCCCGCTGGTGGCTGCCCTGGATACTGCATGCCCGCTGGTGGTGGCGGTGGCTGCCATGGATACTGCATGCCCGCTGGTGGCGGTGGCTGCCATGGATACTGCATGCCCGATAGTGGCTGCCATGGATACTGCATGCCCGCTGGTGGCTGCCCTGGATACTGCATGCCCGCTGGTGGTTGCATTGGGTACTGCATGCCCGCTAGTGGCTGCCCTGGATACTGTGTGCCCGCCGGTGGCTGCATTGGGTACTGCATGCCCGCTGGTGTCTGCGCTGGGTACGGCATGGCTGGGGGAGGTGGAGCCTTGAGTTTCTCTGGCCCATTTAACCCCGGATGTTGAGGTTCGTCAGCGAGCGGGCGGTAGATTGTCCTGTCCTCCAGTTCCCAGTCCTCCTCCTCTTCCTCTTCTTCCGGCTCCTGGGCTGCGCTCTCTTCCAGCTTCTCTCCCCCGCCAGCGTTTCCATCCGGCTCCCAATCATCGTGACCTTCCTCTCCCTTTTCCGGCCTGTACACAGCACTCTCCTCCTCGTATGCTTCGCCCGCCGTATAGTACTCCTCTGGCTCCAAGTCATCTCCGGCCAGAACCTCCTCCCCTTCCTGCGGCTTGTACACCGCTCTGTGCTCGATGAACTCCTCGGAGGCCGGGGTGTACTGGTAGTCCCCACACTGCTTGAGCTTCAAGACGTGCTTCTTCCCCGTGGTGTGCTCCGCGGTGTAGAAGATGTTGACCTGCTCATCGCACAGCTCGCAATGCCACGTCGGCGTGTTCGCATCGGACTCGGCCTTCTTCTTCGACTTGCATTTGCCCCTGGTCCGTTTCTCCTTGGGCGGATGCTCGCTCGCGAGGTGCTCGGCGCGGAAGAAGATGTTGATCTGCGTGTCACAGATGCTGCAGGTCCACAGCATCGACGCCGGGCCCTGGTCCGGGATCTCTGGCCAGTCGGCGGGGATGCTGGCCGTCGAGTCGTCCTTGGCTGGCTGCTGCTCCTCCGTGTCCTCCTCGCCCTCCTCGCCCTCCTCGCCCTCCTCCCCCTGCGTGTGGCCGTCCTGCTTCCCCTCGGCTGCGGTCTTGCTGTTGTTGTTCGTTCCGTCGTTTCCCTTGTCTGTCTCGGTGGTGCCCCCGCCGGCGAACCAGACCTTCTCGAAGAGCTCCATGTTGTTTTGCGTGTAGACGTCGCTCTGGCGCTCGGGCTCGTTGCCGTAGATTGTTGCGTAGAGGTCGGCGGTGTGGTCGGCGTAGGAACCGGATGCGGTGGTTGCGGTCGAGTCGGAGGACATGGCGGAAGGCTAGCGGGGTGATCTGCGGGTGCGGGTGCGGGTGCGGGTGCTGGCCAAGTGAGTGAGCAGCCAGAGCTAGGCTCCTTTGCTGGTGTGTGTACGTGCGTTTCTTGTGAAAGAAAAAAAAAAAAACTAGAAAACTAAAGACGTAGCTATGTATGCAAGCACTCACGGTGAGATCGAGAGCAATTGCAAAGGCTGGGAAGTTCAAAGAAGAATTGATTGCGGGAAGCAGCAGAACACGCGGGGTCTACATAAACAATATTGACGATAAGGCCTCCAACCTCAGCATGTGCGAGGGGGAGGATCAAAAAAGAACAAGCTCAGTGGCCGAATCAGTGTGAGAGGGTTCAGACACATGACGAGTGGGATGCCTTAATCGATTGTCGATAGCAGGGCGTTGCTGCCAAGCTCTCGATTTGGACATTATAATCACAAATAGTGACTATATATATATATATATATAGATCGTAGCACACCCCGATCAGGCAACAGTCAAATAAATACTCAATCGCCATGGAGCAAGTCAAGCTCGGGGACGAGAGTCTCGGGTTCAAGCTTAGTTCAGCTCCAATCGTTGCCTGGTGCCTGGTGCCTGGTGCCTGGTGCCTTTACCCAACCGAGCCGCGTTCACACTTTGTGCATGGCAGAGACAGCTCTCCGTTGTGTGGGTTAGGGTTCAGTCAAGCTGCTGCCGTGCCAAGACAATACAAGCCTTTACATATATGCACATGCATCAGATCTGCAGAGGCCAAGGGAGACCAGTTCTAAGCTTCAGTCAGTACTGTCAGACCGAGGGTTGTCACGACTTTGATTTCACCCTAGAGTAGCCTTAAAGCACAGGTTACAATAATCACCAACTATCACTCGAGGTCAGATACGACCAGGGCTATATATCCTTGGGAGTGCGGGGGGTCTGCTTACTATACAGTTAGTTTTTTGTAGACGGATATTGCGAGATACTGTCTCCGCAGAGAGGTAAAGCCAAGCGCTCAAGTGGACCGATGTTTAGGGATGTGACTGATTAAAGTGCCTGTGTACATACGCACTCCACAAGGCCTCATACGCTGCCCACAAAACCCTCCTCCGTCTGAAGATCGAGTCAACCAGAAGTTGGCGGGATTGGGCTGCGTCGGTAGGTGGCTTCTCAGCATGTGCACCATTGTGGGGAACTGACGCGCCATCAGAGTCCATATATTGAGGCTACGTATATACAATCTACATGTACCTACATATAGTCCGTGTGAGTGTGGCGGGTGATGGATAATGCCAGGGTTATATATATATATATACGGTGGCATCAATAGCTGAAGTGGGGTTCTTCGGTACATACATGATGCAGGGAGATATCCTACACTTCAATTACATATCCATATTTCAACTCATCTATCCTGCAACAATACATGTACTCGAGCCCGGCGAGAATTAGTCAAAGAAATGCATCAATCTCCTTTGATCGGTAAACCTCGGGGTTTGTCCAATCTTCTTCCACAACTGCAGAAGCGCCTCCGCATCCGCCAGATACACCTCATTAGTACTCATAATCCACCGCTCGGCGTGCTTATGGAGAAAGCCGAACCTATGCCCACCAAACAACATCTTATACCCAAGCTTCTTCTCCACCCGGAACATCTTCAACCGCTTCAATCTTGTTGCGAAACGCGTGAGGATAAAGGCCCACGTTCTTTCCCCGCCCGAGAAGATGGAATGGCAGATGGGGCACCGTGTCAGTGTCAGCTTCTCGAGCGTGGCCGAAACGTCATCGGATAGTATCAGCTCCTCGATAAAGTCCGGGCCAATGGTTGGCGAGAACATGATTTTCGACAAAGAGAGCTCGCGGAGGTGCTTGAAGTGCACACCTCCCCGGGGGGTGTAGCGGAGATTGGGCCGCATGTAGAACTCTGACAAGATCTGCAGCTTCTCCACGGACGTGGCAGGGAGCACCCAGGTCTCCAAGAACTGGCGGAGGCGGGCGGTGGCATCGTCGCATGATTGTCGCTGGGACGCCTCGATGGCAACGAGCTTCAAGGACCTGACGCGCCCAAAGAGCTCCCTGAAGTCTGGCTCCCGTTCGGGAATTCCCACGCGTGCACGAGGTCGATCCCGTCAATGGTCAGGGAGTCGGGTGAGAGGGACTCCCTGCAGCTCTTGCCCACCCAGGACATGGCCCGGTCGAAGAGCTCCCGACGGGCCAGGTTGCGGTCGGTGCCTCTGAAATCGCCGTGCTCGCGGATGAAGAGGAGGCTCAGTGAGCGTATCCCCTCAAAGCTGTTCGCATGTATGGAGGAGTCCTGTAGCCCGAGGGGGGGGGGGGGGGGAGGTGTGCACAACCCGCATGCCGTTATGGTAGCGGACGTAGGGGAAACGTGTGCGATAAGGGTGGTTAAGGCTTAGGACTATGTCGGTCACATGGGGCCTGATGGCTGGAGGACACATGCAGATACACCATTCGTGCAGGCTGTCCTGCGTCCCGTGTATAATCGGTCCGAGCTGGAGACTGCAGAGCTGGTACGTGAGCTTGCAACGGAATGCTAGAGGGCTGAGAACGGCGCGGAGGTAGTGTGAGACGGAGGAGAGGCTGGCAATATCATCTCGGGAGGGAAGATATCTGACAATGGCCAGTATAATCTCGACGGGGTAGGAATGGGGGAAGGTGCCCGAACGTCGGCGGAACATGGTGGCATGGCTACGTGCATGTAGCTTGATGTCGCGTATATATACTCGCGACCAGCAAGAAGAACCCGAAAATGCAAGTTTTATGCATGTCTTGGACATGGGTTCGTACCGGGGTCATGATTGGAGCAGTTCGAGACAGTATATAAAAAATAGTTTTCGAGATCTATGTACATGTTCTACCAGCGGGTGTATTCTACCAGCGGGTGTGTCCTCCTTGTGCTTCAATTACAGCAGCAATGCGTTCTGGCATGCTATCAACAAATTCTAGTATTTCTTCCTCCGTAATACCGTTGTTCCATTCATCAAGTATCGCTGCTCTGATCTGGTCAACACCCCTAAGGCGAGGTCTCCTAGCATTAAGTCTGTTTTTCAACAAATTCCATACATTCTCAATAGGATTAAGATCTGGCGATGAGGGTGGCCATTGTAGAGAGGGCATCTGGTACAAATCTCGCTGTTCTTGTGTTGCACCTGCCCTATGGGCTGGGGCACCATCCTCCATCACAACTATTCCACCTCCTACTACTTGGTTTTCCTGGTACCAGAATGGCCAAAGAACTGGGGTAAGAACGTTGTAGATGTAAGTGTTCGCCGTGATTGTCCCCCAGTTCTGTTTTCCCAGAGAATGAGTGGTGTTTTTTTGCCGCCTAGAACTCCGCCCCAGACCATGACAGAGTTCTGTTTTTTGAACTTAGGTGCGATACAATCTTCTGTATACACCTATTCTGGCCGCCTGGTAACCCAAAGGTTGCTACGAGCACTACCTAGCCAAACATAGCATTCATCTGTCCAAATAATGCGTCTCCAGTCATGTATTGTCCAATGTCGATGGCTTAAGGCAAAGTTGAGGCGTTTTTCCTTGGTTTCGGCTCTCAGAAAGACTTTCTTTCGTGCAATTCTTCATCCATATCCCTCTAAAGTAAAGGCTTTGCGAAGAGTACTCTCGCACACGTTGACTCCGCAGATTTCAGCAATTTCAGTGTAGGATTTCCGACGATTCTCGGCATTCAAGGTGGCTGTAAAAACCAACCGACGACGCGTAGGTGTATCAATACTAAAAGGCCTGCCCTTTTTCTTTTGAGGAGTTGTTGGTCTATGGCAGATATTGAACACTGTAGATATAGAGAGGTTCTGATTTGCCGCAATTTTGGCATATGTCCATCCAGATTCAAATCGGGGACATTTAACATAGCATCGCTGCTTGTAGGAGGTTTCCGCAGTCTTAATGGCAACCATAGCTCACGGCGTTGGGAGGACACTTCACGGCGTTTGAATTTTGAAGGACAGTTTACGGCGTTGGGAGGACTCGGACAGTTCACGGCGTTGAAAGGACTCGGACAGTTCACGATCATAACAATTGTACTTTTCGGAATGGTCGTGATTCCTTCCAATCATGACCCCGGCACGAACCCCATGTCCAAGACATGCATAAGACATGCATTTTCGGGTTCTTCTTGCTGGTCGCGAGTAGGTGTAGGGGGGGGATATCGATACATGTGCGGTTAAGCAGGCACTGGACACCAGGCATTGCTTAGTCATTTCCTTTAGCCATCATCATGCTCGAGTAGGCCAAAGGTGAGGTTTGACATCCTACCCGTATCAGTTGCGATGAAATTGAGTATTGTCTCCCCATTCCCTTAAGCCCACCAACCACCATAACCAATGGGTAAAACCCGAGGGAATTACTTAATTTCCCCGCAAGTGCTTCATACTCGAATTTACGGATTTACGAATTTACATAACAGAGCGTATTTATCCCAAGTTTCATTTTGACAATTGCCCCTCGAAATTGGCGGTTGCAAACCGCAAAGCTGCAAGGCGAGAAAGGAGGGCTCGAAAGCCCGACTTCGAGCACTTGCAGAGCAAGTGTTATTTTACAACAGTCGACTGTATGCTTCAGGGCGTCGCTAAGCGTAGCGCAGCTCCAGTATTGATTGGTGTGGGAGAAGATCCCTGATTGATGAGTCATGCATGTACCTCGCTCTGGCTTGCAATCAAGTATTTATGTATAAGCACTACTAGTAATAATTGTATGCCCTGGGCGTTTTTGTCTGGACCTAGCTATGCGGTCTTATAATGCGTCAATTAATTGCAGATTGGACTTGGCCATGGAGGAATGCCTAAACGTCTACCTATCTCCACAAGGAAGTATCTTGGCAAAAGACCGACAGATATCTTCATGGCTGAAGTGGATTGGGATATTGCCCTTAAGGTAACATATAGAGTCCTGAAATATAATATATATATATATATGTATATAGGTGATAATATATATACCTGATATTGAATATCGTATACGTACAGTATTTGGGCCGAAGGGAAAGGATCAGTATATAATTAGCACATGAACGTTGAAGCGAATAGATTTATCCTCATATCACGTCGACGAATACCACTTAGGCGCACGGCTAAAATGAAGAAAGAGAAAAAGATTCAACGTATATATCATGATACAAATAATTGCTCTCGTTAATTCATTTCCATGCAAGAGACACCCAAGAACACAACATACGTGTGCACTGGCCATCGATGTTGCTGAGTATATTCAAGGCCAGTGAAGTACAAAAATCCACCATGGTCAAGGAGCCGTAAAGATAAAAGGCAATGCACACGATGACGATACAGCCGAGGGTTACGGTAAAAACGTAGCTTTTTTCTCTCTGAATGTCCTCTAGCCTTGCATACTCCTCCAATGCCGAGATCTGGGCTCTCTGACCTGGATCGATATCCGCCGCGGTCGGTGAAATCTCGTTGATCAGTGGCTGGTAATGCAGGCGTAGAATCTCATCAATCTGGAGTATTACTGTGCCGCAGATACATGCGGAATAGGCCACTGGAGCAAGACCAATGACCACCAGGAAGCTTATGGACCTCCACACGAGCATATTTACAATGCCGCCTTGATCTCTCCATGCGCTGCCGCCAACATCTCTGTGTGCCTTCTGGCCAGCCTCCACCTCGGCTTTAACACCCGGATCAACATTCTTCGGCATTTTCTGGTCTACCGTGTGTTTAATCTTCTTGGTGTTGACACTAACATCCGGGCTGAAGCTCGGGTTCAGTTCATGGCTCACGTCCCCCCGGCTCTGCCCACCATTGGAATGAATTCCCTGGCTGACCTCCGCGTGTAGATACTGGCTCTCTTCTGGAGTTACTTCCTTTTTACCCAAGGAGTCGTCCGCGGCCGTAACGCATGGGTGGGGTGAAACTGAATCTCTAATTTCTTGTTCGAGATCCGCTTCTCTGAATTTTTTCATCTTTGCAGATAGGTCCATGGATTGCTCTTCGTCTAGATCCGACGACCCTTTTCCCTGCTCTGGCTTCGTTGAACTCGGCGAAGAGGGCAGATCAAGCTCGCTCGGAATCGTGGTGCCTCGAATGTAGTGCGTTCGAGCAAATGACCAATCCATATAGGCCATGTCTGGGTTTGGAGGGATACCTGCCCGATTCGCCGCGGCCTCGGAATCATGAAATAAAAAGCCTGCAGGGACTGGAACATGATCATCATCCTCGGGCTAGAGAGATCTCAGTTACTTCTCCCGATCAAGGGAAACAGGGAGCGAGCTTACATTGATGAATTCCTTGATTCTTGCCGCCCTGGCGAGCTCTGGCTGGTTCCTACCCTCACGGAGGCATCTAATGACCCCCTCCTCGATACTATCAAAGAAGGGTCGGTTGTTTTTCAAGAGGTTGTCCAGAAAGCCTATTATCAACTGTTCCAAGTATACTTCCAGGTTGAGAGATCCGTCAAAAAGAGTTCGGATAATCATCGAGCAGATCTTGAACAGAACGTAGGCCACCTTGTCGTCTAGCTTGGATGCCAGCCTTGCCGGTCGGAGCTCTGAACAAGTGCCCGCAGTCTTTTTGATCCTTGAAGTATGCATCTTTTCCCACAGCCGGTAGGATATACATTGGGGATCATGCCCCCTGTGCAAGGTATGGTAAACCATAAGAGATGTTTCCCAGAAGGTACCAGGCTCGGTAGACAGCGGGGGAAGACGGAGGGGGGCAATCATGGCCTCTGGCTCAAACCGCTGCAGGTTGAAATGAATAGTTGGCCGGACGTGGGGGTCCTCCGACAATCCTTTCGCGAGCGATGCAAACTTGAGTTTTAGTTCATGGTCAAAGTCTCGGTTTTTGCTAAACTCGTCCAAGGTTCTGAGAGCTGCATTTTTCGAGTGAAACGTAACCAGGCCCTCCTTATTGACGTTGCCTAGGACGATTGCGTTGATGGTATGGGTGTCTTCCGATGAGAGTACAGATATCTGAATTTCGAATTCATCATCGGAATGGGCGGGTGCAGCTCCAGCATTTCCGTAGAAAATATTCTCCGAAGGCAGTGGTTTGTTTTTGTACTTTACATTTGCTGCTGGATGGGGCGCGTTCAGGAGCATGGACATGCTGCAGTCTTCCTCGCTCAACTGGAATGGGTTGAAACGATTCATAAAGCCAGGTAGATGACGGGTATCCTTGAGGCCTGGATGACAAAGAACAAGAACGATCCTGGGAGATATGACATAGATCCGGTGGAGTGGTCCAGTTTCGTCGGTTCGTCCTTCGTAAAGCCCGAACGAATTATCTGACATCAGAAACTCCTCACCGGGGGCGGCTTCCCAGATTACCAGGAACATCTGCATATTGTTATAGTACGGGAGTGATTTCCACTCTTCGAGCTTTGGGTCAACTTTAGTAGATTTAGCCGTAGCCTGAAAGTCACGAATCATGCTCTTCCTTCGTGAAGGGAAATCCGGTCCAAGTTTGTGGAAAATATTTTTGATCGTTTTCATTTCAGCCTCTTCACCTTCCTTCATAAGGTCATCATGCTCCTTCCGGAGGTAGTGCTGGAGGACATGGAGCCATATGTGCATGTCCTTCGGTGAAGTCGAAAGGCCGTATTTTCGGCAATAATCTTTAATCCATTCCTGTAAATTTGCGTTGTCGGGATGTGTTTCGTTGTAGTACGTTTCCCCTATAGAGAGCTGGTGATAATACATGACAAACATGAACTTGCGCAAGTCCTCCAAATACTTTCGCTTCTGCTTTACGCACACTGGTGGCGGGACCGCGCCTGCGCTCGGGTCTTTGTCGCGGTTGCTGACAGCATTCCTTATTTCCCGGAAGGATCTGCTCGCCTTGCCCTCGAGTTTACTGAGTTCGGTCTCGAGCTTGTAGGTAACGCTACCTGGGGCGCTGTCGGGGTCCTTAAACAAACCTTCTTTCGTATAGGCCTTGCTGACGAGACGACGGGTAAGTGTTTTCGAACCCAAATCGAAGCAGTTAATTTCTGGGTCGTTAGGACGGCGGGATCTATATAATAGTCTATATAACGTAAGCCTTCATTTGGGGACACCAAAGAGGCTCTCTTTCAAAACAAGGGATAGTTTCTCACCCCTCCTGCCAGCCAAAGTTCTTTAATATCCACCGTGGCACGAAATGGCAGTTGGGGACCTTCGAGTTTGCTGTTTTGTTCTCAGGGTCGACGGTGGTTTCAATCGTGGGGGTGCTGCTGCTCTGCCCTCCCCCACCACTGAGTGGCGCGGTAGCTGTATCACGACTAGTATCCGTGGTATCGGTGGTGGATGACTTAGCTGCAAGTTTGGCGTCCCGTCTGGGACGGTTTTTGTTTTTCTTTCCTTTCCCCATTGATGCTTGTTGTTTTATCGGTAGATGCTGCGATCTGGGTTGAGTTGGGCGTAGAGAGTTAATTCAGGCAACCAATATGCAACGTCCGCATTCGGATAAGTAATATTACGTACATACTTAGTAATCAGACAATTGTGGGTCTATCGACGTGATCATCGTGTACATATATGGAGTATCAAATAATATTATTGTGATCATGATATACTATATTTCGCTGTTATTAGGAACTCCGGATCGGATCGAGGGGGGGAAGGAGCGCCTTTACGTAACCCTTTGAACCCCGTTACTCTTGGCGAGAGGAAATGATCATTACTACGCCTTTTTGAACAAGTAACGAAACCATTGCCACAAGGAAAACGGAGTTGGCGGCCATCTCTATGGGGGGGATAAATTAGTCTAGACGGGTATTTAAATACATCTTTCGCAAAGAATGCTCTGCCACCGCCATGTCTTGCTTGATTCGATGCGCTGCAAGCGCCTGGTAGGACGTGGAAGTGAGTACGGCGAGACCAACTAACTTTAAACGCGCACGGGTGGCCAATGCTATGATTAAGAGCGGAGTTAGTACATCATACTTAACCACTTGATCTATATACCCGGAGTGACAGTCTGCGGTCAATTACAAGGGGATAAAATATATCTAGTAGTCAATCCATAGAAAATCGTAATCATTCGATCAATCATGCACTCTTTCGGTACAATCAGTGCTCTTGTATTGCATACAATAAATGAGTTAACAGCAACATCAATATCTTTGTACCTAATTGATTTTTGCGAGTGATCTTCTACGAACTTTGGGCGAAGATTACTATAATAGGTATTCAAGTGACAGGACTACCATGTTTAGAACGGGATTGCCGGATTTTCGTTGACTGCAACACTTATTATTACCCAACAACCTGTTGAAGTATTAGGGGCCCGTTTGATTACGTGTCGAAACACAGTTATAGGAGAAAGATTTGTATGGCAACCTCATAACTCTGTTTTATTTTCTTCAAAACTCCGTTTCCTCAAAAGGTTTCGGTTCGGACAGCTAATTTTGTAACTCCGTTAGGGTGTTGAAACGGAGTTTTTGAAAGGTATGTAGGTAAGACCTACTTTTCGCTATTGCAGCCATCGCAACACAAACCCTGTCAAAAGTCAACCTTAACAATCAGGCCAAATAAACCGAACTCCGTTCGAAAACCTCTGTTTACCCTCGCCTATAGCTAACGGAGCAGTTACTAAACGGAGTTTCGATACCTCCAGAACGGCCGGACGGGCCCTTAGTTACCTACGTAATTTGGAATAGTGATAGCACGAGAAAGCCTCGTTTCGTCTTGTATTGTTTGGACTGGGTCTTGAAAATCTCAAGAAAATGGTCTAGTCTCGTCAAATATTTAGGTGGGGAAATAAAGTCTAAAAGTCTCGAGACTTTCAGACCTGGTCCTGTCTTGTCTTGTCTTGTCTTGTCTTGTGTTGTCAACTCCCAGGTCTCGTCTTGTCTTGCTAAAAGTCTCGAGACAACTTGTTTTGTGCCCATATATCACTAGTACTATCCCTGGGATCCACTACAGGGGCCTATGGAGATGGAATGTTGAAGTTTTAAACGAGAAGGAGGTTTTCTCCTTACAATATCTCCGCTTTTTACGAATATCAAGTGCTGTTGCACGGCTTGAGTTATCACGACGCTCATATAAAGTAAAGTGCATCCTACGGATACCTAACTAGATGTAAGGTTGGTCTGGGTGGCTGAGCGGGGGTGTTTGGTGTGTGGGAAGGTTCAGAGTATGATTGGGTTGTGTATCTGTCCTCAACTGCACTGACTCTTTAAAAGCTGCTTTCCCCTAACCCCAAACCTAACCCTAACACCCCGCGGCGCCTAACCCTCTTCCCACCGAACTCTGTGTTTATCGCTTAGGCAGGGTACGTCATGGTGCAGACTTCTATAAGCTGGAAGTACCCTGCAGGCCTGTGGAGTGTCATCTAATTAGCACTTCTGGCAATATCGCGCAGAGGACTTTCGCACAACCCAGAAGATTTTCCGAGCCAATAGGGAGGGTGAATCGGTCGTCTAATTCAAAAGAGACCTATTGTACCAGATTCTCATCCCTTAAACTGTCCCGAGTCTCACGGCTTTTTAGGCGTGGCGATCGGCCCAGGCAGGAATGGCGACTGCCCAAAAATGAAAGATGCGCGACCAAAAGAGAGGAGGCAGCGGTTCACGGATAGACTAGTACGGGGACACTTATAGACCAGTGTGCAAGGAAAAAATCGGGTGCGTTGCAACGGACTATCGTTTGGGTACAGGACTATTGGTAGGGTACATCGCGATCATAACAGTTGTACAGCCGTGTTAAACAAGTTGTGACAGCAACCACCAACGAATGGGTGTCGAGGACGACTTCGAAATGAAATAACTCAACGACCACTCAAGTAATAGCTATGAAATTAAAAATGAAAGAACTTGTGATAGCTAGGTACATATATCTGTAATTTAATATTTTGTAGCAGCACCATTTGCCTCAATAACAGCCATAACCCTCCTGTTCATACTATCTACTAGTGAATTGAGTTTGTCCTATGATATCTTATCCCACTCTTCCCAGGCTGCCTCAAATAGTTCAATAGGGGAATGAGGGCTCTTCTCAATCAAACTAAACCTCCTTCTAAGTGCAGACTTTAAAAGGTGCCAAACATTTTCTATACAGTTCAAATCTGGTGAACATGCGGGCCAGGGCATCCTATTGATTCCTAACAAATCTCTAGTTCCTCTCCCTGGCTCTGAATCATGAACCTTAGTATTGTCCTCAACGGTTTTTGAGCCTTCTCTACCCATTATAGTGGTATAAGGGAATAGAGAATCCTGTATAATCTCCTTGGCATACTGCTTCCCATTCATCCCCCCTGCATCCCTCTTCTTAAGTTTTTGACTAGGTGGGCGACTCTTAACCCAGACAATAGGACCTTTAGACCCTTACTGAAAACAGCCTTAGAGGTGTATCTTTGTTCTTCCACTAGCAAAAGAAGGTTCAAGATACCTTTCCTCCAACCCTTTCCCGAGTAGGTAACGCACTTTTTGGCCTCGTGGGTTAGGATTGTATTCTAGGTGAATTTCATCTGTCCAGACCATGCGACACCAATAGTTCTGGTTACATCTTTGACGGCAACAATACCAATCTAGCCTGGCTAATTTGTGATATGGTTTGAGGTAGGGTTTCTTGTGTTTGATATTCAAAGTATATCCGGCCTTTTTGAGTGCCTTGTCAACCGTAGGATGAGAAACATTTAGCTTTGAGGCCTCAGTTATCTCTCGTAAGGCATAGGTAGAGTACTCCGCTACCACATCTGCAAATATCTGCTTGTCTGCTTTTGAAAAGGTGGGCGGGTGGCCCGAGCAGGGGAGGTAATGTCCGTGGCATTCTTTTTTGTATTTAGCCACCGCTCGGTAAATATTGCTTTCTGAGGCCCCAGTTTCCTTCACAATTTCTCTGACGGGCAAACTGTGATTGGAGAGGGCAATAATGTCCTTCCTCGTTTCATATTGACTTTTTCCAACGGTTTTTGTGGGCATCATGATGTATTGCGGGGGAGGCTGCAGGGTTGTGCGCAATGCTGGATGAGTCCATTGCGACTGTCACAACTTGTTTAACACGCCTGTATATAACAATTACATATATAGAAAAATATATTAAATAAATAAAAAATAAAAAATAAAATACTATTGATTGAGTACAGGACTATCAGTGGGGAACGGGACTATAGAGAGGGTACATAGCACCGGTAAAATTCAGCCATATAGTGATGGGCCAACTATCGGTAGGTTATAGTATGATAGAACATGCTCTTCAGTTTTACAGCTTTCAACTATATACAATGAGACGGATTATTGGTATGGTACAGAACTATAGAATAGGTACTTCGGTTTTACGGCTCTCAACTATATGTAATTGGATGGACTATTAGTAGGATACAGGGCTATAGAGATGGTATATCGGTTTCGCAGCTCTCAGCTATATGTAATTAGGTGGACTATCGTTAGGGTACAGGACTGTAGAGAGGGTATACAACAATGCTATTTCCCAATAGATTTTAGTAGACAAACTATCAGTAGGGCACAGGACTATATGAAATATAAATCGGTTTGATAGGTGTCAGCAATATATTGCCTATAGAATGTAAAAGTATTAGGAGGCTAACTTTAACTATTAAATAATTATCTTTTATGAGCAGGTTTCCTGCTCCGAATCAGTCATATCTTCAACCAATTCCTCTTCACCTTCCCCATCCGAAACCAGTTTCTTTCTACATGCTCCGTCAATCAGTGGCGAATGCTCCTACAGGACTGGGAGAGGTTTTATAAAGAGGTTGGAGGAAATGAATAACATATTGAGAAAGGTGAGCTGGCATCATTCAGAGGTAGATATTGGGGAGCGAAAATACCTTACTATTACCGGGATCCAATAGTAATTGTACGATATCTTCTAGGCCAACGGGCCTTTTGGGAGTCATTAGTGTATGCGCCAGTGGTAGAGCATAATGAATCTGGTGAGAAAATGTACGGAGTAATGCATACGGGAGATTGATGGTGGGAGATTCAGGCCCAGTAAGCTTTACAAGTGCTATATGAGCAGTCATTAATGCTTTCTGGACAGAATACCTTACCCGAGGGGTCAACTGTGGTACCAATTATATGCGCGTCAGATGGCACACATTTGACAAGTTTTAGTGGGGATAAGAAAGCTTGGCCAATCCATTATACCATCGGGAACATCAAGTTATCGGTCTGGAGCAAGCCCACCGGGCATTTGTTAATTCTCCTAGGGCTACTGCCAGTCCCACCTAAGCTCGGGAATAACTCACTAGCTAATTCCGCTTTACGACGGTCAGAGTCAAATGGCGCTATATCGTGCCATTGGGGAAATCTTTCAGAGTATTCGGGATTGCTCTCAGGAAGGAGAGCTAATCATATACACCAACGGATACGAACATCTATGCTTTCCGGTGTTGTCGGTTTGGATCGCTGATCAACCTGAGCATGCGAACTTAGAAGATATTAGTACTAGGTCTTGTCCAAAATGCGAGGTGGAATTCCACACTCTTGGGAGTACTCGTTGGAGCCCTAGTCGCAATCACAAAGATTACCGGAAAAGGGTAAAGCTATTCAGGGAGTACCAAGGAAACCTGAGACCGGTGGAATACCTTGTCGCGAGATCAGTGAAGACACTCTTCAATGCTTTCTGGGATATGCTGAGGGTTAATCCATACGATCTGAACAAACCAGACATTTTGCGCAATATCTATCTAGGGATGTTGAAGCAAATGGTGCAGTGGGTTCAGGCTTCAGGCTTCCTTGAAGAAGCACAATCGATTGGAGAAATTTGACAAGCTTTGGGCCTCGATTGCAGCTTACCCCGGACTGGCAGTACCGAACAAGGCATATCGTGCCACAATCCAATGGCAAGGGAAGGAGATGAGAAATCTGGGGCGGGTCGTTCTTGGAGCACTCGTGGCTGCTTTGAGGAACTCGGGGGTGGCTGTCAGGGGCAAATTGGCAAAGGCATCTAATATGTACTGGAATATTATCATCCGTTGATTGTTGCAGTCTGATTGGTTGACAGCGACAGGGGTGTTTTGTAAGCACGACACATCAAATTCGTGTCTTTGGTGCAGTTACCCTGCCCGATTTTGTTCAGTTACCCTGCCTATTTTGAGATGGTTACCCTACCCGATTAGTGCTGTTACCCTGCCTGCTCTGAGCTGTTACCCTATCTTTTTTGTGCGTTACCCTATCTTTTTTGGGCGTTACCCTACCTGCTCAGGGCCGTTACCCTGCCGATTTTCCTGCCAAGCCCAAACCCTAACCCTGACCTTACCCATGAGACCAGCCTAATCAACGGAACCCTTCATGATTAAATAATAAATATAGCTATTTAGTAGTCAAATATGAGCAGAAGAGGTGAGTGAGACGAACAGTAGTTGGTGGGGCGTGCGAAGAGGGAGAGGGAAGACCAGTAAGAGGGGGAGAGGAGGTGCCAGTGCGGTGGAGGAACGGTGAAGGGAGCTGGAATATATAAGAGCTGGCACAGGAGCTGGAAGCGAAGTGGGCACTGGTGCTTGCAGAGAAGCGGGCACTGGAGCTTGCAGAGAAGTGGGCACTGGAGCTGGAAGCGAAGTGGGCACTGGTGCTTGCAGAGAAGCGGGCACTGGAGCTTGCAGAGAAGTGGGCACTGGAGCTGGCATGTATCTGAGCCGGCACTGGAGCCGGCATCTAATGGAGCCGGCACTGGAGTGGGCATTAGAGATGGCATTCGGGCGGCCCCGGCTAGAGCTGGCATATATTTGAGCCGATACGGAAGCTGACACTGGGGCTGACTTTGATTTTAGCTCGCACCGGAATGGGCATTAGAGCTGGCACTGGACCTGGCATTGAAAATCGGAAATAGATCTCCAGAGCAAGATTTAGGCATTTATGCCATATAGATGGGAAAACAGACCATGAGACGGCTAAGACAAAATTAACTAATTACTGGAGGTACCCAGATACTACACATAGGTGGGAGAGAAGGTCTCAAGGGGGCGAATAGCTAGTATTCCGCAGGGTACGGAGTGTGTAATAGGGGACGGTATGGGAACTCGCAATAGGGGTCCTGAGGGACTCTAGCGTTGGTAAGGGTCAACGGGGCAAGGAGAAAGCGAGGCGGTGGTCTTCTTGAATAAAGAAGAGGATGATAATATTATATCGCAATAGACAGCGTAGATACAGAAGACGTTGCGTAAAGAAAGAAGAAGAAGAAGAAGAACGAGAAATAAAAACAAACCCCCCTTAATATACTCAAAGAAATCCCAACGATGACAAATCCAATATGACTCATACATTAACGATCAACAGAACCCGATGGAACCCAATAGAACCTTTCTGACTAATCCGACTCTTCGTAACCCCGTACATCCCCTAATCGATCCATGAAAGAAGGGGACCTCGCGGTCGCGAGGTGGCGCACCCCTAGTTGAAATGAATACGAGGCTTACTCGACTTCCACTTAATGGTGCAGTATAGGAGTCGTACGACGAGCACACTGAAGTATAGGGAGAGCTATCTCGAGGATTTCTATAAGCACAACGATATCTTTTTAGAATTCCAGGCATACAAGAGGATGGTTAAGGATGCGAGTAATCAGACAAAAGACTTAAATGCCTCAAGCTCCCAGAGTGGTTCCGATATCAATCTTCCAAAAACCTGAGGTGTATGAGATCTACAACATTAGGTGTACTGGAAATGCGTCTTTTAGGAACGGGAAAAAAAGAAAGAATTAGGCATGGGTGTCGGTAGCTTCCTCAGAGCAGTGGGGAATGTTTCGGGGACACTTCCCATGACGTTTGGAGGCTTTGTTCAAGGTGCGGAACAGTGCGGGGTGAGCCCATATGCTATGTATAGTGGAGCTACTTGAGGCAAAGGATCGTGGTATCGCTGATAGCTCACATAAGCTCCTGAAGGTTTGTATAAGGAGGAGGAAGAGGACGTGGGTCGTTAATATTCAGAGTATATTGGGAATAACCCATTTGTTTCAGGTGGAGGCTGGTAATTGATTGCTAAATACTAGGATAGACTTGCAGATTGGAAAAAGGAGGTAAAGTTTTGGCTGCTCAGTATCTGAGTCTGGCTATTCAGCAAGCTCACTCCAGGATGGCAATGCCAGTCCATGTTTGCTGCTTATGAATGGACATTGAACTTTTCAGACGAGCCATACCATGGCCTCAACCTCAAGGCTAATTATGCCTTTCACGAATCAATAGAAACATATACCTCCATCAAAGGTTTACTACTCGTCAACAGTATACAGGACAGTGCTCGTATCAGTATCCCGAGACTGCCCGTACAGCGGCGTTGAGGATACCCACGTTGGATATCATTTGAGGGACTGGTGCCTTCCTATCCTTTGACGACGGCGTATTAATACAAAGGGGGCAAAGTGAGGATTGCCTCACCTTGAGTGGGTATGATGAATACCTCAGCTTTGTGAGCACTGGTTTCATGGATCGACTAGTGGAGGTACGGGGTTACGAAGAGTTGGATTAGTCAGAAAGGTTCCATTAGGTTCTATCGGATTCTGTTGATTGTTAATGTATGAGTCATGTTGGATTTGTCATCACTGGGATTTCCTTGAGTATATTAAGGGGGGTTGTTTGTACTTCTCGTTCTTTTTCTTCTTCTCTCTTTACGTAACGTCTTCTGTATCTACGCTGTTTATTGCTATACAATATTATCGTCCTCTTCTTTCTTTAAAGAAGACCACCGCCTCGCTTTCTCCGTGTCCCGTCGAACTTTATCAACGCTAGAGTCCCGTAGCACCCCTATTGCGAGTTCCCATACCGTCCCCTATTACACTCTTCGTACCCTGCGGAATACTCGCTACCCATCCCCTTGAGAACTGGGGAGTACTCTGAGAGCATTCGAGTGAGCATTCAGGTGAGCATTCTTATGGGCATTCGCGGGAGCATTTGCGTGAGCATTCAGGGTAGTATTCGTCGGAGCATTCGGGGGAGCATTCACTGGAGCATTCGCGGTACCGTGAGAAAGATCGCCATGCCGTCAGAGAATTCGTCATGCTGTGGGAGCATTCAAGAAAACTGTGAGAGCACTGTAAAGTGCTCGTGTGGTATTACTGACGTAATCAAAAGAAGAAAATGTTCTATAGGTGCTGTTGACAGGGTCACTCCATCCTACCGTCTCCGGAGGGGGAGGTAATCTCATGTTGGCCCAGGCGAGCAGACAATTGGCGAGTGCCGTCCGGACATGAGCCATATCTCCTGTCGGTGCTGGAAGGGTATGCACTCCTGGGGCGCAGCTGGGCTCTAGTGTTATACACTGGTGGTGCCAGATACGCTAGGTGCTCGGGGCGCGGAATGTCCACCAGGACGAAGGAGCTGCACTTTGGGTAACACGCGGGCTTGCTGATGTTGTTGGTTTATACCCGTTCCGGGGGAAGTGTGTAAATTCCCTTGGTTCGTTTAATAAGTACTGTCTTTGTTTATCCAGCCATGGCTTAATTTTCCTTCCATTGGTTCTGTCGCATCCGAGTGTATTGTAATCTTGCGATCTGTTGCCATACCACAATTGATGGTTGGAGTTGAAATATCCCATTATTAGACAATTCTGAATAGTCGTAACATTATTCGAAATGTCCGCGAAGTATCGGCTTCTGCCAGGAGAGTCTATATTAAGAATTTGGGTTCTCTGTTTTGGGATTTCCACCGTAATTGAAACTATAAATTATTGTATGTATAGTGATGTTTGGGTTTTAGGTTCGAGTCTTTTCTAACATATGTTGCGCATTTGGTATCTTTATTACTTACTGTAGAAAGATAGAAAAATGGTGATTCTGGTGGATGTCCGTTCTTATTATTCCATGGTTCCTGCAATAAACGAAAGATTACATCGCAATCCAGTTCTGCTTCCTCCACTATTGACTTTGTTCTTAGCTTATTTTTGGTGCAGTTCAGTTGCTGTACAAGAGCTGTAGTCTGTTGTGATATACTCATTCAGAAGTTACTATCCTTTCCCCATAGGGGTCCTATTCCACTCGGATTATGCTAGGTGCTGATCCTGGCTCTGGTTCTTTGCTTATTGATTCAACTGCTCTGATAAACTTGGACAGGAATTTTGCCTTGACTTTTTCCGGACAGTTCTTGTTGGTAGCTTTGTGTTGCTGCTTGCAGTGGTAGCATCTGATAGATGAGTGTGTACACTTATATTCTCTGGTGAATTCTTTGTATGTGTGATCTCTTTTTGGTTGTTTTCCGCAGACTATCCGCATCTGCTGTAACGGAGCCATTTCAACTGTCTGGTGTATGAGTACACACAGGGCCCGGTTACATGCTGAGAGTTATTGTTAGAAGCCAGTTGCACGGTGATATGCAAGTACCGGCAGTGTGGTTAGCTACCAGCTATTAGAGTAACTACATTCCAGGTGCTAGGAAGAGGATCTATTCATGGGAGCAATGGCTGACGAGTCTATGCCTCGCCAGTGACTAGAAGACCGGCCAGAGAGAAGCTCTGATTGTCCGGTGATCCTCTGTATCCTCTGAGCATTGTATGTCCGCCGAAGAGGCAGGGACTATGCTAGGGAAGTCTACAATAAGTGAAAGCTCTATAGCAATGGTTAAGCTTACACCTGAGCGGCAGCTCATTCATGCAGGTCCTCGGTTGTGTGGCAACTAAGGCTGCAGGTGTTACAAAGGCTTTGACTAAGGGTGGTTGCCTTGGGTATCGGAAACACCTGCTGACGCTTAGAGAAAAGCGGGGTAGCGGTGGTATTGTTTCTGGCACGGAGGAAAGGCTTCACCGGAACTTAGTAAGGAGTTAGGAGCAGAGAATAGAGGCCTTCGGAGTATAAGTACTCAGGCCCATTCTCGCCCTTCAGTCCTGTTCTCTCCAGTCTTCATCAGAAAGAAAAACAAGTTCTTATCGGTAGCAGAGCCCTTAAAGATTATTGAGTTCTAGCGATAGTATCTTTGAATAATCTGCAACCTGATTGTCTATCTTGCACGGCCGTCTCTATTCTATCCGATTCTATTTCTCTTAGAAAGGACCCCCGTTACATCTGCTGGTTTGATGGGAGCATCTTTCCTGGCGGTGGCCATATTCCAGCCACTTCCTGCATTGTATGTCGGAGTTTGTTGGAAGGTAAGTATCAATTTTGGATGACCGGTCGAAGAGGGTAAGGGAGCGGAGACCGAGATTTTCCTTTGTATAGCGGCCTAGCAGGGCGATAACCATAGAGAAATGTGATTTTCCGATCTGGAATTGTGATTTGTTTAGCTATCTTGAGATTGGGGCTTGTTGGAGTATGATACTTTGAGTTCGTTAAGGGTAGCTTCAATTTCCTGTTTATAGGCGAAAGCTTTGTCTGCTGAGGTCATGAATTTGGATTCTAGAACAAAGTTGTTGTTCGTGGTTTTCCTAGCGGTGAGGAATTGGCAGTCGGGATCCTGGATTCTAGAGTTTATATTCTGTCTGAGTTCGATAAAAATAACAAGAGGTTCTTTATCTGTTTTAATAATAATTTCCATGTTGATTCTGGTAAATTCTAGTTTAAGGAGGGGTTCAGTTTTAGCTATTTGCCTCTTTTTATTTCCAACTATTTTAAATTCCGAGCTTGAGCCTCCTTTGGCACTGTCTGCATAGGTTGTTTGTTTTGTCGTCGCGTGCTTTCCAGTAGTCCTTTCCTTGTTTTTACTGGTTTAGACGGGGGCTGGAATGGGTGCCGGGGCAGTTACGAGAGGGGGTCTATGTTGTACTTGCACTGGGGCAGGTGAGAGTTGTTGGAGATAGTTTCGCTTTCGATTATCTTATCCTGCACCTTTACTATTTCGAATATTTGTTTTGAGAGTGTGTCGACCGAGAGTTTGAGTGATTTGGTTCTTGGAGGATATGTTCCTTGCTTGCAGTGATATCATGTTCTATTTGGTGTATTGAGCCACTCAGGGGGTGGAAGGTAAGCAAAAGAACGTTACAGATTGCCCAAAGAACATACTTTATATCCATTTTAGTATGGGTGTCTTGTCGAACGATACTGGGATGGATATAGTCGTATCTGAGGGCATATGGTTGACTATATTACGCTGTAGCGGTGAAATCAGAGAGGGGTCCTTCTGCTGTTTGTTTGATAGGGATGTATTCAGTGAATTGAGATTTGTCGAACCTCGGAGGGGGGGGATAGCTAGGAGGGGCCTGAGTTGCCCAAAGGGAGCTCAAGGAAACCTGTGAGATAATTGCTCCACGATGGCCATTTGGAGTAGTAGAGACTTCAGATAGGGTCCTTTTTCTGCCAAATAAGTTAAGTGGGGTGGACAGTTGAGAAGGTGTTGATGATGCCAATTTGTTTGAGTTTGCGGTCGTGGATGTGTGTCTCTCGCTTAGAGGACACGACACTTCCGCAGGATTCTGCTATCTGCAGAAGAATCAATTGCTGTAGTGTAGAGCTGAACTGAGGCAATAGTACTTGTGCAAGGATAAGATTTTGAAGTTATTCAGAGGTAGTGTTTGTATTGCGAGCTTTAGCGAGCTGAGAGAAGGAAGAAGATTGCTTAAAGAGAAAAGAGAAAAACAGAACATCAATGAAAGACAGAACCCCTTTATATCTCCAATAACCCCAGTCTGAATGTGACTTATACACTCCTCCAATGGAAACCAATAGAACCCAAAGGGAATCCATATTCCTAACCATAACCTCATTACCAAGTACTTCCTCTTTATGCCTTAAAACAATATCCCGCCCTGATGCCATGACGCCGTTACAGCCTTTGTAATACTTGCAGCCTTGATTGCCACACATTGGGCCTGCATGAATGAGCTGCCACTCAGGTATAAGCTTATTCCTTGCTGTAGAGCTCCCGCTTATTATAGACTTGCCAGGCGTAGTCCCTGGCAATACCGGTAGAGCTGCATGCTCAGAGGATAGAGAAGATGATTGAGCATTCAGAGCTTCACTCTGGCCGATCTCCTAGTCATTGGCGAGGCATAAACTCGTCAGTCATCGCTCCCATGAATATATCCTCTTCCTACCGCTCAGAAAATAGTTACTCTAACAGCTGGTAGTAAACCACACTGCCGGTACTTGTATATCACTGTACAATTGGCTTCTAACAATAACTCTCAGCATGTAACTGGGCCCTGTGTATACTCATACATCAGACAATTGAAATGGCTCTGTTATATGCTGTACGTATGTACTTGCCATTTGCCAGTTCACTAATGAAAATATACCTAAAATTTGTGGAATATGACTATTCATGAAATCTCGGAACTATAGTTACCGGTTTTGTGGTCTGGCCATGATGTATATTTTTGGTAGTAGTTTGCTGTCGCATATTATATCTCGCGCCTTAAATGATTTGTTGCGGTGAAATCTTCAGCATATTACTAGCATTAGGATTCTCATTGTCTGCTAATTTCAGTGGATTGGGCATGGTCATCAAGAGAGATAGGGTGTTCCCTCATAACATGTACCCGGAGGTCCCTATATATAAGCGATGCAATGATTATATAATCCATATTTTTCGATGATGAAACTAGCCAACAAGATGAGCAGTGAATTTATGATAATTTACGAGGTGGGGATCATAGTTTTGGCAAGAGATATTATGAATAGCTATTACTTATCTTTTTATCACCTTTGTTGGTCGGAAGTTGTCCCTTTTGTAGTCTAAAAAACACAAATTAATGACTTAAAAAATCCAGATTCTATCCTAGAGACTCCTGTATCATGTGTATGATCAGAGTATCTATCTTATTCAGTCGTTGTGTAGTGTTAGGGTATTGGGATCCGTCAAGCATTGCGTCGCTTTTAGGGACCCCCGGGCGCGTTTTGAGCCGCTCAACAGATATGCACCCCTTGATGGGTTCACACTCCTACCAGTGGGTGAGAAAAGCACTGATTGTTGTGGACCCGGAAGTGGGTTGCTATGGTAAGATGGAAGAAAAAGCTACGGGGGATGTGTATCTACCCTTTTCATATTAGTGACCAGGTCTAATCATAGACTATCACTCGGCCTTAATAAGAGGGTCTGTGTTGGGTTTCTATGTTGTGCCGTCGAGCCTTGGAGTGATATGTCATTATGTGTGGTACGGTCATAGAGGAGGTTTGATTGTCGGTTATGGCGGGGGCTATATAAGGTCCCTCTATTCTGTGATGGTATTCATAAGAAAAACTAACTCTCGCACACCGCGCTTTGCCCTCACATTTCCGCATCCAACAACGACAGTTATCGAAAGCTCGCGATACATATGTCAGGATGGAGTCATACTACGACTCTCCTACTATAGCCATAAGCGTTTGAGTAAAAAAAAGCTTTAATATACCCTCTATGTGGAAGTCAAGAAAGTCAAATGAGAGAGCTAAGATCTAGATATTATGTATATACTCTTGTGGAACCGACGCGGTGCGCGGGCATCTGGGGAGTGATCATTTTCACCCGCGTGCTCTAACGGAGAGTGCTGGGGCGGCAATATCATACCGTACCGCTTTCAGGGATCCTCTGCAGCGCGTTGAGCAGCTCACAACGCGTGGTTTGTCGACGGGCTGTGTACTATATAAGCAGGGGAGATAGCTGGGGCGACCTGTCGTTGTCGCGAGGTAACGTGATACTCCTGCATACACACTGGGTATTGCACCTGGTGGTGCAGCTGGGGCTTGTCTCCGGGTGACAGCCGCGGCGGCGCGGCGGCTGTCTGGCGGTGGTGATGGCGGTGATGGGAGAAAATATTGTTTATGCCGAAAGCGTCGACCAAAGATGCTCGAAATGAAACCGATATTCCTACTACGTGGAGCTTACCCTGGACTATCCGTATAAACAGTTACATCAACTGACCCTGATACTCGCTCACATTCCATCACCCTGTAAACTGGGCCAGGAAACAGATCACAATCAGAGAATATCACTCGATGAGATGCTTTAAGCCCACCATGTACCAGGCATTATTCTACCGGCGCCCCTAATGCGAGGTAACTTGCTCAACCGCAAAAACCTCATCCGATAAAGACGACCATAACCACCGCTACTTTGCACCCAATGCCTGGCTGATTCCCACCTTAAGCGCCACTACGGCCATAATGAATTATCAATCAATCAATCAACCACTACGGCCATGTTTCCGGCCACGGCCACGGCCTACACCCAAAACCGATATCCTACCACAACTCTCCTCAGCAGTGTCCTGATGGTGAAGTATGGAATAAAAATAGACCACGCTTGATCCTGTGAAGTGAGGAAAGCATAGGTTCTAGCTCTGTCCAGGGGAAGAATTCAATTGAATACATAGCTCAGTTCCCTACAGTGTGTTTACCATCCACTGGCCGACTAGATGCTTATCAGGCTGTTTAATAAGTTTCTATATTTACTGAATCTCTGATTCCTTGCGCTTACGTTGATGGCACTGGTCAACAAAATTGACTCTGTCAAAAATATTCACCTTCAAAGACCACCTGCTTAAATGAATGGACCAGTCAAATCCTCTTTACCTGTATTGGTTCTTTGCTTATTTGGGGGAGGGGTCCAGCTTGAGGATAGCGGATTAATTGGGACGTAAGTGCGGTGTATCCTTGGCATACAGAACTACGGATCGTCATGGATCCATTGGCTAGATGACATGCCAAGGCCACAGCCTTCATACCTAATCAGTGAACCTCTCGTTGTTGAGTATCTACATGTACCTAGATATATCGATCTCCGTTGTGTCGTTTGAACACATAAATTAACCAATTGAAACAAGAGGAAACGTGTGATAATGAGGTGGTGTCTGTATCACTGAGTCTTCTTACCACAAGTGGTGATCGTGAGTCGTGACATTGACAGGCTGAACAATCTGGTCCCTTCCGACCCAATTACTGTATGTACCCCATAGCTTCTCGTGCCATAGAGGTCGGCTCTATGTGAGACTGTGAAAACGTTTTTTGATGAGTGAGAAATAATACGTGGCTCGTAAAGATTTATTCCCCCCCCGTTCTTGAACATCCGCGCCGCGGGCGGGGCCATCCCATTATCCCCTCCTCCCCTCCTCCCCTCCTCCCCACATTCCCCGCCTCTCTGATCTTCGCGATCAGAATGCATTTTTCTATATTTTATCAATAATCAGAGCACGATAGGATGTCAGCCCCTCAACATCCAGCACATGCTCAAGTACCCCATGTACTCGCCGCTGAACCCCCCCGATCTCGGCCATCATCCATTGAACATGAGCTCCCCAAGGTCGGCAAGATCGTATTCCGTGTACAAGGGATCCCACTAGAAGTAACGCTGGAAGGACTGGAGAAGAGTTTCAAAAGTCATTTCAAACGCTCGAATAGCCAGGAGAACACTATCGATACAGGTCTAAGCTCCTTAGTGCCATGCTGCTATGGGAGTGGACACCAGACAGCTCTGATACAGTTCCAACCGCAAACCCCCAAGCGTCTGGAATCACTGGCTCCTGGTAGATGTTACGATTTCGAGGACCCTGATTTTCAATGCCGAATCACGATAGATCAGGACTTCATGGGATCAACTCAGTTATACCCAACGATTTCAAACCTACGGATCGAAGCGGAGTAAGTGCACCGACACTCACAGTAGCCTAAAGCCAATTAACCTGTTCTTATCCAGCGTTGTCGCTATACCGGGAATTAATGGCCATGCTTATGGATCATGGACCGGAGCAAGCAAGCAAAATCGAAAGACAATGTGGCTTCGTGACTTTATGCGTAAAGACTTTCATACATGTAGGACAATGATCTTTGGATACCATTCCGCGTTGCTCGAGCACTATGCCCACACAATGAGCGACTATACCGAAGACCTCTTACAGGAGGTAACGAGAGCGAGAGGAAATGCTGAGGTAGTGATAACTGGTTGCAAGGTCTAGTCTCCTCTGCTGATGATTAATAGGAAATGGGAAGGCCGATTATCTTTATGGGCCATAGTTTTGGGGGGATTCTAATCACTCATGTAGGCATATTGAGGCCGTCGTTTAATATTAGCAATACTAAACCTTTTCTCTAGTCTATTGTCAAGGCTTGGATATCGAAGCAGCCAGGCCGTTTATGTGGCAGCATACTAAATAACTTCAAGGGAGCCATTTTCTTTGGAACTCCCCACCAGGGCTTACAACATTTAGATGAACTTCTCGAAGCGGTAAAAAAAAACCAAGGGAGGAAAGCTCTACTGGAAAGTATTAAATTCGGAAATCGCGATCTTGAAGATACATTATCCGCATTTAAGCGCTATTGCCAGGAAACCAAGCTAGAGGTAGTAAGCATCAAGGAAAGCCGGGAGACAAGGAAGGCGACGAAGGTTAGTGAAGTTTGAAATGGTGGCCTATGATATGGATGCCGACTTTAAAGAGAGTTAATATTCGAAATCTAGGGTGAGCTTGGTGAATTGGCTCGCAATGGTGAACTGGTAATGTTTGTTGCTGTTGCCTTCTCCGAGCTCAAGTTACCAGAGAATCTCGAGACGACGGCAATGGCTGAAGGAGATCATTCAAGCCTGGTAAAATTCGAGAACACACATAACAAAGCTTATCGTTCGGTTGTTGATGTCATTCGCAGATTTATGAGCAAGGGGGATATGTATAGAATTTTCTTTTATAACCAGAAAAATATCTAATTGTATAGTAAACGAGCATGATCATTCGAGCATAGTGAAGTTCGAGAACACGCATAGTAAAGTGTATAATTCGGTTTTGAATTTCATACGCAGATTCAATAGTAAGGGGGGTATGTATAAAACCTTCTTCGATTACCTGACAAATGCTTAATAGCATACTAGACGATGTAAGCCGTAGGGCGCGCACAGGTCCCCAGATAAATACCAATGTAGTAAGCAATACTTTGACACTTTCGGGTCCGTCAAAACAGAAGATGCATGTTGGAGGTAGTACTTCTAGTAAGATCTTGCCTGTACTAAGGTACACTATCAAATAGTTTATGAGGAGATTACTGACGCCATTTTATAGGCCACCAACGGCAGGAGCTACTTGCTTGGGTGTCCAGGCTTGAACCTGAGGATGATTTCGAGAGATTGTACAAGCAGAGGCATCCGGGTACGGGAACATGGTTGACTAGCTCCGTTAAATTCAAGCAGTGGCTGGACGAAGCGAAGCATTGTTTGCTCTGGTGGTATGGAACAGGTATGTTAGAGCTCCTGTACATCCCCCGGGACATTGATGTTCGCAACGGTCCAGGCTCGGTATCGGGGGTCAAAGGGTTGATCTTGTACCGCCTCCGTGACAGACTACTAAGTGTAGTCTGGATGATCCTGGATCCAGCGTGAATGGACTGGGCCGTTACGGACTCTACGCGGCGGTGATGGCGGCGGCGAGGTGGCGACGATGGTTGTTACGGTCTCCTATTCTTGCTAACGTCGTTTGTCAGCTGGTGTGGGAAAGTCGGTTCTTGCGTGAGTATAATTCTCCTTTATTGCCCGCCAGTTTGTTGACTGGACGAGATAGATCCATTGTGGTAGAAAAGGTCAGGTTATTACACCCTCAGGATCCCCGTGTTGGCATTGCATTCTTCTTCTTCAGCTTCCAGACCGATCCGACACCTGCTCAAATACTATCGACCTTGATGAAGCAACTCTGCCGTCAAATAACTAAAATACCCTAACATATGTTCGACCTTCATCACAAATGCGTACCAAACGATATAGCACCCCGTCTGACAGAGCTTCAGCAACAACTTGAGAAGATTATTGGTTGCTTCGACCAGGTATTCCTGGTTGTGGACGCCATGGACGAGTGTAAGACGGACCACCGCCAAGAATTACTTCAATACATCACAAAGCTTGCAGAGACGGCGCCGGGAAAGCTGCAGCTGTTTCTAACCAGTCGACCAGAGGGTGATATCCAGGCTGCACTTGGATCAGATAAGTTCAAGACTGTGCGTGTGAGGGCCACGAAGGTGAGCGCAGATATATCATCATACGTTCGGCATCAACTGGAAAATCCTCGGCATCATCTGTTGTGCAGTGACCTGAGCACTGACACCCGTCTCAGAAAAGAGGTGGAGGAGGCATTACTTGGCAAATTGAATGGAATGTATGAACCCTACATGCATCAGGTTAACCCATTATGGCAGCCAGAGCTAAAGTTCGGAAGGTTTCTCTGGGTGAAGTTCCAGCTAGATTATATCTTCTCTCTACCATCGAAAGATATCCGTCAGGCCTTAGGTTCACTTCCTCTCACAATGAACGATACATACGCGCGGATAATGTGCAGGATCATATCTCAGCCCGACCCAACAGTATCGCTAGTTCGTCGTGTGTTGACCTGGGTAATTACGGCGAAGCGACCCCTCAAACCCTCAGAACTCGCAGAGTTTATCGCCCTTGAGAAAACCACTACCAGCATATCAAGGCTCAAAGGCCGATATAAGGAATATATAGTGATGGGAGCATGTTGTGGTCTCCTCACAAGCGATGATGGGTTCGTTCGGCCGATTCATTTCACCGTGGAGGAGTTTCTGAGGGGGGGTGGCGGATTTGTTCCCAGCGAGCAAGATGCCCATACCGAGCTTGCGAGGCATTCGATATCGTACCAGCTGTGTAAAGAGTTCTGGGGCCGCCCTAGCCCTGGTTATAATGGGACTACCTCCGAGCGTAGCTTGGGTGGCGGTCAGCCGTATATTTTTTAACACTGGGATAATCACCTGCGGAAGAGCCGGTCCCCACTTCCAGCTGACTTGCGGCACGTACTGCTCAAGCTGTTTGCAAGTAATGTCTACAATAACATATACAGTCTATGGGCCGAGGATGGTGTTGGCGGGGTATTGAATATGTGTGCTTTCTTCGATATACTCGATATTCATGATGAACTTTTTCCTGGTCAGAGTTCTGGGTTGACACCGATGCAGCTTAGCACAGCTGTGGATGCTGCCGCTCTGGGAGGTTCTCTTCGTGCCGTTGAGAGGCTATTAGGCCTTATGAGTGAAGAGGACAGAAAGGCCCAGAGCTCTCTCTGCGGGGCTGCCAGAACAGGCCGCGCAGAGGTGGTGCGCTTCTTCATCAGTCGCGGTGCGGACATCGAGGAAAGGTCCGGCCCCCACAATCATACACCATTAGCCAATTCCACGTATTTTAAATTCGAAAGCGTTATCAAAACATTGATTGATAGTGGGGCCGATGTCAACGTGGAAGTTAAGAGCTATGGCAGTGTTCTTCAATGTCTGGTATATTCGAAGAAGGAAGCTCTTATCGAGGCTGTTCTGAGGAGAGGAGCCAATGTCAACAAGACCGGCGGAGATTACGGGAGCGCTCTTGGCGCAGCTGCTTATAGCGGAAATCTAGCCATCGTAAGACTGCTTCTCTCGCACGGAGCCGACCCAAAAGTGTACGATAGCAAGAAGGGCAGGCCAATTCGATATGCAGCCGAGGGGCAGATCGATAGGAACAAGATATTTCCACTGTTACTTGCTCATGGCGCCGGCACTACATTGAGATTCCCGGAAGAGGCCACGGCTGCCATCAATAAAGCTGCTTTAGGTGGACACGAAGAGATCCTTGACGCGCTGCTGTCTCATGGGGCCAGGCCCACCACTGCCAATATCGACAGCAGACATCGATGCGGTGACTGAGATCAAGCTCTCTGCAACGCAGCCCTCCGTGGTCACGCGGCGATGGTCAGACGTTTGCTGGCCTGTGGTGCCAATGTCAACGGTGTTCAGAGTGGTGCCTTTTGTACCGCTCTCGGGCATGCGGTCTCCCTTCGCAGTGCAGAGGTTGTGCGAATACTTCTTGAGAATGGGGCTGGTCCCGACTCGTACTCAGGAGGTATGGGCTTTACCGCCTTGTATATAGCTGCTGGTAGTCGATCGTGCTATGAGGTCGTTGAACTTCTCTTAGGACACGGGGCGAACATCAACAAAGGAGGCTGCGACAGCACCCCGCTCCAAGCTGCTTGTGGATATGGAACCACGGCGACTGTTGAGCTCTTGATAGCAAAGGGCACTGGCATCAATGCTCGGTGGGGCAAGCATGGTAGCGCACTGCAGGCTGCCTGCCTGGGTGGTAAAGCACTGCATGTCAAAATTCTCCTTGCCCATGGAGCGGATGTAAGCTTGCTGGGTGGCGAATTCGGCACGGCTATCCAGGCAGTTAGGCATGTTTTACTCGGTGCCGATCGCGATTATACTCTTAGTCCTGAGAGCCTTGAGGCGTCGGCCGTTGAGATTCTGGATATGCTTCTTGCCCACGGTGCTAATCCCAATGACAACACCGGCGCAAGCGGCACCGCTCTACATAGAGCATGTGAGGTGGGAGCGGAGAAAGCTGTTGAAATCCTCTTGTTCCACGATACAGACAAAGGTGTCATAGGCGGAGAATTCGGTACTGCTCTTCATGCTGCGGCCTACCATGGGCATGACACGATTGTTGGGATGCTTCTTCGTAAAGGCTGCCCGGTCAACATGGAAGTGGGGGAGTACGGTACCGCGCTTCATGCTGCTGCTTCTCAGGGCTGCAACGAGGCTCTTCTTGTTCTTTTATCTCTAGGTGCCAATGTGATGGCCGACTGCGGCCAACATGGGACGGCGCTGCATGCTGCATCCGTCCACGGATTCCATCGCACCTGTGAGATCCTTCTTGCCCACGGTGCTGACCCCAACTTTAGATGTGGGGAGCTGCATGAGCGCGTAGAATGTGGAGAGCCGGGCCCAGCCATCAGTCGCCACCCGCGTAGGCGTCGACAGCTCATGCTTATCCTCAAAGGTGGAACGTACGGAACCGCGCTCCAAGCTGCCGCTTACACAGGACACATGGACATCGTGGAACTACTTTTGACTAGTGCTGCAGATGTCAATGCTCAAGCTGGGATCTATTGGACGGCCCTTCAGGCAGCTGCTTACGCTGGACACAAGGAGATTGTGCGTATCTTGCTTGACGCAGGGGCAGACCTGAACCTGGAGGGAGGGGTTTACGGAGACCCTGTGCAAGCCTCGGTGTCTATGAAGTGTTCGGAAGATGGCAAGCTGGAAGATCGCCTGTTCAAGGAAGATATACTCAGATTGCTCATTGATAAGGGTGCCGATGTAAACCGCAAAGGCGGAAAGTATGGATGTTCCCTGGCCGCTACCCGGGCATGGCACGATCCCGACCTCATTATCCCCGAACATTGGCCGAGGAACGTGCCCTATGAACGAAGACAGGACCGGTACCCAAGGGGCCATGAACAGCTAATTGAGGTTCTTCTGCGGAGCGGTGCAGCGGATATAGCGGTCGGAAGGGACAGGGCCAGCCCATCTTTATGAGTAATCACCTGATTAAGTATGCATCCATCAATTAGGTTACTAAATAATGTAATATTATTGAAGTCTAACTTTTTCGTGGATTAGGGTAACATTGGTTTTGGGGGGGGGGGGTTCTTCCTACTACTCAACTCATGGTACTCTTATGTTAATGTCGATAGTTGGGTGTTTCCCGTGAGAGGAAAGCTGTCGAGAAATGTACAAACCAAAGCGTGGATTGACAACGAATTCCGCGCCATATTGTAATTCAAACTGCCTCGTTGGGATAGGCAGAGCTCAGTCAACACATATATTTCTAATATGACAAGGGCACTGAGCTATGTAGCTTAGTATTTTGAAAATCTACCCATCGAGTCTTTTTGGCACCCCATTCATGATCTCTTATATTTTACGGGAACTACTTTTCTTGACCCTGGTGATCGAGCGCCACTTCTCTTTACGGACTAGCCAATGTATTGTATCGTAGACGGTCAGCCTCGTGTGCACGCTGCAGCGATTATACCTCTAATAATAGTCTATATAGCTGACACAACAAGGGCCAAATCTCGGTCATAGGATATCACTCGGGATTCAGAACGATCCGTAGGCGTCGTACGATGCAGTCACACTTGGTCCAGTGCATGTTACAACTCTAACAAGAACTCTTCCCACAGGTTATTTGTTCTAGAGGGGCGTCAACTGTTGCAGGGACAGAAATAGCTGTTGTGGATTTCCAATCACGACTAGAGTCTGGGACTTTCCTTCCACTTTTGAGTTTTTTTACCAAATATGTATTTTCAACAATCACTCGACCGAGCTGTGCAGTGAGGTCCGCCGTTCAAGACCAAGGTTATTTCGGATAGTCACGCTTGACCAGTAATTATGTTCCCATTCCTAAGTATACCTCTAACATCTAGCGCGCAGATCGAGATCACCCCCGACAGATTAACCCCGACAGATATGATCCTACAATTAAAGCGACCGCAATAAAGTCCCGAGTAAAAATCGAAACCGCACACCAATTACCAACACCCCGCCACAAAAATCACGTCCTACACCCGACCCCGCGCATCAGCGTATATACACAGCGAGCGAGCTGACGACCACGAAACCCACTCCCCCACCACGGCAGCCATTCACCTCACCTGCAGCACCGGGCGCGCTGTCCTCCAGCTCCTCTCCGGACTCAGCACAGCTGCCGCAACAGGGGTCCGCATCGACACCCACCCCCACCCCCACGCCGCCGACTTTGCTTTGGTGGTGTGCGGGCACGTGATGCGGCGTGCGGGCTGTTGCGGTGACGTCGGCTGCAGCATCTCCGGGGGCACAAGAGGTTCTCTACTCATGAGGCTCGCAGTAGTCATCAGCTGGGGGAGATCGGAGGGGTGTGTCAATGCCGAATAGATGGGCCTGTAGTCGGTCGCGGGCAGGTTGATGGCGGCGGATGGGGGTGCGGCTGGGGCTTGTGTCTGTGCGGCGGCTGCGTCGGCTGCGGCTGCGTTTCCGTGGCGGTGGTGGCGGCGGTGATGGGGAGCGAGACGGAGAACTGGAGGGCGAAGACGAGTTCTTGGCGACGTGCTCCCAGTCGATGGGCGGGATGTTGGAGTTTTTGAGTCGGTGCGGGGATCAATTAGCTGGTCGTAGGGGTGGCGGTTGGCGACGGGCGTGGGGATGGGGGGCAGCAGCGGGGAGGTGGGCGAGATGGTGCAGGTGAAGAAGATGTAGGGAGATCTAGACGTGGGCCGGGGCGGTGGGCCGGGTGCGGCGTGGGTGGGCATGGTGTGGCGGTGCTGTGCGGTGCGGCGGTGCGGCGGTGCGGCGGTGGGGCGGCCGGTGAGGAGAGAATAGGAGATCAGCGACCGGTTCCTCCGCCCTTGTCTCGGAAAAATTATGGATATTCCCCGAGACCGAGATTGTAGTTTGTTGCCAGGGCTGACCCCCCACATCCTTTTCGGGGCATCAGAATCACACAGACCAGTGCGAGCAGTGCGAGTCGGACCACGGGCGGGCCAGGGAACCAGTCATGGGGGTCACCAATCTCGTGAATATTCTTGTTTAGAAGCCGAGAGCTATATACGTCGCCGCATATATATATGCACATATACGCTCCATGATATGGCTCCTGGTAAGCACACTCTTGTTCATCCACACACTCAGGGCCACCATTCGTTTGCAAGCCACACACACAGCCTCGCACACACACAGCCTCGCAACCCCCCGCTTCCGCCGGTCGTGCGGAGGAAGGGGAAGATGGGTAACCTGAGGCAGAAGTAGGGGGTGGGTTGCATGGTGCAGCAGCCATGCAGGGCGCGACGTGAGTGGGGTGCTAGAGCTGCCCCCCCCCCCCCATAATAGACCGATTAAATTTGTATGGGGGATCTATTATTTGATAACGGAGATAACAAGATCTGTTATTAAAGGAACACAAAGTTTACCTCTTCTGGGAGGTACCTGCTTGGCTGCCAATAACAGCCAGTAATTAGTGCGTCACTACGGATTGGGGAAACGCCGCAGTGGGCATATTGCACCCCGCATCTAGCAAACAGACATCATAATCCAACGACGAAGGTGGCTTCCTTTGAAACATCTATGCATATCCTATGAATGGGATGTGCTATCACAGAGCTGCGATATATATAGCAAGTTCCCGATAGATTGCGCGGCCGACTCGTATTGTTGGATGGATAGGATGATCTACGAGCCGACCACTAGTACAATTTATCACGGATTGAACCCAAGGAATACCAGTAATTTCTCCTCATTTTTTTTCAATTACTAAACTAAACTTCAATCCCCAATCTCTTTCTTTAAACTACAAGCTCCATCGGGCAGCCAGGAGAGATGATTCACCAACATCAAAAGAAAAGAAAACATAACCAGTAGCTACATGTAGTCATTGGTGGAAACTCAGATTCAAGTGCCACGGAGCGGGGTTCCTAAGAACAATCTACTCTATGCATTCTGCTCAGCCACGTCAGCCGCCGCCCCAACCGCGGCCGCCTGATCCGCCGCCATCTCCTCAAGCCTCTCAGCCTCCGTCAGGGGCGAAATGTTCCATTGGAACTTTGGGGGTGGGTTATTGATATCCGGGATGGGCCATACTCCGACATTGATCTCGGCTCTCCCAGCAACCTCCTGGTTGCGATCCGGGTTATCCTCAGCAGCCAGGTAGAATGTACCGTATCTCACGTTTTGGAGCAGGAATTTGCTAAACGATTAGGGAAGGCGGGACGTTAGTAAAATAACTAATTATAAAATCTTGGTAAAGTTACATACTTTGGGATTCCTGGCATTCCAACTATCCTCCACTGCTGGCTTTCGCCGCGGATGAAAGGGTGAAGCATGGCATTGGCCCATTCAACTGGGGGTATGTCATCTGTGACTGGGGCAAGGCTCAACACCACCATGTCCGTTCTTGGTGGCCTAATGCGGTACCCCTGCGCTCCATGTGATTCAAAGTTCCAGAACGGATTGTGGTCCCGCCTAAGGACCACGTTGCCTTCTATCACGACCAAGTTAAAGCGTGAAAGTGGAGTATTTCCAAGCGTAACACTATATCGGGGAGGAGGTTCCATCTAGGAAAATTAAAAGCATCAGTTAAATGTGTTTTGAGAGATTATAAGACTCAAGGAAGGCTTATGAATTTCGCACCTTTGCAAATTGTTGAAGAGTGAAGTTGATTGTTGAGTCTGGGTGACGAGAGGTAGGAGTGAAGTTGATGTTGAGTCTGGGTGACGAGAGGTAGGAGGGCACGGGGATGGTCTACCTTATATAGCTTTTTTTCCCCTGGTTGATATTAAAAAAGGCGTGCCGGTCCCAGTTTGAGAATTACTTCCATCGATGCCCCCACCCCCTCCACCCCAGTCGCGGACCTTTCGAAACTCCAGTACATCTCAGCACATGACTGGTTTTTGTTTTTACTTTGTGCAAGAGTGCTACACTCAGATAAGAAAGAACCTACCATAAGACAATTTCCTGCTTATAATTCTCCTCATCCGTAGAAAGATATATCGCCAGCTGATAGCCTTCTGTTATTATTGTATGTCCGGGCCAAAGAAAATTGGTAGAGTCGATATTAACCACTTTCTGCATATGCACATGCGGAGCCATCTTCCAAATGGTTCGGACATACCTACCACACACTTATGCGGAGCTAGATATTAGATTTAACCAGAAATATCTACCGGATTTCTTGTTTTCCTTAGCAGGTATCTTCTCATTTGCAGTACATTAGATTAATTCTCGTCAGCTTAGTAGTTATCACTCCACTTCTGTGATTCAAGCTGGAGTTTGGCTTCCTTCACAGCTATCTAATAAGTATATAGATATACCGGGTATGCAATGCGCGATTTAAGGTATATGATTGGCCTAATTTGAGGGGTTTTATTTTTCTCTTTCAGGAAAGATCTGTTTGAGTCGGTCATGGACTCATGATCAGTAGATAGTGATATTCCAACATCTCTTAGGTCAATAAAACAATTTAGATGTGCGCACAGCGCATCTTGGGTTTTCTGTAATCTTAATATAAGCTTAAGTTGGTAAATAGATACGTACTGTTTTAGCTATATCACCAGCTCCTACTCCGGCCGAGGGCCGGGAAATACTTGTACATATTAAGATAATCCCTATTTGCCAACTAGACAGGATTGAAAAGATTAAGGCTCGTCCTATCCACTGTATCTGTTCAAGGCGCATGCTTGCCCTCTCCCGTATATATCTTACACATGATAGTCCCTTTGCCCAGATGACTTCAGCTGTACATCACGCTAAACTGATTGGCGCCGGTCCTCCTGTAGCCGGTCATACAAGGGAAACCTGGAGCCAGTCCTTTAATTCTGCGCAAAGGGCGAAATGTAATATCTCCGTTTAGTTAAGGGTTAACTCTGGGGTAGACACGTGAAGCTTGATGCCACCAATTCGCCTTGGTCTGGACTCAGCACATGCGAATACGGAAATAGTGGGGGTTGGGCAAGACGGGGGAGTTTTCCTCGGCCATGCCCAAATCAAAGAGCTTTGCATTTGGTGTAGTGAGTGCTAACTGGCAATGGGACCCGTAATTCGTACCGGCCACGCACTCTCTTTGCGCTACGGTATTGATCTGCGCGCTGTATATCAGAGTTGGCCGACTTCAGCTGAGCTTCGTCCCTCGATCCTCGTAATTGACGTCGTCCCCGGGCATGACTGATATAATAATAATAATTGATATTGCATACCATACAAAAAAGATGCATCGGATTTCTATCTTCTACGCAATAGCGCCGGTCGCCGGTGGTGTTGAAATAAGGTAATCTTGCGTACCAACTACCCCACATGTTGAGAGGGGCCAATCTGGTCGCGCTAATGCACCGATCTGCGCCCTGCATATCAGAATTGACCGACTTCAGCTGAAATTAGTCCTCGATCCTGGTGCTAAACGACGTTCCTAATTATAACACGACCGGCGCTATTACAAGCTAGATAATAAATTAAAGTAGACCTATGAGGAACATTAGACCCTTTGCGCTTTGGGGGGGGGGGGGGGGGGGATGGTCCGAAGTCTTTTTTGACAGACTTGGCATTGATTAGCGAAGGAATTATAGATCCAGCCCTGCATTTGACATGGTGTGCGACTGACCCTGGTACGTGCGCGAGTGTCTCCTCATCAGTGGTAACCAAATTACCGGGTTAATGCCAACCCTGCTGCCCTGATAGTGCGTGACATCATACTGATACCGTGACATATATTTCGTTTCGGAGATAATCCTCTGGAGCGCATGGTAATGTGTACTTTACTTGAAAATATTAAGTAAAGTCGTCGGTAAACGTGTTATTGAGTTTGAATTTTCGCTGGGTAATGTCAATATTTTGGTGGAGGGAAAGTCGTTTGAAGGGAAATCGGACGATTTTACTGACGATAAAATGTCGTTCCTTGAATAATAAAAATAACTTTACTAACGACTTTACTGATGTATTTACCAGGCACGTCTCTGTCACACATTTTGAGCCTACATATACACAGGGGGGATGAGTTTTGGCCGCCGGTGATGCTTCACATGATTGACTAAGCCATCGCCAATGAAACGAATCATCACAAGACATCTTGCTATTATACTAGGAGCATCAAGCCAGAACATGCTGCATGTATATGCCAAACAATAGATCCACTGAAATTAAATTGTATTCCCCAACTGTTACAATTACAGGCCCATTGATGCGAGATAGCATTTAGACCAGATTGCCCATCAGCGAGCGTTGCCCGCTATTTTGCCTACTGTAACGGCTCCTACCCACCAAATTTTGGGTGGACGCTCGCTGAGGGGCCGCGCTCGCTGATGGATAAGCTGGTCTAATTGATGACCCCATCGAAATGTTCAATTTGGGGACTCAACCATCTCGAGATCCAAACAAGAGGCTCCATCGGAAAGCATTGATTTTCCGGCGGGAAACGGGGGACATCGGAAACCATCAGTAAAGTCGTGTTTTATTGCCTTAAACATGCCTTTAACAATTTAACAGGTAAAGGCATTGGTAAATGTGTCGGTAAAGAGACAGGAATGCCTTTAACAGAGAGTAGGTCGGTTAATGCATCATTTAATGCCTTTAATTTTACACAACTTTTTATATGGGAAATGTCGAAAAAGGCCGCATTTCCATGCCCGCTAGAGATCTATACCTCCAGATGCGTAACTCGTGCACTTTCACGGGTTTTTAGTATGGGCTTATGTTGGTAGAAGGATACATTATCTCCTGTGTTAGGATACAATTTTACTCTCTGTAAGTAATGAATAGCTTATCTTTCGCGTTCATATACCGCAGAGTTACTTCTCTCGCTGTTAATTGTGAAACATACTTTTATATTACAGTCATGGATAATTGAAAAAAGTACAGCCACTCATCAAAAGTGTTCGCGATTTAGTTTTAATGTCAGTGCGCAGTGTGGCCCACCCGTAACGTTGATGCTATTAATTAATGTTGAGATTTAAAACAACGAAAAATATATAATATAGTTCGTGACTATATATAAAAGGAGATAGGTCATTGATCTTATTCTTCATTGATTCCAGTCGCATTCTCCCATCCTCTGCCACCACCCGCCTCCTCTTCCGCGCCGTCCGCCCCCAGCTTCCTGCGGAGGAGTTCTGCGTGGAGGGCGTCGCTGGTGGTGGGCTGGGGCGGGTAGAGGACTTTGCGGATGTTTTCGTGGGGGCTCGTTGTACTCCTCCAGGGCAGGTGAGGTTGGTGGTGGCTTGTGTATGCGGGCGGTGACTTGCGGGCGGCTTTGCCTGTACTGCGCTGCCCGGATGGCCTTGATTGGCGGCGTTGGAGGGGATTGTGTGCCCGCCCTCGCGCTCGTGGAAGAGGCCTGTCAACGTCTCTTTCAGGAAGCCGACTGCATCCTATAAACCGTGATGGCAATAATGGCCGTGTTAGCAGAGAACGGAAATAAATACAATACAATCAATTGGGCTCCAATATATATATATATACCAATGCCATATCCTTCAGCTGGCCGTCGTCCACAGCCCTCTGCATCTCGGCCCTCGACCACGTCTCGCTCGTCTTTTTGCACCGTCGCCCGGCGGCTGCCTCAAGCAGCTTCTTCACCAGATGCCTCTCGTGGATCATGCACGGGTCACGCTCGAGAGACTCTGGCCATGATGACCTCTGTCCCTGGAGGGCGGCGTTGTACGTGCGCTGCAGCATCTCCCGCGAGACGATATATATACACCTAGTACCTCCTGGCCCGGCAGCCCCTCCCTCTGCAGGCCCTCACTCACCGTCCGCTGCGTCTGCTTGAGGAACTCATTGCGACATTTGACAGACAGCGCCGGGTTCTCTGCGATGCGGGCAGAGTCGCCGTGCTCCTTCATGGCGTTGAGCCTTGAGGATGTGCATGCCCGCCTTTGACCGCACGATAAACAGCGGCACCTTGAACCGCGCGCAGTCCGCCACGGTGCGGACATCGATCTCCTCGATTAACCGGTCGCCGAGGGCCAGCACGGCCCACGATATACGGCGAAATGGAAGTTGCTGCTGCAGTACTGCGTTCTGGTCAGGGCCGACTGGAACTCTTCCCTTGTGGGCCATCGCAGCGGGCCGCCGAACCGGTCCTCGGCCTCGAGCTGCGCGGCGGCTTGGTCCTTCTTTTGCTTCTCTATCGCCTCCTGCTGCTCCTTCGCTCGTCTGTCCAGCATCCGCCCCGCCTCCTCCTCTCGAGCCCTTGTTTCTCTTCCGCAATCTTGCGCCGGGCCTCCTCCTCCTCCTCCGCCTCCTCCTCCTCCCTCTTGCGCCGCTCCTCCTCTTCCGCCCTCCGAGCCTCCTTCCGGGCCTTCACCTCCTCACCGGCCCTCCTCCGCCGCTCCGCCTCCGCTAGCTCTGCCTGCCACGCCCGCACCTCGGCCTCCTTCTCTTGCACCTTCCGCCTCTCCAGCTCTAGCAGCCGCTCCTGCCGCACCCGCTCGCGCGCGGTGGCAACACGCTGCTCGTCACGCATTAGACGCTGCCGCGCCTCGTGCAGGGTGTCGTTCTCTGTGGTGGGGCCTGTGAGGATGATTGCGACGGAAAGGAGGGAGAGGACGACGACGGCGCCGATGAGGAGGGGGATCATTGGGGGTTTGGGGGGGGTGGCTATCGCTTTGTCTACTGTTAGCACGCCTCCACTCGCAGCTTTACCGTGGGCGCTTACTAGCAGACGATGTGTCTCTCTCTCTCTCTCTCTCTCTCTCGGTGGCCCCGCTATAGTATCGGGGAAGGCTGTGTGTATAGTGTACTTTAGAGGAAGACACCCTGAAAAGTGGGAGGGAGGGAGGGAGGAAAAAACACAACTCTAGAAAAAACAAACTTGCTATTTAGTTATGACCCGGTTTTCAGGCATCCAGTCGCCTAGTGAGTAATATAATCCGCGGTGATCTGCCCCGCCGACGTACCTTTAGACATGATGGCTGCCTACGTGTCTTGCATCCTGAAACAGCGTGGTAATGATCAGTCACACATGATCCATACTAGAGCTGTATGTAGCGGGCGCATGGACTCAAGGTTGCTGGGATCACCGAGAAAGTGCCTCCCAAACCTATATGTCTATATATTACAGGGGTATTTGTTTGTGTGCCTGAGTGATGGTCCATGATCATGACGGGCGCAGGTAGTTGGGGTTACTAATATAATATCGATATCTGCTTTCAATCTCGGTTTGTTGTGGATCACCACGCATACACGGAGCACATGTTAGGGTGCTATCGGGTGCAAATGGCAGCTAATCACGTATAATAGAGAGTCTCCTTTGCCAAGTACAAAGACGAGAATCGGGTATTGAAAGGAATTAAACCAAGCTGGCACCATCAAATAGAACAGACAGTTGCCAAAAATGATAACGGTAAAAGACTACAATGCCACGGAGGATAGGGATAAATGTCTACAATGCCGCAATTGCAACAACCAGCGTGTGAAGGCAAATTCTCACATATTTTCAACTCAAAAAAATCAGAAAATCTTAATGGGCATTGATATTACTAATTATATGTCAGAGGGGCTTTCGTGAATTTTTATCAATTTATTACATAGTTTTTAGAGCAATTTTGGCGGCCTGAGCTATGTAGGTGGTCAATATATTATAATAGAGTTTCCTTCCTCCCCAACAAGACACCTCTTAACCCGCTATTTATTTATTTTTTGAAAATAACCACCAAAAATTGTGCTGCAAGCACGTTACATAGGCCTAAAAGTCTTTATCACTTAGACTTCAACCCTCACCACAATGCCAAGCCCCCCCCCTGAAATGGTCAACATCCTCTCCCACTTGAGGTTCGGAGAGCTGGATGAAGACCTGACTGGCCTAAGCAACTCCAACGTTCTCACCACCCAAGCCGCCGAGATGCTCGAAGCGGAGACCACTTCTCACACTGAACGTCTCTTTCTTACCCTTCTACTGGGCATGGTCAACCAAAACGCCATTCTGCAAAGACAGATCGAAGGACTCAAGGACGACTTCGAAGAAGTCATGACCAAACACTCCAACCTGAACACGACAATCACCAACCGCCTCGAACGAATCGAAGGCCGCCTCGTCACCCCCCCCCCCGGCTGCAACCCCCCCCCCCCCAACGTACCCGTCAGCCCGCGCCCCCCCCAAATCCAGCCCCCAAACAGGACGCTAGGAACACCCCCCAAAACCAAAACGCCCACGCCCCCGCCAAATCTTACCTACAGGCGGCCCAAGAGAACCTCCGACAGTGGGAAACTGCCCCTAAGCGAGGACGCAACAAAATACATGCCCTCCCCCAGACCCCGAAGGGCGCTGCAACCTTCCCAGCATCCCAACGCCGCTTCTTTGCCACCAGGTCATCTCCAACCCCCGTCAACGCAGCTGAGCAAGTAGCAGCAGAGCTATCCGTGGAGTTCGGCCGGCTCCTCGCCCGCAGCAAACAAGTCGCTCCCGTCACAGCCCTTACAGTCTCAATCAGTGCGAGAGGAACTATCACGGTCCTCCCCCCTCCCACCGTCCCATCCACGACCTACACCCACTGGTTTGAAGCCATGACCGCTGTTGTGAACAACAAAATAGGCACCCCAGAAAACCCTTACTCCACCTTCCGCCCGGCCCCGACAGATGTCGATATTGCCATATACAGCATCCCACTCTTTGCAGTCCCAGACAAAGAAACCCTGGACAACACCTTCCCAGAAGCCTTCAGCCTAGCCTCCGGAATTACCCCCATCGCCACACGCTTCCTGAACAAGGACGACGCCTCCCGAAATGCGAAAGCCACATCCACAGTTGTCGTCACAGTCTCCTCTACTGACGCTGCCTCAATTGGCGACTCAATCCGCCTATTCTCCAAACCTCGCCGCTACGTACCCATGTGGTCAGCCTCACCCACAACGCAATGCAAGAGATGTTGGAAATTCGGCCATGCCCTTAAGGGATGTCGAGAACTTTTCGTGAAATGCCCAATCTGCACCAAAGACCATGACCGCCGCGGTCACCGGTGCGTAATCTATACCTGCCCCGGATTCCAAACACCGACTCCCTCATGCTGCGCAGTCTCACCGGCCAAATCCGCAAACTGCGGCGGCAACCACGCCGCCGACTCCAAGTCATGCCCCACATACTTAGCCATCATCAACAGGAATAAGACCACGCCGCCCCTCCCCCCTGCGGAATCCTTCACGGCCATGGACATCAAACCCGAAAACGATGCCTCCCCCAGTAACCCCAGTACAAATACAGTCTCCACACCCACCACACCCGCCCCCCTCACAACCCAATCATAAAATATGACGGACACAATAAAAGACCCATCATTCCTCCGCATCATACAACACAATTGCGCAAACAGCAACCAAGTGCTCCTCACACTCTTTTCGATCCCAATGATCCACCAAGCCCATATAATTGCAGTTCAAGAACCTCCCCTCCATAACGGAAAGCCCCCCTCAGTACCATCCTTTACACTGCTTTGCCCCTCGCCCACCAGAGCAGAGGATTAAATTTTCTCATGCATCTACCTCAACATCAATATCCTCGACAAGAACTCCTTCGCTACCCTTCCATCACACAGAGGAGATATTGTCTCCGTCAACCTCTTCTGCAAAACCAATACAAACACCCACCTAACCGTTACGATAACCAGCCTATACAATAGACAGCTGGACAACATCACCCGGTCGCTCAGCCCTCTAAACATCTTCAGCGCGTCCGACAACCCATGCCTAATCTTAGGAGACTTCAACATCCACTCCCCCTCCGCCGACCCCCTCCGCTCCCTCTCCCAACGAAAACTCCGCCTGTAACGGCAGCTATGTACTTTGGTTAGGTGATAAACTGGAACGAGGGAAGGAGGTATTGTGCAGTGGAATTAGGATTTGTAATGGGGATTTCCGTTATGTTCTTTTGGTTTCTGTTACGCGAAGGTATTAGTCATCGTTGGGTTATGGATGGATATATAAGGGGGTGTTGTCTCGTGCTTTTGTCTGTTTTCCTTCCTCTCTTCTTCTTTACGCAACCTCTGCATTCTACTCGCTCGCCTCTGGTTCGCGATAGGATTTCTTTCCCCCGAGACGGAGTTATACTGATTCTCGAATTGCTTCGGTCCCTGAACTTCCTTCGCTCGACACCCCCAATTCTTTGGTCGTTCGGTGCCCTCATGGGATGCGTCCACCGTTCACCCCTCGCCAAAATAACGGCTACTCTCGAAAGCCGTCTTCGCCCCTCCTTATTTTCACTCACCGCACGAGTGATCCCACACGTCGGGTACGCACACTGTCAGTAATCTCTAGTCAGCGAGAACCTACTGCCAAAGCGCTCGACAGCCCGCGAAGTTAGCGACCTTTCGGTCGCGAAATTATCGTCAAATTTTTACCCGAGGTCCCGTGACCTTACCCCTCTTTATCGGCCCTAACCAGGCCACCCATTTTTAACCGAGGCGGCCCGCTCCCCTCACCCCAACCGAACCGGTCTCCGAGACCACTCCTCAACACAATACGGTCGGCACTTTCGATTGCGACCCCCATACATACTGAGCCTTCGGCTCACCCCTTCTTGCATGTCCCCTCCAGAGGACACTACCTCAACTACGACTCGGGCACAGTCTTTAGCCGTTGCTCCAGGGACCGACGACCCCACCCATTCTTACTTGACCTACCGGTCACCATTCCTCAATTCCTCGCTGCCTGACAACCAGATGCCCGAGGACCCACTCTTACACCACCCCCCTCGCTTCTACCCTGAAGCTGTTGCGGTTGGCTTCTCCTGCCTTCGTGCGCGTGGTTTCCCAGTCCTGTTAAGGTTCGTCCACAGATATGACATCGGGAACGTTGGTAATAATATCGTTTCGATTGAACACTACGTTTAGGATTGTGCTCGCTTATGTAGTTGACGGAGAAGTTTGGGGTTCATTCTTACTACGGGGAGGTTTCTTTATTGTCGCTTAGATTCTGCTTACCTGTACCACTTGTTATTTGCGCCTTCTTCGTGCGTCGTTTACTTTTACTCATGTACGTAGTTCTCGTAGCTGCGGTAGTTAGTTTTTGTACTTTGTTTTTGCTTTCGGGTTAGTCGGTGGAGGTTGTAGTCGGGTAGTTAGGTGTGCGATAAGCTTCGGCTTCTAAGCAATATAAGTTTCTTCTTCTTCTTCTTCTGTATTCTATTCCACGAATATTACTTTTGTTCTACGCTACGTCATTGGGCTCATTTTGGATCTCCGATCAGGATTGAACCATCCCATAGTCTACAGTTACGAACATCTTCTACTACGTTCTCGCCTCGGTTGTATTCCTTGGCACTATAGTCTCTCGTCTATAGACCCACGTTATACCGCCTCTCACAACCCTACTTCGACACAGCAACCCGCTTCGGGTTCCTACTCTTAAACACCCCAGGCATCCACACCAGACTATCCCCTGACCCCAATAAAAGATACAGCGTGATAGACCTCGCTTTCGCCAACCCCCAGGCCAACGCTCTAGTCCGAAAATGGACCCCCCTATCAAACACGTCAGGGTCCGACCACCGAATCATCGCCATCTCAATGTCACTCCCATCAGCAGACTTCACCCCATACCAAACCCCCAATTGGAAGCGAACAGACTGGCCCCCCCTCATCGAAGAACTGAAACAAGCCGCGATCCCCCCATGCTCCATGCCTGCCATGGTAGACGACTGGTTTGAAGAATCTCTCACCGCTGTCACAGATCTCATAAAAACATACACACCAATGAAAACGATCTCCAAGTGTTCAAAACCTTGGTGGACAGGCAACCTCACCCAACTCTGAACCATCTTCCAGACAGTACACAGAGCATACAGGAAAGGGAGAGCACGCCCCTTCAAAATGAAAGCCGCCAAAAATGCCTACTTCAATGCGATAAAACAAGCAAAGCAAGAGCATTGGAACTCATTCGTTTCCAATGCCAGGTCTCAGGACCTCTGGAGACTGAAGAAAATTGCATCAAAGATGGAAGACCGTGTCCCCTCACTCCCAAACTCACCCACACCTACCCTCCTCAATAAGAACCTGATCAAGGTTTTCTTCCCACCCAGAACAGAAACGCCATCACCACCCCCCATCAACTACCAAGACGTGACACCCATAACCCCTGAGGAAGTCCAAAACGTCCTAAAAACCACCTCCAATCTCTCAGCACCAGGTCTGGACACAGTCCCATACACCATCTGGAAAAGAATCCATAAGGCAAATCTCCTCATCATAACCTCCCTCCTCAACCCACTCCTCGCACACGGATACCACCCCCTCTCCCTCAAAAGAGCCAATGGTGTCATACTTGCAAAACCAGGAAAGACCGACTACTCCACCCCCGCGGCATACAGAATCATCGTCCTTCTACAAACTTTCTCCAAAATTTTGGAAAAGATCGTCACACTCCGCCTTGCAAAGATTGCAACAGCCACAGGCCTTATCCACCCCCACCAATGCGGTTCCATCGCCGGCCTCTCCACAGCCGACGCCGTTACTACGCTAATACATGAGACCAAAGCAATGCAGCTAGCCAAGCTAAAAGTCTCCACCCTCTTCCTCGACATCAAAGGGGGTTTCGACCATGCCCTCAAACAAACCCTCGCCCCCTCCTCGCCGCCAGATCAGTCCCCACGTACTTAATTAACTGGACACTATCCTTCCTCTCCGACAGGCACATCACTCTCCTGTTTAAAGGCTCCCTAAAGATCCCCACACCAGTTCAAGTAGGGGTCCCTCAAGGTTCCCCCATCTCCCCCCTCCTTTTTGTCACATACATCAACTTCCTCCACAACTACGACCCGTCCCCCGGACTCACCCTCTCATATGTGGACGACTTCGCCATTACAGTCGGCTCAACATCATACCAGCAAAATATCACCATCCTCCAGAACCACTACCAGAAGCTTACAGCCCTGGCCTCGCCTCAAAATGTCTCCTTCTCAGTAGCAAAAACAGAACTGATGCACTGGCGAACCCCAAGAGACAAATCCACGATCTGCCACACCCCAATCCTCCTGGACGGACAGGAATTCCAACCCGGGCATCAAGTCAGATGGGTGGGCTTCTGGCTCTCCCCCTCCTTTAACCCCGAAACCCACTTCCTAAGGAGACTAGCCTCAGCAAGGTCAGCCTTCAGCCTTATCCAACACTTCTCATCTGCAGGCAAAGGCCTCTCCTCCCGCAACTGCAAAAAGGCCGCCACCCTAGCAATCAGACCCATGCTTACCTATCGCGTAAACGTCCTTACCCCAACCTTCGCCCTCAAACCAATGACGACCTTCTGGAACTCCGTACTCCGGTGGGTCACAGGGTGCTTCAGGGCCACCAACCGTAAGGTACTATGGGCAGAAGCTAACACACCCCCCTTGCACCTCTACCTACACTACCTTAAATGCAAATACGCCATCCGAATCCTACAAGCATCCCCCCTCGGCAACCCCGTAACCGGCAGGACAAGCCCCTCCTTCCCAACGATCTCCAACCACAGAACATACTCACATACTCAACTCCTCAAAGGACTCCCCAACCCCCCCAAGAAATGGAACTCAACTGCACTCAAAGGCGTCACTCACCTGCCCATCGAATTCCTCGGATCCCTCCTCCTCCTCTTGATAAGAGAAGACATTGCCCCGGGACGAATGAACCGCCATGCAAAAACCCAACTACTTATCAACTGGCAACTATTCTATGCGCCTCCAGACTACTACGCCCACCCCCTCTCCACCATCCCACTCCCCTTCAACAACCTCCACAAGTTCGTTGCAACCCGGATCCATCAGTTCAGGGCAGGGAAGAGCTACCTCCGAGCCCAGAAGACTTGGATGACCACCCACACCCCCTTTACATGCAAACGATGCAATGCAGCGGAAGAAACACCATAACACGTTATCCTCCAATGCCCCAAACTCGCCCCAAATAGGCACGGCCCGTTTCAAACTGTCAAATCGCTGAACGACATCTGGAATAACCAAACCCTCACCACAGCATTAGGCACCTTCATAGTCTCTACGAGAATGGGATACCCTAGAAGCACCCCCCCATCACCCCTCGCTACAGGCTCTACATCTATATCGACCCTCACATCGATATCCACGCTATCCTCACCCCTCACACCAACGGGACCAATACCCGCGATCTACGCTTCCTAGAAAAGACCTACATTAGGCACAAGGGCTCAGCCCAAAATATTTCCTTTGTTTTGCGTTTACTTTCTTATGTATATTTCTTTTGCGTTTGAAAAAAACTTTTGGTTATCAGGGGACGGGTTTGGAATAGTTCGAGGAAAGGTTTCTTTACGCCATAGTTTATACTGCATGCGACCATTCTGTACCTAGAAACTAGAAATGAAATGACTTCACACACACACACACACACCTTCCTCCCCAACAACTTACCCTCAAAAGTCAACTAAAATACCATCGAAAAATTCGGAAAAAATATAAAGATAATTAGAAGCCGATATATTTTTCAAATTTCATTCACAAATGAAAATTTGAAGTCCTGACAGCAGCTAAAGTATTGAACGAGGTATTACCAATTTGTCGTTGTGGCGTTGTAGATATTGACGTTGATCACTGTACTCTATGGGGCGGTAAATGTATCAAAAGTAATTTTACCAACGGTAGTAAATTATTTTACCACCGGTGGTGAAAATAATACCCTATAATGCTAATTTTTTATGATAAAAGCATAAACCTTTTGGCCAAAAGTGGCCATATAATGCCAATATATATGAAAATTGTCCACCGATGGGGAATCTCACCATCGGTGGCGGTATTTCACCACCGGTGGGAAATTTTCATAAGTTTTGGCATTAATGATTGAACACTTACTTATTTAGTATAGCGCAGCATAAAGACCGAAACTCAGTGTTTATACCGGTGGAAATGTACTAATGTAGGATAGCGTGCAGATACAATGACTGAAATTCAGTGCTTATACCACCGGTGGTAAATAATTTACTACCGTTGGTAAAATTACTTTTGACACATTTACCGCTCCATAGTCCTCAGTGGCATTGTAGTCTTTTTAACCGAAATAATAAAGACGGACGACACCAAATATAAGCTAAATACCAAACAAAAAAAATATCACAAATATGAAGGATCGGACGAGGGGATAGCAATATTGGGATGAAAATCAGGTTGCCTGGTTTGTCAGATAGTTTGAAACTGCGGCATAAGTATTTTGCACAGAGACCTGTTGATATGAGTTAGAGAACTGGTTAAAGAAAGAACAAGATCAAAAAGGGGAAACAGACTCGGGCAAGCCAGACCGCACTCAAAACCTTACGAAATTCAGAAAGGTCGTCAATATGAAGGGGCATTTTGCACTTTTCCCCCGGCCTAGCAAAGAAAAGGTTGTCGCCGACGCAGCGCATAACAAGAACCATTGAATCAGGGCCTAGATAGATAGAATGAGTACATAATGTATTTGATATCGAGTTTGCGAGATCCTTTAATTTACCGGCTTGTAGAACCCCCACAGCGGCCAATTGCTTCAACGTGGCAGGATCATGATTAACCACATTCTTGAGATCGTTTAGGATTGACCGACAGGCGGCGTAAAGCCTTGATTCACCGCTCTTCCACTGGGATGAGGCGTCACCGGGGTGTTGCTGGGTGACCTCGATAACGCCAAACTCAAGGATGCGCGGGGTGCTATATAGATCCCGCGTCCGAATTATGCCCTCAAATCGGTTCCGAGTAGTAATAACAGGCTGCGACTCATTTTCCAACGCATTAAGCTTAAAATCATACCTGTACGTGGGTGTCAGCGGAAAGGTAGAACACTATACTTTACTAAAGAAAACAACGTCAAGGAAAACCAAACCTTTGTATCATGATTTCAGGTAGATTGATGAAAAGTCTATCAAGTATGTTGAAATAAATACCTGCCCACACACCCACGCGCAGTGGTTGATGGAGTAAGTCGTGGGACTCTGTGAGAAGAGAAACCCTGCGCTTCAACTCAGCGAGAGCGGGGAAATACAGGCCAGTTGAATCATCTCACATCTGATCGTAACAACGGTCAACCCAGGTTTTCATGAATTCAGAATGTGTAGGCTGTTCTTGTGAAGAGGGAGAAATCTCCGACGTGCAACTCAACGTCATGCAGGAGAGGACGTCAGTAACCTAGGCCGGGTGTCAGCTAGGCAAACATTAGGATGCATAGGGCTATCAGACAAACCTGGTCGAATAACTTCATGTACGACAACAGGAAGTCGGGCACTGATGGTTCCTCCAGTCCGTACCCGCCGCCGCCGCCGCCGCTCGCAGATTCCAGATGACCATTTACAAGGTCCCAGAAACCGTTGGCTGCAAGGATGCTCATCAACTCCTTGTCTGACTCATCGATGATACCCCACTGCGCTGGATCGAGGTATTGAATACTCTTCGCATAATTCTGAACAACGGTCTCAAGAAACATCCCGTCGCGTAGGGGTAGCATCGTCAACGGGTGCAATGTGGATATATAGGTAGGTTGGCCCGTTTGGCAGAGGAACGCCAGTGCGGCAACTGCAATCCTCGCCAACTGTATTTTGGGCGAGGGAAATCACAGCCTGTTCTCAACAACCCCTACTACTGACTAATAAAATTTCACTACCCTCGTTCCCCACCAAGCGAGTTCATCACCTCCCAAGTGTGAGGTCCACTAAAGCTCCAGCCAATAAGGTACTCGCCATCATCCTTTATCCAGAATATCTAGCTAACCTTTATCTAGGCTTTGGCTACGGCATCTCCTACTCTCAACGGAAACGAAGCGAAGCGAAACACCGCTGCTGATCCTACCTTCTCCTGCAGCTGTGCTGCCCGCTGCTGCTCTGCCTGTTACAGCTGTCCTGTCTGCTACAACTTCTTCACTCGCTACTACTCTGTCCGCTGCAGTGGTCCTGTCAGTTACTGCTGCTCCGCCCGCTGCCGTTTCTCCGCCTGCTACTATCATGTCAGGACCATTGGAGAAATTGGGGGGAGATGATCCGAGCGAGGTTGATGACCCGGATGATTTGGCATTCTTGGTCGGAGGAGCGTATAGTATGGCAGTTTTGATGCCATTGATAAAAACACCTTTCCATACATAAAAACTGTCTGGCGAGGAATGGACCCGGGAGCTTTTGAGTTCTAGTAATCCTCGATTTATAAGACCGGAACTAAGGATGGAGAGATCGGTGTTTGAAGCTCTCTGTAGAATATTAGAAGAGAGTGGTCATTTGAGAAAAAGCCGGTATGTGTTTAATTCACTTCTTGCTTTCACTTCGTTAACAATTGATAGATATGTTTCAGTACAGCAGCAGGTTCATGTATTTATCTACATAGTATCGTCACCTGCGGCCAATAGAAATGCTCAAAGTCGCTTCCAACACTCTGGTAAAACCATCTCTCGTTACTTTCAGTCTACTTTGCGGGGGCTGGAGGCAATCGGTTCTAAGTACATCAAGCTGCCGGGAGCAGACACTCTTACACCAACTGAGATCACGCTGAATACAAAATTATATCCCTACTTCAAGGACTGCATTGGCGCTATTGACGGCTCATTGGTTCCTGCTCGTGTTGCTGCGGGAAAGAACTCTTTTGCATATAGATGCCGTAAATAGTTTACAGCTAAAAACATTCTTGCTGTTTGCTCATTTGACTTGACATTTCGGTATGTTTTAGCGGGCTGGGAAGGGGCAGCAAACGATAGTGGAGTATTGGACGATGCTCTATCAAAAGGTTTTTCTATCCAGTTTCCTAATTGTTACTATCTTACTGATTCAGGTGAAGGTTTTACTATACAGTCTCCGAACCGTTACTGCCTTGCTGATGCAGGTTACGGTTTAACACCAAACTTCTTGACACCCTACCGTAGAATGCGATATCACCTAAAAGAGTTTTCGTTAGGTGACCAAAAACCCCAGATGCTTGGATCGCTGGCTGGTTATACAACCTCCTACCTTGTGCTTCTTAAAGCAAAGCTTACGCATCTGTAGAAACGCGTTAGACGAAATCTCGTCATACAATCGCTATTACTATTCTATGTGTACCTGAACTTTTAGTACCTTACTTCCTCAGCTTAGAGCTGCTGTTAGGCTTTCGCACGATCACCGGCAGGTTACAACTTGCTGGTAGATCCTCGGCTGCCTCCAAGAGTTTACCCAGCTCCTAAATCTTCTATTTACCCAAACCTGATCTGCGAGGGAGGAGAAGAATCCGAATGCAACCAGGCGGAGATAACATACCTCCAAAACAGATCCGCGTGCGCTTTATTACCACATCAAACGCGTCACTATTCGTTAAGTTGTAAAAGTACTACAAGTTGAAGCTTCATAGCCTGAAGGTTTTTTTTCAGTGAGTTTCGCTGACCAATCGATCACCACGCCAAGCTCCACGCGGTGCGGGTGGTTCACAAATATATTGGCATAGATTCGCCTCTACGCTGCATGACCTTACCGGCCTCATCGACCCCACCTCAAACACACCTCATCCACCTCATCCTCCTCATCCTCCTCATCCACCTCATCCACCTCACCACAAACCCCACCCCCGAAATCTTCACGTAGTCCATCGCACCTCGATTCCCAATCCCACACGATACCCCTATACACTGGCCTCGCACACCCCCACTCCTTCATCTCTTGCACCATCTCCGAGCCTGGCATCCCCACAACCCGCTTTTCCCACTGCACCAAGGTTAGCCCGCCCTTCCCCGAAAACGATATACGGCCTAATAGCTATTCCCTGTTTATCTGTGGCACTCCACCGCGCCCAGACCCCACTCTCTTAGAATCGGGTAAGGGAGAGAGCTTGATCATGGGTTATCACTCGCCAGGCTTTTTCAGGTGACTAGGCACTGCACGACTACCGCCAATATGCCGATGACTTGCTTTAACAGAGATCCCCATTGATCCTAACCATAACAATTGTTAGCTTGGCACAACTCATGACCAACGCCACGATATTGCGCTCAACCACGACCTCAACCATGACGACCACACAATCCCGACCCCCCCACGCCCCCCCGACATGGTCGATAATCACCTGGATTACCGCCACTATGTGCATTTCGGACTTGGTATTCTCTAGCATGTTTATACGATAGGGCTCAAAGAGAGGTCGCCCTCCTCCCACATTCGTTTATCCGGCGAGGAAGAATTAGCCGGGTCACAAATTATCACTCGACAAGCCTACACCTTAAAAAGATATACATTTCTTTTTTGTGTAATTGATTAAAGACATAAAAAGATACACATAGAATATGCGACCGCTCTCAAAAGGCATGAATATTACCTTGATCGGCCAAATGATCACTGGTGTGGGGAAGGGACAAATAATATCTAGCTCGAATGTTCTTGACCGAGTATGTCCACCACGAATTAGGCATGACTTTTGATGGAAAAATGGATCTTTACAGTTTCGGAGTTTTGGGTCATAGTCCTGTACTTCTAGGCACCTAGTGGGCAATAACTAGAACCTTTTTGACTAGTCAGGCGAGGTACGGTGTGACGCAAGTCTAGTTCAGAGTCTTCGACGTACATGCGGAGTAAATGGGTCCGGAGATGTTAGTAGAATGGGATCAAGCTTTAGATATCGGCATCGCAAAGAACTAAATGGAAGAGTTGATGTCGGGTTATCATCGCGAGGATATGGATTCGGATGGAAAAGCTTTTATCAATACACGAAGTACTCAATACAGAAGAGTTGAGAAAGAAAAAGCAATGCACAAAACACGTCACTGGGGTGGACGGTATCTGAAACTACCTCAGCCTGAGCACGACAGATGTAAAATGAAAAGGAAAAAGTAAAGAGAAAAGAAACGAGTAAGAGGAAAAGTACAAACAAGGCAAGTCACTAGAAGACTAGCCAGAGGCGGTCGCCTAGCCCAGATATTTAACTTCCTCCCACTGAGGGGAATCATTCACCTCGCTCAACCTCCCAGTGACAAGGAACTGGCGTCGGAACAGAAGGGGGCAGATTCGGAACACGATCCTGTGCGGGAAGAATACGCCGAACAGAAGCCGAAGGAGGCCCGATAAAAGTGAGCTGGGTAAAGTGTGAACGAGAACAAAAAACAAACAACGTTAGAAATGGGAAAGGAAAGATGACATGAAGAGAGAAAGAGAAACACATATCCCTCGCAATAATCGAAACCACACAATCAATGAAGTAACAAATAAACAAGAATTATAACTAACACTAATGGCCGGGATGGTGTTAACATTATCGAGTGAGCGGTGGAGCCGGCCGAGAGGAATCGAAGCTAACACGTATCGATGGGGGAGCTGGTCCATGGGAATCGAAGCTAACACCACTAGCAGCAGGCACGATCCTCTCGGTAGAATCAAATTCCCTATATCTACCAGCATGCGCAGGAAAGACCTGCTTCGTAGAACCAAAGTCCATATATCCACGAACACGGTCGTTGAGGACAATTGGCGTCCCCCCTCCTGCTCGCCCCTCGACAGTTCCGCCTGTGCCGTAATGCGACACAATGATAGGCGCACCGTCCTTAACCCCGCTGTAGGGATGCAGGTTGTAGGGGATGCCAGAGACAATAATCGGTGTGCCGATTTCCCGGGTTGTGGTTGGAGAAATCATTGTAGGGGGTTTTCGAAGAGAAGCGTATGAGGATGTATCAAGTGAGTACAAGAGAGGTGGATATTTCTTATAAAGGTGTAGGAATCCGGTGACGTGCAGGTTTGTGCTGCTAGACGACTTCCCTAGCAACCCTCACACGAATGGTCAACGCAGACTGGTTTCTGTGCCAACTTTTCAAGTGAGCGCATGAGATTACGAGTAGATGACGTGCAAAAGAGAAAGAATCTTCACTGTAACCATCTGTAACCGGCTTCTTCGTCAATCATCAGCTGTTCGAGCGAGGGGAGATACGAGGTATATGGCTTGGCTGACGATAGCGGTGGATGCCTAAACTTGGCAATACTCGCGCTGGGGACTGCTCACATAGGTACAAGCTTTTATCTGGATACCGGATCACTCGCCACAGCCTCTTGAGCGCCTTCAAAGAGGGTGTGTATGTGCATCACCGGAATCGGATCACTCGAACAGATGATAAATGGTGAAATAGCCCAATTGAGGAGGTATCATGGAGAGTACAGAAACCGGTTACATGCGGTGTAGATCTTTTAGTTTCTCTTTTACTATTAATATATTGCCTGGAAAGATGAAGCCGGTTTAATTTGAAGATATCCACCCATAGCTTCGCCCCTTCTTCTCTCATCCTCCACCAACCCATCCAACCAGACCCCAATCAATTCTAGCATCCCACTCCTACACACTACCTATCAGAGTCTACAGGGACGACACCTCCGTCATGGCCCTCTACTACGTCTATGTCCGCCTCAACCTGGCCTCAACGGGCGACAAGAACCTCTGCCACTATCGCTACATCCTGACATGCGCCTCACGCTACCAGGCCGACGAGTACTTCCGCGCTTTCGAGGAGCGCATGCGGCTCAAGCGGATCTCAGCCCAGTTCTGGGAGTATGAAATCGAAGAGAGCCTGTGGAATACCATCACGAAAGCATCCAATGTCGACAGCTCCATTTACAAAGGTATCATGCTCTCGAATCTCCCGGACATGGGGGAACGCAATGGATTTGTGCAGGTCCCGGCGGAGGCCGGCCGCGACTGGATCAGTGGCCGTGCCTACTTCATACGCAATGTGCGGCAGCCGGATATCTACTGGTATCATCCTGCGGGAGGAGAGGACCAGATCTTGGCGTCGAGGTGGCAGAAGACAAAGTTCTTTGTGAGGCTTGCGGAGGCGGATGAGAATCAGACGGGGACGGTGCTGATTAGGAGTGATCGGATACGGATTTCGACGGTGTCGCCGCAGGCGAAGGGGAAGGTGGTGAGGATGGGGGAGGGTAATAGGATGGTCATGGTTAAGCCGTCGGCAGCATCGGTGGCGGTGGCGGGGAGTGATAAGGACTTTAGGTTTAAGGACTTATTGGGGAGCTTTGGAACGGAGTGGGAGTGTAAGAACGGGGAGCCGTATGAGTATGTGACGTGGGGGGATCCGTCAGTGATGCACTTGGATGATTGGGAGCTCTGTTGATAGAGGGTCTTATGGGGCGGCTGTTTCTCTTTGTTACGAGTGTAAATTCGATTTTTTCAATCTGAATTCACACAAGATATTCATATAGTCAGTATTGAAATGTCACTGATCAGCTTAAGCGAACGAAGAAGTGAATGGTCGCCCAGCGGCAAGCCGAAACTTCGCAATCTGACTACGAGCATGTCTAGATTACAAGCCTAGGCGGAAGTCTATTCCTTTCGATAGTGAACATCTGCATATCTAGTAATTCAACCAAAGGAGAAAACTGATGCGTGAATCAGTGTAGGTAGTTTTTCATTTTCTTCAGGGTCACCGTTACCTTCCTTTCAGTGGTTGTGGTTTCCCGGGTTAACGTCTGGACTGTCTTGAAAACAGCTGTAGGACTTCTGATCAGTACACCCAAAGTGGGATCACAGGTTATCTGGGCCAACAGATATTACTGATTGAACTGGGTTTCGGTGCTTTCGCTGGGAGCATTGACCGGGTCAGGTAGTGTGTGCGGTTTCGCGCGGTTGCGCGCGCAATCGATCACGAATCAGTAGAAATCGGGTACCAAAATTGCTATAAATAATATCAAGTAAATGAATTTAATTCTCTAGTTCAGGTTAAAGTAGTTCTCTAGTGATACTAGGAATACACCTATCTATCCCAGCCATCTCAAACATCATACTGTCCTTCCTTTTGACAAGTTCCTTAAGGGTTGTTAATAGACCCTTTGCGTTGAGGGATCCGGCTCCATTTTAGAACCACTGGGCACTTATAGTTGATGACTCAGCACATCCGGGTGTAGATTTAGAGCTCGCCTGTGAACCTGACATGCGTATTAGATCCCTCGTTGAATAAACCTCATATCTCGCTCAATACTAGTCCGATTGCAATAGTTTTTGGTTCTATGGATTCCCAGAACACGGCCCTACATGGCGTGCCTAGAGGTGCGTCAGTGGAGGGCACTATATGGACTTTATGGGTAGCATTACGGAACTGAAAGTCTTTGCAACTGTGGTTAGAAATAACAATACCTGTTGGAGGGGACAAGGAAGATCAGGGGGACACATAAACCTGGACAGTCTTGAAGGAGATGCCTGGAAGACTTATTTTCAGTACGTAAGTACTCGGACTATAAAATTCAACACATTAGTCTCACTGGTATAACAATTTCACATGCGATGAAGTCTGTAGACAGGAACGTTGTATGCGGATTCCTGACGAAATACATTGCAATAATGAAATAGATGAGGATCAAATTACAGCACTCTGTTTGCTGCTCGAGCATCTAGTATAACCAAACCATCTAGCTGATCTACAACTAAAATTTGAATGGAAACTGGAACTCGTTTCTAGGACAGTCAATACACTACTGTTCTACTTTCATCATACATGGAGTCGCTTCTTAGGCTTTGATCATGAGAGACTTGGACCACAAAAGCTACAAGACTTTATAGTTGTGCTACCAGAGAGTGTTTCATCTTTGGACACCTGTTTTAAGATTTTGATGGAACTTTAAAAGAGATTGCATGTCCGATATACGGATAAGAGAGTGTGTACAACAGGTGGAATTGGATGCATTATTGAAATACCAACCTATGGTAAGTCTAGATTGTATAATCATCCATCTTCATAGACTTGTGGAAGGTACCAAGCACGATGCTGCTGTATACGCAGAAACTAGGTTATTGCAGATCTTTGAAGAATATGCACACAGTTCTGATGGTATCAGTCTTTAAACATATTATGATCTGACATATGGAATTGATGAACATTTTATTTCTCCATACAATAGTGCTACTATTGCAGATAAAGAAAGACGGTGGAACTGGTATATGTCTAAAGTCAGAATTGTTATTGAGTTGGCGTTCAAGAAAGTTCTGTAGCTATTTATACTCTTTGATTTTTCACATACCTAACGAGCTATTTTATCATCCATTAGTATTCAATATCTTATAGTAGTTCTGATGTACAATGCGCATGTCTCTTTACACAATCCCGAAATAACACAATGTTTTTAAAGAGGTGAAAATCCACCTAGTCTTGCTGTACCACGTACTCTTGTAGAATATCTTCATTGTATTGGGAAGGAGAAGGATTGAGCCTTACTTGTATAGTTAACAATAATAAGCTAAAGATGGCCAGTTGTTAGTGGTGGTGAATGTAGTGGAGGAGTAGGCGGTGGTAGCTGATGTAGAACTGTAACCGAGTTGGCAAATGTGTTGTGGCCAACGATGTTCCTCATCGAGTGTTATAGAAGTACACCTATTGTATTGAAGAGAATGTCTATCTTTGTAGCTATCTCTTTCTGTTAATCGCATACCTCTTTCTCTCCTTCTGCTCTTTCTAAGATTTTAGTTTTCTGTTGTTTATTGCTTCCTTCATTATCCTTTACCACATTCTTAAAAGTCTCTGTTTCCTCTTACACTCCAATAAGAACACTTTCAACCTCTCGTTTGAACAGATTTTTTAGAGTGCGGGCTTTCTTTTTAGCTGGAGTTGTTTCTTATGATTGAGTACAAGCTTTATCATTTGAAGCGAATTCATCGCCTTCAATTTCCATCAAATCTCTTTTCAGTACCTGGAACGGCTTAGATACTTCTGTAACCTGCTTGCCTGTACCATTCCTAATGAGCAGCTTCCCCTCTGTATGATTTTTAACCCTCGGATTGGTAAGGATTGAGTTAAATAGTAAAGCAATTTCTGTCATGTCACAAACATAGTCACCAACCTGTTCCACTCCTGACTCTTTGCTTATACCGTGTTTCCTCTTTCTGAAGAGTTAAAAATAATCAGCGTTATAATATTCAAGTCTCAAACACATACAATACTAAGCTTGACTACATGCCTCCCCTGATTACGCACCAGTAACCGCACGCCTCCCACAGAAATTATATGAGTAGGCAAACTTTACACACAAATGAGTAGGGGCTAGCATGGCTAATCCCGAGTCTCCATACAAATGAGCTTAGGCGCTCTTCACACCTCGTCACCAACTCTGCACTCTCTTCCTTCTGATAGGGCAAGGTTGGATATGATTTTGAGGTTCCCCGAGAACCGTCGCCCCACAATTCCCAGCTCCATACCTATGGGTTGAATAGGACGACCTGAATCCGTTCCCGTCTTCAAGTATATGCATACAGGGGGTCATGGTGGTGATTTCAGTGGCGGAGCTGGTGGTTGGGGGTTGTTGAGTAGGGTAACTAACTGAGAGTCTTGGAAACCTGTCCCGATTCACTCCTGGCACCACCACTCAGCGACCGTGTACAACGAATGATGACTGCATGGTACAGAACCCACCTTCTCAAGCCCACAATCATGACAACGCTTGAAATTCAATGATGCCGCGTTTCCATATCCTCTGCTTCGATGGAATACATATATTTCGGATTCTGAACTCCGGGTTATCGCATTGGGCGAATCCCACTATTTGTCTCCGCTGTGTCTTCTTACGCTCTCGGATTCTGTACTCCAGGTCACCGCTTTACTAAGTTTCAACGCTCGTAACCCTAACTACCCACATTCAGGTTCCAACCACCACCAAATACACATTGATCTGTTACATTTTTACCGAAGATTGTATTTTGTACACGTAACCAAACCAACTTTCAACGCTCGTAACCCTAACTACCCACATCTAGGTTTCAACCACCAGCAAATACATATTGATCTGTTACATTTTGACCAAAAATTGAATTTTGTACCAATAGAATAACAACGACCTCAAGAAAAACAGATACAAAAGTGTCACTTCAGTATTCTGTCCTACATTCTAATTCCGATACGTAACTATGAATGTTGCAATTACCACTCTTCAGGCTGTATCGTATTATCGTTCTAGACACTACTGAGCAATATTGAATTGCTGGATAGATATGCATGTCTACTAGGACAGCATGTAAAGCGAACACTAATGGTGAAATTGGTTACTACTGTTTGTGATAGCTTGAGAGGTCTAAATATCAATCGAAACAGAAAGTGCATCAGAGTTTGCAATTGAGATTTGTTGGTATGGTTTGCTAAGATTCGATTTGTATGCACACTTATTGTAACAGAATGTAAATCAGGAATAGTAAATAAGATTTCTGAGGATTTTTGGCAATCGCTTGATACGTATGCATATAAATCAGAATGGCAAGTAAAGTGTATACCGATAAGAAAAGCTTTCTGTATGATGTTCCAATACTAAATAGTAGTCGATACCTGTTAGAAAAATATTCGAATCAGTAATTAGCAGTGAAATTGGTTGATATCATTAATAATTGGTTCATACTTATACGTTCTTATCAGAACAGCAAATTTAACAGTTGTTGACAAACAAAACCTTTTGTATTATTTACAATCCTTTGATGGGTATGTATCAGGACAGCGAGTGTATCAGAAATTCAAATTCTCATTTGTTACAATCGTTCATGAAGGTTTGAAAGCTATGAATATTTATTGGCACTGTAAAATACTGAAATTGATACTCAATGTATTTGATGGCTTGATTGGTATACCATGTTCTGGATCAATATTGAATAGATTGAATACTGCACTACGGTTTGCAAAATATCTTCTCCCAAAACACGAGGTTGCGGCTTTCCAATCCATTCTGAAATATATACAATCTATGATCATATTCTGAACTTGAGAGTGAACAATATTCAGCACTTATCTCTAAAACTCATTGTTTCAATTGATGACAGTCTTCATAACGTGTATCCTGATATTGTGTATTTTTGTAAACGGGTAGGAATTTGACGATGTCCGCAAGATAACATCTGTTCCACCTCACCTACCTATTAACAGTATGCGCCCAAATTCCCCCAAGCCTTTAGAATTAGGATTATGAATGCTTTTGATTGAGAATGTCATATTTGAGCTGACTGGCGGTCAGTATAGCACTCAATTGCTTGAGTGTAATCAGTGTAACCCAATTCAGATCCTAAAACCTTATCCGATTTCATGGATCGATTGAATAATATAGTAGGTTACAAATGGTCGAATTGATCAGAAAAATTCTATGGATTTCT